GCCCGCTGAAATGCTTTGAAATACACTTCTTGAACTTCGGGGGGTTTTGCGAAAACCTCTTCCTACTGAAATAAAGCACTGTAAATGCCCAGGGAGAGAAAAAGAGACTTGGGAAAAGCGAATAAATCAAGAAGGAAAAATTGGCTGCGCATGCCCTAACTTCGAAAGTGTAATTTGGGTTTTTGGCATGAATATTTTGTTTTCCTTGCAAGTACGTTTGCAAAAAATCCTTTTTGAAATAAATTTATATACATAAAAATAAAAATATTATACATTGCACTCATTACATGTCTTCTCATTGGCTAAGAGCGTACAGCTAATTTTGAAAATCAGCGCAATCTACAGTTTAGTTAATTATCTGCTAGCAGATAGCTGATTTGTCTGCAGTTTCCGCGCTTAATGTATGATTTCCAAGAGCAATGTCAAATTATGTTCCGTGCAAAGGTGTGTTGTTATTTTCTTCAAAACAATGCCTGATTAGATTAGCTTTTTGTAAGATCCCGAATAATCAAGGTCTCGGTAAGTGTTATTAGCCTCAGCCTTCGACTCGACTGATAACACTGCGACCTTTGATTATTCCGAATATCACAAAATTTCATTCAATATAGGTACAATATAGCAACTGGTAAACATGAACATACATGGAAATATGATTCAAACTTGAATGAGTGCATGCTTCACGACTGACCAGGTGTGTTCTTAAACTTGACTTTGCCTATGCCTAGAGAGGGAAATCTGTGAATGTCTACATTATGCCGAATAGCTTTTCACGTCCACGTAAAAAGCTGTCCGTTTATCTGCTATAGTAGCAACAAAAAGAACAGGAACAAGTCGTTTACATGGAGCAGTTGAAGACTCGTACCCAGTCGCTATTGATGTGTTTTGGGGGTGAGAGAAGATTGGGGTTAGGTTGATGCGCGTGGGGATAAATAAATAACGACTGGGTACGAGTCTGGGATAGTTGGCAGAGAGGGTTTGGCGACTAAATACTAATCCTCACTTCCGCTTATATTTACTTCCGTCTTTCTGGGTTCCAGTCCTCCCTCCTACTCTTTTATTTTCACCACGGTTCGAATACCCGTAACCCGCTCACACTGCGACGAAGAGTTGCACAGGAACCTATCCGATATGAGACGATCCACTTTCTAGATCGGTTCTGCTTCAACTGAAAGTGGCAAGATTGCTTGGATTAACGATGAAATTCTGGTTTTGATAAATATGGACAAAAGTTTCCTTTGCTGTTTCAAAGGTACATCCCTGAATGGAGAAAATTGGTTTGAACACGTTTTTGTTTTACTGAGAGACCCGTGACACGGTTGTGGTGTCACCCAAAATCACTGCCATATTGGCCACTACTTTGACACTTTTTGAAAATAGAATTAAATAAGTTTTTGGTGCTTTTATGCTTCTTATGACGTTTGATAAAACGATTTCCAAGATTTTCTGCTTGAATATGTAAAAGGAAACCCCAGTTACCTAGGTAGAGTGTCTGATGGCAGATTAAGAACCTTGTCTTGAAAGACGTGAAAAACGTCCTGGAATCGAAAATATTTAGCGCCCTTGCTGGAAAAAAGGTTTATTAATCAAATATTGACTTTCCCAAGGTTCCAGGAGAAGTTGTTTTAGAATGGTTAAGGCATCAGAGAGATCAGCAGCCACAGTAACAACTCGTTTTCTTCAAGTTTAATACAACATTACAAATCAGTACACCAGAAACTAAACATTGTATCGTGCAACGTTCTGGGATCAAGCAGAAGCTGTTAGTTTTAACAAGCCGACGTAATGACGTATGACGGATGGACCATTAGGAAAGCAAAGAGTTTGGGTGAGATTTTTGGGAGCTCTATGAAAGTTTTTTTTCTACCCCTGAGATGAAAATCTGTCTTCCTCGAACATCATTTTTTATCATGGTGCGTGGGGACATTTTTTCTTTAAATGATTTTTTTGCGTTTGCCTCCCCCTTTTTTTTATAATGGTGACATCCCTAAATTAAAGCAGCTTCTTTAAATAACCGAGGGACGGCTAAAAGTCAATGGCCTAGAGAAAAGCAGACTCTCGACATAATGATGATAGCTTAAACCATTTCTGTGATTTCCTAACGCCAAATCTCAGGACGTTGCTGTATACGTGATCTGGAACTGATCTATTTGACTAAAAGCCCAACTTTTACTACCTAGAAGAATTACAATAAAACATCATTAAGTTCTTGGAGCGTCCAAAATCTTAATCTAATCTGATCTACTGTTTGGATATTTAAGTTAACATCAACTATTGCTGTTAGATCACTAACGCAATAGTACACGAATAGTTGTTAACGAGAACTGATCTGTTTGATTAAAAGCCCTAGTTTTACAAGCACTGGATTACAACAAAACACTAATATAAGTTATTCGAGCGTCCAAAATCTTGATCTAATCTGATTCACTGTTTGGATATTTAAGTTTAAATCAATCATAGCTGTTGGACCACTAACGCAATAGTACACGAAAACGTTTATATGATTGAATTGACTCGCAGTAATCAAGAAACAAGAATAAGAGTTAACCCTAGTTTAATGGCAAAACAAACAGTCTAGAAATGCAGAGACAGAAGCAAATTCAGCTCTACAAGGAAGTGGTGGTGGAAAAATAGAGAAGGAAAATAAATCTTGTTTTCGGATACAAATTAAATTTCTGACCCTTTTCCCTTCGTTTGCATGCGTGAAAGGACTATCTGGAAACGCTTTTCCAAAAAAGGTTCTTAAAATAAGTCAAAATTCTTTCTAATGATTCTAAGAAGGTCAAATTCGCCAGCGGTCACTCGCTCCTGTCTCTGCACCGAGGCTACTCAGTGTATTGTCCAAACCTTACTGTAAAAACTACGAGCATATTCACGCCCAAACATGGAAGGCAAAAAATTTACTCTTTGTATGAAACGCTAATAATTTATCCATACAAGTTAAACTCGTCCCTGAAATCCCATTTTCCTTGATTTTAAAAGCAGTTTTAATTAAGTGACACAATGTGTGTCCCAGTTTATACGGTCAGTACAAAATGCTGACTGTAGATTGCAGCAGACTATTGTTTTCACCATGCAAATGAGATGTGACAACAATAGTTCCATTGTTTTCTAACCCAGAAAACAATGGTCTGCAGTTAGTCTTCAGTCTGCATTTTGCACTGTCATATATACATTAAGGATCAACAAGACATGAACGTATTCATTTTTTTTTAAATACTAGATCAATCATACGAAACACACCCTTTTAACCCCGACCTTAAACTACTGAAATGATCAGCTAAACTCACGTTCAGAATGCACAAAATACTTACAGTAAATACTAAAAATTTTAAAATCTGATTATATAGAAAATCACTCTACTGAAAGCACGGCCACGCTTGTAAATAGTTAATTGGTTCGTCTCCGTCCCGTTGAGATTCTTAACCCTGTTACATTAATTTGAATTATTTGTTTCAGTCATTCGCTTTAAAGCCCAGGGAAAATTACTGAAAAGGAATTAATAAGATTATTATGATGGTAATTATTATTATCATCAATAATACTATAATTATAATGCAATTTTCCTTTGCCAAATTACAATTTGCCGGTTATGGCAGGTTTACGAGAAAAGGGGCAATCATCTATTCTACTATTCAGTTTCAGTTTCTCGGGAGTAACGAAATACTTGTAAACAACATTAAGTACTTTCCCCCCTCAAATTGTCTTTTTCCTAAGTTAAAATTGATAAGACTGTAGCCGTGGCTAAATAGAGTTCCACAGTCTACCGTATGCCCTTTTATTTAAAACGTTTTTTTTTTTTTCATGTTATTAGTACTGTTTTAAAAAAGAGTGTATTATCAGGTTTAAAAACTCAAGGTGAATCCGAGAGTTTTTAAACCTGATAATGCACGACTTCGAGATTTTTGAACAGCTTCTCGAGGCTTCAAAATCTCTGCAATAGATCGATCAACTAATTTTTGCACTAATATTTAGATTTGGGGTTATTTTAGTCTAAAAAATTGAACGGAAAATTTAGCCATGTCTTATCGCATCAGATATAAAGACACGTATTAAGCATTAACTTCTTTTGTTTTTTCTTTGTGAATTAATGAGTTAAAAGCCATGCTTACGGCAATCGGCAAACGTAGATTTGTACCACGTGACGAAGTTTTCCCTTTACTTGTCGTTTACTGTCTACTAAATCTACAAAAAATTTGTTAGTTTCACGTTAGTTTTATCCATAAGAATTGCTTCAAGCTGTTTTTATCTGCATTTCTTCTATTTTGAGAAATTCTCAACTCGAATCTGCAGACGTTTGCCGTTTGCCATAAACGTGACTCCTAACCTCTCTAACATCTTCTGAGAAAAATGATTAAAATGAAAACACGCGTTCTTACTAAACGTCCCTTTGGAAACATTCCTGTATTAAATAACGCACTGCTTTCTTTGTGGAAATCCAGATATAGACACGCTACTTTTATCAGCAGTTGTGTTGACATCAAACTCTCAGCGCATCCTTGTAAAAAAAGTATCAATTGATACATTAATTAACCTTTCATTTAAAAATTTAAAAACAAACTTAAGGTCAAAGCGTTAACTTTTAGGATGCCATGGATGATAATATGAAAAATAGCAAAATGAAAACAATAGACATGTTAGACATATTTGTTCGTTATGAAGCTATGAATTTCTCTGCTATAGTCCCCTAGGAAAACGAAGGAAACTTATTCCTATATATATCTTTTATCCACAACTGACCTAAACTATTAATTTGACAATTGAGAACATTAAGCGAGGCATAGTGTTCAATTGTTGGTAGCCCGTTGGGAATAGCATTTACTTGAGTGAATCCATAATAATTTAACACTTACCACCCAACCCATCCTTACTTTGTACATATTTTCTCTTTTTATTCTTTTCATTATCAAGTCTGTCATATCTGAATTTGACAAGAATGATTCTGGCTTTTCCTCTTAAGCCTTTTGTTACTAGAACATCAAGAAAAATAGAAAACTCTCCACTTACGACTTGCTCAATGACTCCTTTTCCAATTCAATCTTAACGTCATCGCCCATCAGAACAAAAGGAGCCCAGTACTTTGGAGCAGAATAATCGTGGGAGTCTCGAAGACATTTCATGGCCCTCTGAAGAGCAACACTTGCACTTTCTCCACTTCCAAGTTGTTGGTAGAAAGACTTCATAAACATCATTGTGGCTTGGTCATCAATTGCCCAGAGTGTCGCCAGCACGGAACGAGCACCAGCAAACAAGAAAGCACGTGCCATACCGACCACACCCTCAGACGATACCTTTCCTTCACCACTGTGGCAGCAACTAAGCACAACCAGTCTCGCTCTCAGCTTAACAGCTTGTATGTCAGACATTTTCATAATGCAGTCCTCCTCCTTAGGAGTGTCGGATTCCCATGGGGGGTCTGGGGCCAAAACAATTTCCCCGGTTTCCGGTCTTCCGTGGGCTGCTATGTGAACCAAAGACACTGACTTGATTCTCTGAAGTACCGCTTCTTTGGTTGCATCTTCACCTGTTAAGGGTTGACTCTTTAGAATTTCTCCAATCATCTGCACTTCCGTTTTTGCGTACTCCAGTTGCTTATAAATGGGGTTACCCCATTTATTTGTAATTTTCTGCAAGCATGGATCTCCAATAAGTAGGGCTCCACTTTTACTGTGGTATTCACTTGGAGAATCTGTGATGACTTTCAAACTTGTCAGTGAGGGAACAGTGCGGATCCTTAAAGTTTCACTCAGGGCTGCCCAAGGAGCTTTAGACAAAGCGCCATCAGGAACTACAATTAGTTCATCACCATCAAGCAAGTCTTCAATGGGACCAAGAACTGCATCATATAATGGCTGTAAAAGGCCGGTGCTCTCCTGTGATGGCTCCGATGTTCGATTGTCTTCTCGAGTACTTGAGGGAGTTGAGTCATCACTCAGCTTATCCATTGACCGATTTTCGCACTTAGTACCAACGCCAGCCCCAATGATTTTCAAAACAGTGTCTAAAAGGAGAGTAAAGGAATCTTCGTGTTCACGTCCAATTTCTATCTCCGCTTGCGTAAAAATTGGGTTGCCCTCTTTTCCTCTTTTAACGTTCCATCCTTTCAAAACATTGTCCAAAAGGAGAGTAAAGGAATCTTCGTGTTCATGTCCAATTTCTATCTTCTTTTGCCTAAAAGTAGGGTTGCCCTCTTTTCCCAGCACCCAGATATTGACTGTTTTTAAATGAAGGGCAAGAAAAACTGTTAAAGCAGTTGTCTTCCTTGAAATATTTCTGACGTCTTCTTCAGATTCAATTGACCTGGGAGAAGGTGATGTAAGGCCATAAGTCACTTTTAAGGCATCGAGTAAAGCCTGTGCTCGTCCCCTCTCAGCAGCGTATAAAGCCTCATCAGTCCTTCGAAGCATTACTAAAACGTGCCATAGATCAGTATAGGCATATCGATGGTCCGTACGAAAACTTATTTTCAATTGATCTTCCTTGATAGAATTGGCTCTAATAGTGTCATAGGTTTTAACACAGCATCTAAAATGTTCTAAAGCTTCATTTAAAGAATCTGATTCCAAAAAAGAGTGACCCAGACCACCATGTGCACATGCCTCTGCCATCCTGTCACCGATTTCCTCGGCAATTATCAGGTGTTACTTGTAACACTCTATTGCCTCCTCCAAGTCGTGGAGATGTACATAACAACGTCCGAGGAGGCAATAGGCACGTCCTTGTCCATTCCTGTCACAGATTTCCTCGGCATTGCTCAGGTGTTTCTTGTAGTACTCCATTGCTCGTGGCGCATCTCCGAGGGATATATGAACGTTGCCGATGTTTGAATAGGCATTTCCTTTTCCTTCTCTGTCACCGACTTCCTCGGCAATGCTCAGGTGTTTCTTGTGGCACTCCATTGCTCGTGGGAATTCTTGAAGTCTGTGATAAGCAGCGCCAAGAATGGCATAGGCCCTGCCTTCCCGTACCCTGTCACCAACTTCCTCGGCAATGATGAGGCATTCATTGGTGTACTCTATTGCTCGTTGGTCTTCGCCGAGACGTAAATAAATATTGCCGAGAATGAGATAGGCTTTGCTTTTGAGTTCCCTGGCACCAACTTCCTTGGCAATGATGAGGCATTTATTGGTGTACTCTATTGCTATTTCGAATTCATTAAGGCTGTGATAAGCAGTGCCGAGATTTAAATAGGCGTTGCCTTGCCCTTCCCTGTCACCAACTTCCTTGGCAATGATGAGGCTTTTATTGTTGTACTCTATTGCTCTTTGGAATTCTTTAAGGTGGTAATAAGCAGTGCCGAGATTGAGATAGGTACCGCCTTGCCCTTTCCCGTCACCAGTTTCCTTGGCAATGATGAGCCGTTGATTGCAGTACTCTATTGCTAGTTGGAATTCTTCAAGGCTGTCATAAACAACGCCGAGATTGTGACCCGGCTTCGCCTTCACATTTCCTGTTACCAACTTCCTTGGCAATGCTGAGGTGTTGATTGTGGTACTTTATTGCTCTTTGGAATTGTTTAAGTCCGTAATAAGTAGCGCCGAGACGGCCATAGGCACATCCTTCACCTGCCCTGTCACCAACTTCCTTGGCAATCCTGAGCTCTTGATTGTGGTACTCTATTGCTCTTTGGGAGTCACCGAGGGAATCGTGAGCACCGCCGAGAATGGCATAGGCAAGTCCTGCTGATCCTGCTGTGTCACCGATTTCCTCAGCAATGCTCAGGTATTGCTTGAGGTACTCTATTGCTTGATGGAAGTCACTGAGGGATTGGTAAGCACAGCCGAGCATGAAATAGACACATCCTGCACGTGCTCTGTTACCGACTTCTTCAGCAATGCTCAGGTATTGCTTGAGGTACTCTACCGCTTGATGGAAGTCACTGAGGAAGTAATAAGCTTCGCCTAGATTGTAGTAGGAGATTGAGATAGGCTTGAGATAGGCTTTGCCTTGCCCTTCCCTGTCACCAACTTCCTTGGCAATGCTGAGGTATTTATTGGTGTACTCAGTTACTCTTTGGAATTCTTTAAGGCTGCGATAAATAGTGCCGAGATGGAGATAGGCTTTGCCTTGCCCTTCCCTGTCACAAACTTCCTTGGCAATGCTGAGGTATTTATTGGCGTACTCTATTGCTCTTTGGAATTCATTAAGGCTGTGATAAGTAGTGCCGAGATGGAGATAGGCTATGCCTTGCCCTTCCCTGTCACCAACTTCCTTGGCAATGCTGAGGTATTTATTGGTGTTCTCTATTACTCTTTGGAATTCTTTAAGGCTGCGATAAGTAGTGGCGAGATGGAGATAGGCTTTGCCTTGCCCTTCCCTGTCACCAACTTCCTTGGCAATGCTGAGGTATTTATTGGCGTACTCTATTGCTCCGTGGAATTCATTAAGGCTGCGATAAGTAGTGCCGAGATGGAGATAGGCTATGCCTTGCCCTTCCCTGTTACCAACTTCCTTGGCAATGCTGAGGTGATTATTGGTGTACTCTATTGCTCTTTGGAATTCTTTAAGGTTGCCATAAGTAGTGCCGAGAGTGAGATAGGCTATGCCTTGCAATTTCCTGTCACCAACTTCCTTGGCAATGCTGAGGTATTTATTGGTGTACTCTATTGCTCTTTGGAATTCTTTAAGGCTGCGATAAGTAGTGCCGAGAGTGAAATAGGCTATGCTATGCAATTTCCAGTCACCAACTTCCTTGGCAATGCTAAGGTATTTATTGGTGTACTCTATTGCTCTTTGGAATTCATTAAGGCTGTGATAAGCAGTGCCGAGATAGAGATGGGCTTTGCCTTCACATTCACTGTTACCAAATTCCTTGGCAATGCTGAGGTGTTGATTGTGGTACTCTATTGCTCTTTGGAATTCTTCAAGTCTGTAATAAGTACCACCGAGATGGCCATAGGCACATCCTTCACCTGCCCTGTCACCAACTTCCTTGGCAATCCTGAGCTCTTGATTGTGGTACTCTATTGCTTTTTGGGAGTCACCGAGGGAGTTGTAAGCACTACCGAGAATGGCATAGGCACGTCCTGCTGATCCCGCTTTGTCACCGATTTCCTCAGCAATGCTCAGGTATTGCTTGAGGTACTCTATTGCTTGATGGAAGTCCTCGAGGGAGTAATAAGCTATGCCTAGATTGTAGTAGGCATGTGCTTTCTCTGCCGTGTTTTTATTGATTTGCGCTATTGCAAGACGCTTTTTTGATCAGCTATATCTTGTAGTATTCTTTCTGCCATTTCGAAGTTTCAGTATTCAAAGTGGAACTGTTTCTTGGGCGTAATGCTTCTTTGAAGGAGCATGGAGGTAGAGAAAAAACAAAAATAATTCTCATTAATACATTTGAAGTCTTAGAATATGTTCCCATTAGACCGATAAGGTAGCTAGAATTTTTCACTCCTTCTACCATAGATTTACTTTAACTGATAAGTCTTCTGAATTGTTTTGTAAATTTCTGAATATTGGTGTTATAACACAATATTTCAAGCAGATTCCTTTTAATCTTCTTTCTATAAACTTAGTTGAAACTAAAAAATCTCCTTTGTACCCTACTTAAATATTCAGAAAACAGGAAACGTTTCATTAAGTACAAAAACTAAACATGATATTTGGAACTCCTGTGATACCAAATGAAAATATAGTCGAGAGCTTCAGCCTGAGAGAGGATTGGAAATAGGTGTTGGTCGATTTTGCTCAAATCTGGTACACTTAGTTACTATCATGGAGACTTATACATTATGCCAATGTTTTAGCTCGATTGTCCCTGTTTTGGTGTGAGGTATAGATCAGCCTTTTTGGGCCGGGCTTTCTGAGGTCGATTTTTAGGTCAATTTTGAGGGTTTTGAATAATTCACTTTTAATGTATGGATCGGAACATTTCTATCCCTAAAGTTTTTATGGTAGAATATGTAGCACATAGAGGATATTACATGACCGTGCGGAGATACGAAATTTCTCTTCAAGTGTTGAAAAATATTTCACGAGTGAGGGCAGCGAACGAGTGAAATATCTTCAACACGAGGAAAGAAATTTCGCATCTCCAAGCGGCCATGTAATGTTCTATTTATTATATAAACACCAATTAAATATCTAGTTTACATGAAATGTTTCAGTCCGAATAGCCCGTGTATAGGCGCCCTCCCGTTACTAAAAAAAATGTTTTTTTTCTGACGGGAGAGGGCGGCTGTACACGGGTTAAGTCCAGAGAAATGGGGCTTGGTCTAATCCTCAAAAATGAGTCCGCTGCCCGGCGACAATAACATTACGTGCGCGCGAAATTCAGAGAGGCCACAAACTAGAAAACCACAACAAATTTTAAATTGTTTGCCTTACATAGAGCAGAAATAAAAACGATTTTAATTCATAAACCGTAATTTTCCTGAAAACCTTTCTAACAATACAATTTACATAGTCCCAATGCACATTGAAAAATTTAAAAGGCAGCTGTTTGAGGAAAGATGTGTTGACTAACTACGTTCATGACCTCAATTTCTTATTAATCGATGCAAGACTTAGTTTTACAAATTTATGTGCAAAGCAGGTCTTTCTTCGTTAGCTATTGTCATATAAATGAAAATTATTATAAATCTGAGACGTCTACAACATCCTGAATATCCGGCGTTGCTTGTGTGAGGAGGGGTAGGGGTGGGGGGTTGGAGAGGGGGGGGGAGGGGAAAAGGAAGTGGAAGAGAGAAGCGGAAAGGTAGAGAAACACAAAACACAAATCGGCTAAAACAATATTCTAGTCGGACGTTTTGCCTAACATCGAACAAACATACTTTGCTTCGCGGTCGCAAACCGGTCTAAACTTATTATTAATTATTTCTAAGTAAAAAAGAAAGGGGGAAAAAACTACAGCAGGAAATCAAAATGAACCTTGCAGAAATATCTGCTTAGGAAAATTCCAAGTTAAAGGAGATTATTCCTTACCTGAACAATTTGATCTCTGTGAAGAAATTTTCGACGGAGTTTTGAAGTGTTCTCCAGTGGATGGATTTAAATGCAGAGGGCTACCAAATATATAGGGTGGCCGATAGAAACAAAAAATCACAAGACAACAACAACAACAACAAAAATAGGAGAGAACAAACCTAAAACCGAAACACATAAGACAAAACGGAAACCCAAAACAGAAAAAACACTACCAGAAAACAGAAACACAAATCCCAAAACGGAAATAAGCATCCCCAACAGGAAACACACTCAAAAAAATACAAAATTAAACCGCAAAACTGAAACAGAATCCAAAAATACAAACCATAGCCACAAAAGACGAAAACAGAAACAAGGAAGTAGTGTAAAGCTACAGTTTCTCATGTTTCATCACAAACATCACACTGTAAATCAATCTCGTTCCCAGGCTATCTCTTCTTTTTCGTTGCATCTCGCTCCAGGTGAACGGTATTTTCGTCTCTGAGGTCTTCGGTCAATTTTAGCCCGACCAGGGTCTTCACGCGAGGACCGGAAGGCAAAACCACGTGGGGTCCGTTCCTCGATCGTCTTGGTACCTTTTCTAGTCTAAAGCAGACAGCCTAACTGGAGACATAACTACTAACGTATGGCGTTAAAATAAAGGGATTGACTCTAACTGAACGTCAGTTGCTCGAGATTTAATATGCCTGACATTAGGGAGGCAACAGTAGCGAAACGTCATTTATAAAGCTATTTGGCGTACTTTTAAAATTTGTGGGGGTTATCTTAATTGGCTAAAGTTGGTCAATTTAGGTAGCACTGACGTCAAGTGTAAAATAGAGAAAAATATATTTGTCTTTGGGTGCTTATGTCCTCCGTATAACGTAGTGACGGCGAATAAATTTATAAAAACGTGTGATGCACGTGAAGAGTTATTGTTTTGTTTATTGAACCTATATCAAGAAAACATGCGAATGAGGCCCCGTTTACATAGCGAAAAAAATTCCCGGGGTTACCCTCCCAGCCCTAGTCAACTTAAGCAAGTGTTTATATGATAAACAGTTGACCCCTTTGCCCGAGCCTAGAGCTGAAAACAGGCTCCCGCATGGTCTGATTCTCTCGTCTTGACCGAGTTGACCCGGCTTAGCTAGGAAGGTGACCTTACCATCGAAAAAGCGCTCTAGCCCACTGTTTGTTTCTAGTGTATTTAAACGCCAAGTTTCGGTAAGGAAATGTAGGAAATTTTGGTTCGCCCGGGGTAGCTGGGGTAGGCGAGTGACTTTTCTGCTCGGGGCGACTTTTCTTCATATAAGGGGCGACCTTGCAGTTCTTGGACGACCTCACGTTATTGGCGGGGAAAAATATGAACAAACAAAGTTTGGAAACTAGCCCGACAACAAAAGAACTGCGACACATAGGGGTCTATTCTGAACTGCTGCAAGGCTACCGGGGCCACGGGGCCTAATTGGCTATTTACGCGATGACATGTTTTTGCTAGTAAAGGAATTCATTTCATTTTTTCTTTCATATTTAAATTTAATACTCCTTCTGAGGTTCAGATAACAAAACCCTTACTTTCAGAAGAAAGCAAAACCGTGAAGGAATCTGGTGTAGTAAAATGACGCCCTCGTCGTATTTGTAGATTGACACTATCGTGAAAAGCCCCGTCCACACAAATCCGGATATTTTTGAAATCGCATTTATATATAGTTTTCTCACGAATCGCCCTCTCGTCTGGACTTCCGTCCACACACGAAACCATTGAATCCTCTCACTGAAACAATAGGATGATTTTGCGACCGAACGGGAGCGTCAGTTGACGACAGGAAAGCGCGCGGAAAGGACTAAACACGACTTCCAGTGCTCAATTTGCTGCTCTGCCATTGGTCAAGCCAGTTTGATTTGCATGCGTCGTCGTCAACTGACGCTCCCGTTTTATTGCGCGCTAAATCAGCCTATTATCTTTTTGAAACCGCTCTCCGAAGTGGTTGAAGGCCTCGTCTGCACAAATCCAGGTAAAAGGATATGCAGTTTCAAAAATTAGTCTGGATTCGTGTAAACGCCGCCTAAAATAGTTCAAGGTAGCTTTAGCTGGATCCAGTCTAGAATGTCCTTGTAAACCACGCTCGCAGTTTCTTCCACCTCATTCAGAAGTTCATGGCGCCCATTCTTGTATATCTGCAAAGCAAGTTTTACAAGCAGTTGTGTTTATAATGAAATAATTTCCTCTTTGGTGATTATTTTATAAATTCTCATAGCCTTTTCCCTTGAAAATGTGGTGACGTTGTTAGGAGAAAATAGATATTGGTCACTCTTGGGGCTAAAAGGGTTTAGACAACTCACGACTTTTGTTGGGGATAAGTTGACAGTAACTACGCTTGGAAGAAGGCAGCCGAAACTCCCACCCCGGGCAGGGCATTATCACCACATGAACAAACGCCGTTTTAAGACCGCCTTTTCCTGTCGTCATGATATACCGTCATAGAGAGGCTATTAGTTCGCTCAGTGCTTTCAGTAAAGCAGCTCATTCGTGTACCTTAAATGTCTTGTCGTTACTGGGAGAATTTGCATGTAAGTATTGTGAACCGTCAATCTTCACTAATTGATCTCCATCACCATGGACAAGTAGATAAGGTGTTGTGAGCTTTGACAAGTTCCTCTGGATTTCATTCATTGCGTCTAATATAGCTCCGACCCATCTCACTTTCATTCCCTCATGCCAGTTTAGGCTATCATTGGCATACTTTTCAACCTAAAGCAATAATAATACAGTGCATTGTGTTATTGAAGTCCTAGACTTGCCAAAAGTCGCCTGCGAAAGCAAGAAGGCGCGAGGGACACCCGGTACTCAAGGAAATTCGACTTTCTGTAAGATATATGATTATTAAATGGATGGTGCAAAGAATTGAGTGACACTGAAATTTATACGGGGAGGCTCCAACCCTAAACAAACACGACGAGCTCCTTCAACGATAAATGTGTAAGTTTAGGCCTAGGGATGGAACCTCCTCGTATTAAACATTGTTGAATAGCCACCCCCCCCCCCTTTCCTCCGGGGGTATGTATAATCTAAGGGGTAATTAATTCACCCCGGGCCAGCTGTCATCAAAAAGTGATCTCTTTCAAACTAGTTTTTTAATTTTTAACCGTTTGAGCTGAGACTTTGCAGAATGACCGTTGACCGTTACATGCACCAGCGTTACTAGTTCATTGCACAATCATGAAGGATGGAAAATATCAATTCCTCACAATTCCGAACGACTTGTCATGAACCATTAAACTGAAAAGCGTTTATCCAATCTCTACCCAAAATATTCCAGTCAGTGGTACGAAATGTCAAGTTTCGCGATCGGTCTCAGGGACTGGACACCGCGTCATTCGGCAACCTCCAGAAATCACCGGAATATGTTCGGCATTTTTCGAATGTCCTGGAAATTTTTTTCGGAAATGCGGATAAAATGCATACGAAAGTCTCTCTCCTTTGACTCAGGAAAAGAGAGCAGTTATCAGTTGTCTTATTCGCCTTTTTAGAAACGAAAAGGGAATTTTATTGGAGAAGAAATTTGACCCGCGATTGTTTCTGGGATTGTTACTGGGGTCACGCCGGTCAGCTATGGGCCAATCTTTTTCTCTGTCCTTAGTAACAATCCCAGAAGTGTTTGCGAAAGTAATCTCGGCCGAGTTTCCCTTTAGATTTGTATCACCTGTGTAGGATCCTGGCTTAAGAGTGATGGATCAATCGGTGGCCTGATCTGGTACGAGGGCATTATCCATGATACTATTCTTCCTACACAAACCTGTAAGATACATGCATTATATACTTTATTTAAGACCTTTAGTTATTAATACGAGGACGACTAAGAGTACGAGATTTTCTTAATGCTAAGCAGTGCGCGCGCATGAGCCAACGTCATTTTGGCGGGAAAACGTGATAGCCGTCGTCATTCTACTATGAGTTTTGCCGAGAATGTCGTTGTGACGAAATCAAGTTATCAAATGTTAAAAGCTAAGTTTTATTATTTTCGGTCAGGAGAGGGCTTAAACTCTTTCTTAAACGTTTCTGGTGAATTTAAAGTACAATGGAGCTTTCCGGGTGTCCATTTTTCTTTTTGAGAAGAGCGAAAGTCGTACTCCTAGTAGTTCTCGTCCTCGAATCTAAAGGTCCCTTTTAACCAAGAGTGAGGTCCAGATAGCTGAATATTGGCCAAGTTCGTTTTGTTTTTTTGTGTGTGTTTTTATATATGGAACAATCACTACTGTATTAATTTCTCACCTCCCCCTAGAAGACAAGGTTAAAAACTTGACTCGTGATAAAATAATCTCCTATTAAATTAATCATCATATTCCCTTCCATCCGCCACTAGAACTTTGTAAAAAGTTCGTTTCTTTTCGTGATTAATCAGTTATTTATGTTTAAATAACATGTGAATTGAGAGGCAACAGACTATAAAAAATTGCTGCCCCTGCAAATATTTCACATCTAAAATCTGTTTTATCTCACTCTGCATTAGATTTTCTTTTGACCTTGAAAAATGGTTTCGGTAAGTGTTCGCCAATGGATGAAAAGATCAAAACATGGCCTCTTCGTTTTCCCGCCAAAGAAAACCCTTATATGGAGAAAGCATTGTTCGATTGGCCAATCGTGTTGCTGTATGACTTCAAAGCGAAGTATCATTTGATTTCTAGAAAGTTCTTGGGCGTTCGCTTAACCAGCCAAAACCCACGCCCGTTTGTATCCGTTCGATAAACCAATCAAATCGCTCTATTTCCGTTCGTTTGATGTTTCTTTTCTGTTCGCGCATTTATATTTCATGGTTATACGAAAATCGCTCTAAAGCTATGGTAAAACGGACAACAAAAACGTGAAACCTGTTTTACAAAATTGTTGGGAAACTGGTTGAAAAGTGATGTTGCGCATTTTATTACCAATGAATGAAGCCTCCCTTGCAGCAAATCAGGTTTAAACAAGTTGCGAAAAAAATGTTGCAGAAACTAGAGAGAAGTTCTACTTTTTGCATCAAAATCTGTCAATGTTGCGTGTTTTAATTACCGACCCAAGGCAAACTTGTTTTGCAGCAAGTGACGTAACTCCTGTGTATGGCGTGACTCCCGCGTAATTTTATCCAATCAGGAATCAGTATTTACGCAACTTGCAACACTGAATCTTATTTGCTACAAGACAGGTTTGATATTATGGGCAATAAGACGCTCAGCATCGCTTCTGGACTCGTTCTGCAGCAATTTGTTGCCCGTTTTACTGTACGTTTAGCCTCGTTTTTAAAGCGAGAGTTTTTGGAACTCGGCAATGGGCTATTATAGCCTGTGATCGTGCCCTCCCTATAATAAAAACCTAGCCTGATCGCGGGTTAAGATAATTAAAAGACGATGAATCATTAGAAACTGTTGTTTTACATTATTTCCTTGTTTCTGTTTTGGGGTGTTTGATCATGGTTTGTATTCTTAAATTCTCTTTCAGTTTTGTGGTTCAATTTTGTATTTTTGTTTTGGGATTTGTATTTCTGTTTCCTTAGGTACGTAGTATTTTTCGGTTTTGGGTTTGTTGTATCCTGTTTTTGCATTGACGGCACCCTAAGAAAAGAGAAACAGTCTTTACATTGTGTTTTCGTTCACTATTTGTAGCAAGTGGAACAATAAATTACCGTGCAAGGATTGGCTTCCACATTTATGCTTGGTGCACTAAAAATCGCACCCGCAAAGAAATAAGGTCTTTCCATAACACTGAGAACAGCTATTGTACCACCCTAAAAAGAATAATGTATAATATTAATAATATCATAACATGAAATTTTCAAGGTGCAGTCAAACCACTGTAAAGGCTAAGACTTTGTGCTCACTTACAGAAAGTGGTCGCTTACGACACTTCCTTGGAGTAGATTTCCGGACACATCTACTTTAAAGCAGATAATTTACTGCACCGATTTCTTTCTCAGTTACATGTTGTTACTTAAGTTCTTCGTATACTCCTAGTAGCATACAGCGAACATAAGAGTTCAGACAAATAGTTAAGGGGTCGCTTTTTAGGAGGTTAAAAACAATGGGAAATCTCTCTAACGCGGTCGCTTAAGGATGGTGATCTTTAACGAAAGGCAGTTGTTTACGAGAGGTGGTGGCATATGGAGGTTCGACCGTATCAGTGTTTTCGTAATATGTGATTTAATTGCATTGAAGCCAGACTTGAAAAGAGTTAAAGATAAGAAAACCTGAAATTCACAGGCTATTTATGTTATCAAAGCAAACCGGCAAGAGCGCAACATTACGAAACAACCGCAAAGCATGATGGGCTTGGGGTCTTTATCGTAATTAACATATACTTGTATTCCTGTGATCGACGCGGTTAGGGGACCCGAGAACCTAAAAAAGATATAAAACAAAAAACAAACAAACAAACAAAAAACACGAAAAAAAGGGGCAGAGTTCCAATAACGTTTTTATAACAGTATATACCATTGAGTGGCCAAACATAAATATTGGTATGCGTGTGTTGTCTGCTGTGACTTGGTCAATGTGTTTAAAAACATCTCTGACGTAAAAGGAAAAATCTGATATTTGGACTCTTTCTCCTTCACTCTGACCATGACCAACTAATAGAAAGATTTATTGCCAAAAATTAGCTCTTGAAGGGTTATATCACACTATTTCCTGTCTCTCTTTGTATTCGCCAGGTGCCCATAACATCATAAAATGAATTCAAAAAATAATGGTCCAGTTTTCTACTCTATCTTTACCCCTCCCTCCCATCCCTAAAATTTTACGGACCACCTCCCCGAACTCACAAGGTTCTGCAATACACGTATTTTCAGTTTTAGATTACCACCCCCATCCCCACCCCCCCGACTCTTCCCGAGAAAGTATGATTAGATGCAGTTACTGTATCACGGAAGAGATTGAACAAGGCCGGGATGGGACATGGTCGTGACTAGAATAGCCTCCCCGCAGACGTCCTTTGGGGTTCGTTTGTCACGCATTCATTTCTCCCCCACGGGAGAAATGAATGCGTGACAAACGAACCCCAAAGGACGTCTGCGGGGAGGCTATGACTAGAATGGATACTCCAAAATCAGGTATCCGCTCGGAGACTGGAACTGAATTAAATTATTTTTCGGCAAATCGCTCCGACTCTTTACGACCTTGTTGTGTTGAAGACTAAGTATACAAAGACTGAAGAAGGCTAAGATGAGAATGGTTACTCCAAAATATGGATCAAAGCCTACATAGAGGTTAGTTGTTTTTCACGTTCTTTTTGTAAGAATTTACTGCAAGGAGCAAACAATGTCTGTTTAATTGCAGTACCACTACTGCGACTGCCGTGTAAAGCTTATTCATAGCAAAGTATCTGTTTGGATAGCTCAGAATAAGGTGGATACTTCAGAATAAGAATGGCCAAAATATGGAAGTTTTGGCCATCTGGATTATTATTACTGAACTTCCCATTACAGACATGATTGTTACGTTTACAAAGAGGGTACAAATACAGTTAAGGTCAGTTAACCATCTTGTAATTTTATGGGTTAGTTGATTCCAAGTGTTAACAATGGTAAAAAACACGTAAGGGACCTGTCATTTATTAGAGGCGGGGGAGGGCTGGTGCAATTGGGGGGAGGGTCATTTAATTTTATGTCGCCAAAAAGGGGAGGGTCACCAAAAATTTAAGCTGGGCTTTGGGGAGGGCCATACCATTTTTAGCAAACATTGCTGCTCGCTTAAAATAAAAATAAATCAACAAATAAAATATATTATTTAACAAACAAGTGCCTTGCACAGTAAGCATTTTAAACTTTCATAACGATCAACCTGAACTACCCAACAACCCTACATGTACGTCTTTTTCTTGATTTGTTTTCCAACAGCAACACACTGCAAACCATGTCTTTGCATTGATCAAGTTTCTCATTAAGATATTTCAATTCACTGTTTACTCTTTTTTTAGCTTCATCAAGCCTTGTAATAACAGCTTCATCTAACGATTTAGAATACTCTTCTCCTCGTACAAAATTACCAGTCTTTGAGTGAAACAGGGTGTTAAGGTGAGCTTCAATGCGTCTATCCATATCTAATATGTTCTCTAGTAATGTTCGCCCTCAGCATTAACTAATCAGCTGGGACAAGAACATAATTGGTCGTGTAAAATTTTCCAGCAGCACCAGGATTGTTCGTGCTCAATATTGCTTTAATGCATGAGGTGATCTTAGATACCTGTTCCTGAATGTCGTATTGGCGCCTCCCTTCATCACAAGGTAAAAGTTGATCTCTTTTAATAGCAATAATCCTTGTCATATCTTTTAGCGTGGGGAGGGTCATAACTATTTTAGGCCATACAAGGGGGAGGGTTACATTTTTTTCCACAGGAAATTGGGGGAGGGCATAAAAAAAATTCACCTGGGATAAAGAATTGCACCAGCCCTGCCCCCACCCTCTAATAAATGACAGGTCCCTAATTTACTTCAGGTCATACTTCTTGTAGCTTGGTGATCACTATTACAAGCTCAAGTTTCTAAAAAAAAAAATGGTCCTGCAGATTGTATTAGTGTAGTGTCTCTGCATAGCTCTGATATAGGACCTCGAGCCTACAGTGGCAGATCGGAACCTTCAGATAAGAAGAGGGGTGGGGCAGGGGGGGGGGAGGATTCTCACCAGACCTTAAGGTGGCGGGAAGAAACCACTCATTCAGACCTTAAGGTATGGAGGAGCTCAATCTAGAAAAGAATTTTCTTGGTACTGTTGTCCTCAATTTGATCTAGAAATATGGAGGGCCGGGGACCTCTCTAGATCTACTGCTGGCCTCTGCCAGCCCGCCCATGTTCACCTGCTATCTTTTTACATTTACTAGAAACTCTAGTATCAATTCAAATTATTTATCCTAAATATTAGGATTTTTGCAAAATTATTTATAGTTGCTTTTTTGCACTTGTATTTTGTTTTGTTTTTTTTTCAAATCCTAGGAGCCTCATTGTCACCAAAACTCTCTGCCTTCCATACCCTATTCCACACTGAACTTTCTGACAACAGTCCTCAGCCAAGTGGTACCATCATGGTGTTGAAAAGTGTGGAAATAGATCCTGTTGATCCTGGGATGAATTATTTTTCTTTTTCTTCCCCCTTCCTCCTCTCAAGGGGGGAGGGGGGGAGGTGTTTTCCTTCCCCTCCCTGTGACCTATTACCTATTTCCTTGATTGCCTTCTGAGCTCCTGATGTGACAAGACCTTCAGCATTAAGCTGGTTATGGGCTATTTTTCGTTTTTCACTCAGTATGGTGAGCTTATCATAAATTTAAAATGGAATAAAAATGATCATGCAGGTATATCCATGTTGCAGCTGTAACAGGAGGAGGAGTTGGAGGTCCGGGGGGTGTTGCAGTCAAGTGCTTGTGAGGAACAGAGAAACCAGTTGGAGAAAGAAATGAAGAAATGAAGAATATTGGAGAAGGCTTCAAGAGAAATAGCAAATAAAATGAAAAAAAAAAAAAGAAAAACAGAAAAAAGAAAACAGGAAAAAAAAAAATTTTCATTGAGGCCAAGCAGTTGGCTGCTCAGTTGCATGTCTGGGTAGCTTGACCATTTGGTTACTAAAATTCTCAAAACCACAAACAAACCACTCTAAGAATATGATAAAATGTGTAAAAAAAAATTGTTTATTACTTTTATAAAAATACAGTTGTTTGTTTACAATTCTACAACCATTTTTTCATTTCTTCCTTTTCCCATAATTCTTTCCTCTGTTTTACTTTCCTCTTACTCTTTCTGCACTTCCACAATGTGCTTTTATGTACCCTCTATACCTGGGGTGGAAAGTCACCTGAAAATTTGAAATTAGCCATGCATTAAATAAAGCTTCCATTATAATCATTCTTTCAGGAAATAAAGCTGCTACTTTGGTGGTAATTCTAAAAAGCACTGTGTTCCACAATACAGTGCCTTGATTCAGCAAAGAAGCCTTGACCCTTTTGTTTTAAAAGTTAAAGATTTTCTTTTGGTAGCAGAGAAAGGCCCCCTACAAAGTTATCTATCATCTAAATTAAAAAGGAACAACCAAATCATTTCCTTGTGGTACCTGCCTAATATCAAAATGAATAACTAAAGTACTGATAAATAAATAATTATTGAAGTAGGGTATATCCAGGCCGTTTTAGGTTAACAAAACAAAAACACAAGGTAAGTCATTCTCATTTCTATTTTTGTCAAAAAATGGAATTTAGGACGTATTTTGTTTATTGTCATACATTCTCTTATAAATTCAAAGTCCAACAAACTCTTTCAGATTTTGGGCTACCTGCGGATGGGGCAACATTTCATGACAGGATGGACAATAAAGGGGCTGCATTTTCAACACCTTCAATGTGACTGGAAATTACGAAGGTTCATACAGCAGGTTCAGGAATACAAAATGACTAACTTGGAATCACATAGTTTACATTTGCCAAAAGTAGCTAACATTGGGCCTTTTGGTCATAGAAAAGACTGTAAAAGGATTTGGGTTCTGGTTGGCTAATTGTACCAGATACCCAGCGCACCAAAAGGTTGACCCGAGTATCCCACAGGTTGTGAGGGTCACTTTGGTTTTTATAATCTCATAAAGTACCCATTCTTCTCACACTAAACTAAACAGCAACTTACTACTTAAAAGTGAAAAAAAATCAACCATAATATATACGAAAACAGAAATAGTTTATGTTGAGCCATAAATTGAACAACTGTCTGCTATCTCTGGGGGGGGAGGGGGGTACTCCCTTATATGGCCTCCATGGGGATGTGCCGCTGGACAGGGTATGGTTTTCATCCTCTCTGTCCTGAACAGGGTATATAGTTTGGCACAAGTCTGTCCTAAACAGGGTATACGATTTCCTGCAAGTCTTTCCTAAACAGTGTGCATGATTTGTGCGAGTCTGTTCTAATTATAAACAGGGTGTTTCAAGCATGATCGATTTCGTCTTAGTGCAAATGTTTGCAGATATTTAGTACGTCATCACCCAAAGCATTTACTGGAATAAATATAAATGTTATTGTTCTTGGCACCCTTGTCTAAATAGGATAAGTACAAGTTGACAGGTGTGCTAAATAACCTTGTCCCCATCTGAGGGAGTTGTCCTATCTGGGTACTAAAGTTGAGGGTGTTATCCTAAAGAGGGTATGGGTTTCAACCCATCAGCGGCTCACCTACACCCAAATATTGGTCGAGTACCCCTCCCAACCCCCCCCCTACACCGGGCTGCTATCCTACAAGCAAGCTTCGAATTAACTGAGCCATAATTACACAATGGTTGACTGTATTTGTACCCTCTTTGTAAAGGTAACAGTCATTTTTATATTGGGAAGTTCAGTAATAATAATCCAGATGGCCAAAACTTCCATATTTTGGCCATTCTTATTCTGAAGTATCCACCTTATTCTGAGCTATCCAAACAGATACTTTGCTATGAATAAGCTTTACACGGCAGTCGCGGTAGTGGTACTGTAATTAAACAGACATTGTTTGCTCCTTGTTTGAAATTCTTACAAAGAACGTGAAAAACAACTAACCTCTACGTAGGCTTTGATCCATATTTTGGAGTAACCATTCTCACCTTAGCCTTCTTCAGTCTTTGTATACTTGTCTCAAGAGTCGGAGGGATTTGCCGAAAACTAATTTTATTCAGTTCCAGTCTCCGAGCGGATACCTGATTTTGGAGTATCCATTCTAGTCACGACCGTTGCAATTTGGCGTTCTGTCAGGGGCACCCAACGAGAATATAGTTCAAAACCACTTAAACATAGCATTGTTAAACGTATTTTAGTATTTAAACGGTAGATATAGGCATATTTTTATCCCCTAAAAATTTTTCATCTGTTCGGATTTCCTAGCTGAAAGTCTAGTGATCCGAAAATTATAGGGATCAAAACTTACCTTTTCGAAAATTTCAGCCAGAAAAAAGGCTCCCGAAAATTCTAGGTGACCTTTTAAGGGTAAAAATCCGTTAAAAATGGGCAATTATAGTAGTTTTTAGATGTTCGAAAATCCTAGGAGAGGAAGGCAACCAAAAAATTTTACAACAAATGTTCCGAAAATTCTAGATCTCAAATCGTCTTCCGAACAGATATTTTCCGAAAATTGTCGTTGGGTGCCCCCGTTCTGTCATTGATCAAGTCGATTTTTAGATCTGCGCGCGCCGTGTAGTTATCTTTTTTTGTGGACAAGCCTCAAATAAGACAGAGTTATCAACATACCAGTCAGTTATATGACAAACAGTTTTATTACTTAATTTGTGATTAAGTCCACACATCGTTTGAATATAAAAATAGTCACATAGTTTAACTAGTTAACACTCTTTAAATTTAATTTCACACTGTAATTTATCTTCCAGATATGTACACGTTCAGGATACTCAATCTGTTGCTCTGCAACAGCCTGTTCCCCAAAATAAATACGATACATCTTTTAACTTGTGGCAAAAATTCTGAGACAATTTTTAGCTGAAGGAGACAGGTATGAGGTAGTTTTAAGAAACTCTAACACGAGAAAACTACGTATGAATACTCGTAACAGGTGTCAATCTTAAGTAAAACAACGTAATGACATCTTTTAAAGATACAAACACAGTTACTTCTTGAGATACATCACGACATTACGAATAAAGCCGTGCAAAGTACCCGCTTCAAAGGAATGGAAAGAGGATTCAGCGTAAAGCTAGTCATCTAACTGACACAGCAGGGCTACGCCCCTATTGACCCAGTGCCTCTCGGGTTTATTAGATGGCAAGTCAACATACATAACAAAGTTAGTGGAGTGCCCAGTTGTCGATAAAGTCCCTCGGCGCGCGCTTGTCTTGTACACTGGACTGGCATACGTAGGTTTTGGTGTAAAAGTGGACTTTTCACCAGGAATAATCCACATCTGTAAGACAGACTGGTTAAGGAATAGCAACAAAACACATAAATGAAAGAATGATAGTGGGAATTTAGTAAACATACATATGACGAGTTTGTCGTGGTGGGAGAACAACCCGCTATAAAATATATCCAAATCAGCTGAACAGGCTTAAAAGAGTGGAAAAATTGCATCGCTTCAAATAGCAGCACATACCGTAAAATTCCAAAAATAAGCCCCGGGGCTTATATTTTTCAAAGGCCCTTTTTGAGGGGCTTATTTTTGGAGGGGTTTATATTCGGAGGGGCTTATCTATTGAGAGAAATTTGCGTGTCAAAATCGATTGGGCTAGCCTTGTGGTTGGAAGGAAATTAACCGTTTTTGCTGTGTTTGACGGCAATTTCCAAATACAAGCCCCTGGGGGGCTTATATTTGGAGGGGCAATTTAACGGAGGATTTTTTGAATTACGAGTTTGGGGGGCTTATACATGGAGGGGCTTATTTTCGGAATTTTACGGTATTTTCTGAAGCTTCCCAAACGGAATAACGCGAACCATTTGATTTTCCAACCGGAATTCCGGTTCTCCTATGTAAATGGTAAGCACCCCTAGATTTATGGTCTGCTACACAGCCGTTTTTAGTGTCCGTGACGACACTAAAAACGGCTGTGTAGCAGACTACTAGATTTAGCAACCAGTTGTCAAGAACAAAGCAATGCAGTCAACCACTCGTTCATTCAGGTAGTTACAAGATCGGTCAGTACTTCTCTTATTTCGGTCTCAACGAATATAAAAATGTTATTTAAGTTTTAACTGATGATAGCTCAGCTATTTTATATCAAAGGATACCACAGGCAGAGTATCAAAAAGACTCTTGGGAAGAGATTCAGACACCACCATCTGCTCTCTGTCCCAGCGAGCTCCTTCTAAAAACAAACCCTGTAATAAACAAAAAACATATAATTGATTGAGGACGAGATTTTGGGGTATTGCCTACCTGAGACTGGTAAGCCTGCGTACGGTGGCACCCCGATATCACTTTCCCAAGGGACCGGAAAAACTCCTTCATTATAACGGGGATTCTTTATATCTTTAAGTCCTGCTCCTAGCATTTTACTTTTACCTTACTTCGGTAAAGAACGTCATTAGTTATACCGGAATTCATTAAGGAGCAGACTGATTTCATTGTGCCAAGCCTTTCCATAATTGTTTATCAGGAGAACATAAAAGGCTTTACGTTCTCTTGTGTACATTGAAACAACAAGGTTTTTTGAATATCATTTGCAAGGGGCTGATACGAGCTAGGCAAAAGATACTAGAGGTAGTGACTGCATGCAAGAGAACTCTCTGCTTTTGTTGTCTAGCGCTACGGTTCGAGCCTCTGCAATTGCGTTCGGGGGACGAGAAGGAATACTAGTGAGGTAACTTCCTGTGAATAAAAGCCGAAATGTTTGAAGGATCTTTCGTTGCTCGTTTATCTTCCCCTACTACGTCCCAATCACCTTCTCAACATTCACACACGACTTTGCTGGTGTGGTTGTAGTGAAAGGCTCTTTTACATTCTTCGGAAATTTCTTAGATACGGTGCATCAAAATTTAGAGAAATATGCATTGCGTCTGGATGTTATGAACAACGCGAACTTGGCCACCCTTGTTAGCTAGCGCAAAAGACAACCAAATTTGTTAACTTTACTGAGACTTTCGCTTATGAAAATCAGCCAGACGAACGCATGCCATAATCTATGATTGCTACCAGTTTATATAGAGGTGTCTTCAGAACTTACGTTAACATACACGCCATCTTCAGGCCGGGAGTCCATTTCTTTCTCACTTTTCATCATTTCAAACTGGAAGCCCACGTGATCAATAGGAATTGTGTACTTCCGTGCAAAGTTCTGGCGCGCCCCTACCAATAGACAAATTTATCAGTCAAATCAGTAGCCCATGGTTAAATAGATCATCTTCACTCGTGTGATCAGTGGCCGCTATGCAAATTTCTCCGAACAAAAGAACGCTTTTACAGGATACGGCACCAAAATGGCCGCCGTTGCATTGTTTTGTACACCAGTATGGCCGCCGTGATGTCACGTTCAAAGCTGGGTTAATAAAAATAACCAACCTGTTAAGAAAGACTGAGTGAAGTAAAATCCCGAGATCCAGAACACGTTTGGTTTTCCATGGTCAATCCAGTCTTGAAAAAACGTCAGTCTAATAGGAGAAGAATAATTACCGGCTAATTAGGGAGGACTACAACCTTGACAAGTTACAAATATTCAGCGGTATTCAGTCCGTCGGGAAAGTACTGCCTAGTGAATTTTACCCCTGTGGAGTGACTTTTGAACTGGGTTGAACTCCAAATGAAGGATTCGCAAGTAAAAAATAGTTTGGGCAATTCAAGTAGCGAGAACCCTTTGATACGATTAGGGAATGACTTTAGAAGGAGAAGTAATATCAGTGTTGGCCAATCTGAAGGCTTAAAGCGCTAGACAAAAAATTATCTTCTTAAAGAAATAAGCAATAGTGCATTTAGCCTGCCTTGCAAACACATAGTGGAAAAAACTACTCAACATACCTCTCTAAAAGGTCAGCCACATAGCTACCAAGTGGTTTGAGAGACGGATAGGACTTTGCAGACCAAACAGCTGGCACCTTGCCTACAAGCATGTTATTAAACACATCTTCAAGATCACCTGACATTACCACGAGACCCTGCAAGCAATCACCAAAGCAGTTAGTTTAGTATGGATGGACACTTCTTGTTTAGAAAAAGTTTAACAATAAGGCATTGTACCTAACTGAAATAGACCCGGGCGACAAACAAAGGGCACGGCCTCTTCGATCAGGGTTGGAATAAAAGAGAACATTCCATTAACAGATGTAAATTCCAAAAGTGTCAGGGCAAATGCTACTAATTCAAACGAAATTAGACAATTTAAGGCGAAGTCTTTAAAGTTATTAGAAATAACTTTGACTTATTCCATGTTACTTTTCAAAAACTACCTTTTACCTTCGTCATTCTATTGAGTCTCGCGCCTCTTTCTTGTCCTGTCAGAGGCAAAAACCATATCACTCACGGCCGCTTGCTGACAGGCGTCTTTTTTCCCGCGCTTTTTGCTGATTACATGTACTTGTTTCGAGATCTGATTGGTTTATTTAAATGTTGATGTGTACTGTGATTGCCCAGTAGTCACTTTACGTTTGGTTTTACGACACTCACAAGATTTGTCAGACTTACTTTGATGGCCTTCTGCAGGTTCTGTAGCGTACTTCGTACCACAGTAGTGAGCCGGTTAAACCGGATTAGCTCCTGTCTAAGCACGGTGTTCATGGACTCTTCGTAGACCACAGGGTACTTGTTCATCACCATCTCAATGTCGAACGGAGGAGGGAACTTGGATAGGATGTCGGCCGATAGTTCATCGATTACTTCAGCTGAAGATTTTCCACCTCCACCCGATTGACGAGGCAGGGTTAACAAGATGCTGTCAAACAACTGAGGAACAAATACAAAAAAATGAGACTGCTTTCAAACTGCTAAGATTATCAATTAAATAGCTTTCAACTGAAACTCAAACCATTACGCAAATGAAGAAGATTATCAGCTCAGCGTTATCCGCGCGCATATACAACAAAAGATTAACAGGTGCCACTCACCTCTTGGGTCTCCTTCTGGTCCTTTGTAATGTCGGCATTCTCATGAAGACCAAACACTTCCGGATGAGGTATGAGCGGCAATTCCCGGATGTAGTCCACGTATGACTCGTAATCTCCCTTGGCAGGTGCGTAATATGTACCACTGTCTGAGAACCTTTAGTAAAGGAACCACAGAAGATTATGATCACACTCATCATGTATATACCACACTGCTATTCACTCACAATATTTCGCAGTTTTTGACTGGCTCAAATTCCCCCGGAGTAATGTACCATCAATTCGATGGTATATCGTATATCGGTTTGGAATCAAGGTTGATAGATGGAACTTCTGACTAAAACTGAACGTAAAATGCAAGAATACGCAAAACATATCGCTCGATGGATGTTATCTATGGTTTGAGGAGTATCTGCAAGAAAAAACATCTTCTGAAAGAATAATAAAACAATTTTTTAAATTAGGTTTTCGTATGATGTTAAGAATTATGCTGATCGCGGAAGCTGCTATCTACCTCTGCCGATAACATTCTCCTCGATCTGCATAATCCTTCCCATCGTACTCAGCCTCATTCAGTATTATTGTCAATTATCATTTTTCGTGTGTGGGACGACGCCAGAAGCGGGAGGTGCCCATGTGAAAACAGCAACGTGTTATTGACGGAGTTAACTCACTTGTGATCATCCTTGCCTATGATGTCTTCGCACACAAAGATGGACAACAGGCAGACCAACAATCGACGATCTTTGTCATCAGTGACGCGCCCACCATAGTTACATTGACCAATCAAATACGTAAGCGCGTCCAACGGAACTTCGTCGTAGTCATTCAAAAACATCTACGTAAACAGAATATAGTTCAGCGTCTTGTCTCCTCAATCTCTCAGAAAATTCAGGCCTCAGTTGTTCAAAAGGTGGATAACGCTATCCATCGGATAAACCACTATCCACTGGATAGCGCAATTGGTTTCCCTAATACATATCCACTGGATGGTGATTTATCCGGTGGATAGTACTATCCACCTTTTAACGCGAGCTCCCCTAGAAACAAATCATTATATTGACCCCAATACTGACCAACATCAATTTTCTCCTAACAATATCCATACATTGTCAAGAGGTCATGAGAATTAATAAAATGATCACCAAAGAGAAAATGCCTTGATCTTTTATCAAATTCTCTCAACTAATTCTTTAAGGAAATGTATGGAGATCAGTTTGGAGAGTTTGTATGTGGATATTGGGACTTAAGGGGTTAACTTGTGATTTAGTGCTCAGTTGTAACCATATCAACTAACAACCTTCTGCTTAATATCTTTTTTTTCTCGGTTGCTTTACTTACACGTCAAAGGTAAAAAAGGTAAAAGAGGTAAAGGAATAAATGGCTTTGGGAGAAAAAGTGCGGTAGTTAAAGATCACCACTTCAGATCTAACCACAGTTTTAAGACAAAAACACCTTTGTTGACGATTCCAGATCGAAAAGGCTTGAAATCTTTATGAGGACAGTTTATTTTCTAATTTTCTTTACCACCTTTGTGTCTTTGTTTGTGACGTTTTAGAGAAGGTACGAAACTGAAAAATATTTACAATGAAAACGACTCAAAATACCTGCAATTGCCTCATGCTGATCCTTAGATCCGATTCGTTAAACTCGTAAGGAATATTCCACCCTAAGGGACCAAACTTTCTTCTTTCCTGAACCAAGGCGTGGAAGAAACACAGTCCAAACAACAGTTTCTCCCAAGGCGCCGGCTAAAGAGGAATAAAGAGAAGAGTGAGGAAAAGAAAAGAAATTTTTATGTCCAAAGAGCATCATAACGAGGGATATACATAAATAGCTGGAACAGGCGAGAAAAACTCGTGTTTAACAGACCAGACCAAGAACGAATTGAAAAAAGCAGGGCAGTTGTGTTTCACGCTTTTCAAAGTACCATCCGTTCACTTTTCTTAGTTTTGCCTATCTTTACCCCCTTTTGATTTTCTGTATTCAGTTTGGGTTCTAGGTCTTATAACCTGGGACCAGGCTCCGCAGTGAGGGAAATAGGGAAATAGGGCGGCAAAAAAAATCTGCGAAAGCCAAAACTCTCGGCGAGCGAAGCGAACCGAGCTTAAGTCTGGGGAAGGACGGGTGACGCCCTTTACCCTTTCCCAGTCCCTCGCTCGGCTCGCTTCGTACGCCGACTTTTTTTTGCTGCCCAAGCTGGTATATTTGTCTTTCTTCAAAGCATTCATCCAGTTTCTATTCTTGAGAATTTTCAGTCTACAAGAATTTAACAAGACCTTGACTGCTGACCTTATTACAAGCAGTGAAGAATTCCTTGTCTGAAATCGGATCATTGAGGTATGAGCGTAACAAGTTTGAACGAAGACCTTTTGGAGGCTCGTTGGTCATCTTTACTCCTAAAAAGCATCAACAGTAAAGTTAAAAAAATTATAATATAATAGACGGCCTATGGCCTGGCTAGCCATTAGGGCGCCCAGTCCGACATGGACGCACGGCGACTCATGTGTTCTCTTATGCCTGCGACATGATTAACTTTAAACTATTCTCTTACCATTTTGCAGGATGGACACAGGAAAGTCCGGTGAAGGATAACTGGTCAGCCACAATCTAAACTCCTTGTGCGTGTTATCCGGAACAAGTACATCTTCGCAGATTTTTTCTAGTTTTGACATCCAGCTGGTTGCTAAATGACAATTCTGAAGTACCACCCATGTTCCTTTCTTTAAAGCCTGTTCTATCATGCGTGTCGCTATAGGGCCCTGTGAGACAAAAGAGAAAAATCAAATAAACGTCTTTACCGCTTTTGTATAAAAACAAAGCTCTCCGCCCCACCCCTCCCTCCCCCGCTCAAGTGTGTGTAGACATGTGCCATTAGGCGTTTTGTAGATAATCAAGTTCCTCCTCTGTTCTGTTGGCAAACTCTCCAAACCAAGTTCTATTGTTACAGAGGTGTAGCGACAATTGTACTTTCGACTCCTTTGTTAGATTCCAAGATAAACGAAACTCGTTTCAGCCGTGATACAGCTCTTAGTGTGCCTAAAGTTATTTCGTGTCTATGGTTTTGAATATTGTTATTGGTTAAAATAAGCTCGCCCCTGTTTCTCAGCCAATCAGAAAACAAAACTCTACCAGCTGTAACTTGCTCGGAGGTTTTTCCCGCGCTTGGCACCGGCTCCTTGCATTTGCTGTGAATTCTGATTGTTTAACTGGACTGTCTGCCTTTGGTGTGATTAGTCAAAGATATGACTGAGTCTGTATTCACGACACTCGACTGAAAACCGCGGCAGGATTAGCTCACACGGTAGAGCGCCTGACTGCAAAGCTCAATAGTGAGGGCCTAAAAATAACTGAGAAATGAAGGTTCTTCCTCGGCCCTGCAAACGGCTAGAACTTGGTGTGGCTCGGATGACCACGTAAAAGGGCGGTGCCATCTCAAGTCGAAGACGTAAAATTTGTCATCGATCAGCACTTTCTTGCTAAATACATTGGCACTCAAATTAAGTGCGTTTTTTAAATACACCAGTGCAACTCACCTGTCCTTGGCCGAGTGAAATAGTCTGAATTCTGTTTCCACCAAAGCCTTTGTCACTAGCAAACTTGAGCAGACCAGCCATGGGATCAGCTCCAGGTGATAACACGAATATCAGCGGTGCACAGCAGTGGGAATCGTTATAACTCAATTGTAAATTGAATGTCGGCGGTTCAATGTACGAGCGACCCATGTTTTCCACGATGAAATCCTGTAAATTATTGGTCAAGTGATTATTAACTTATAAAAATGTATAGTGCCGTACAATAATGTCCAGTAGACTTCACAAATAAATATATCAGTTGTTATTCAACTGGTACCATCACCAATAAGATGAAAACAAAAAAAAAACAACAATGAAACACTTCCAGAAGCCTTCAAAGAGAAAATTGCTTTTAAATGGTCAAATATCAGAGCATGTATGAGGGTAAAGCGAATTAGATCTTTAGCAGATATCACTTTTATATATAAGGTTTTTCTTTATTTGTTTTTATATGCATTATTTTGATTATCTGTGTAGTTAAACTGAGTAAATAAATAAACTGATAATAACCTGAACGGCAGGAACGACCTTGTCAGGTCTGAGGCATCGAAGAACCACCAGCCTGCAAAAAATGAAAAATTTAAAAACGAAGCGATGACTTGAGCGTCGTGAAGTGATGTGGTGTAGTGTGAATTCAAGCAAGCTCTGCCGGGGAAGCGTAAAGAAACATCCATAATAGACTTACTTGAAAGTAACTTAGGCCCTTAAGCAGGTCAGACAGGCTTTAAACAAGCTGGAATTCTTTAGAGACTGTGTGACAAATGGCTAACTCAGTATGCAATGTCTAAAATTTTGGTGTTGCGACCGTGCGAGGTATATAAACCCTGAAATGCGACCGTTCAAAGCACCACGAACAAGAATGTTTTTATTTTGGCATGAAATGTTTCTCCCGCGGAAAAGACTACCTGGCACTAAATTTAAGGCTATGCTGTGAGAAAACACCGTCTTACTCTTAAGAATCAAGCCACAGAAAAGAAAAGGAAAGTTGGCCTGTTTACTTACCGATCGAGACCCGACACAGCGTCCCAAGGATCTGGCATCTTTTCTACATGAGGTGTAGCTGAGTCATAAAACGCTTTCCAACCTGGATCTGGGAAACCTGATAACAACAAAATAGTATGAAATCATTCACTTGCTTATTCGAAATTATTCCTTCTGTTATAACGGAAACTAAAACAACAACAAAAATCAATGTCAAGAGTGCTATGCGACAAATCAGAAAGATATGATCTCCTTTCGGATTCAAATCTAGGATCTCTGATTTAAGCTTTTTCTATGCGTTTATATAGCGGGGAGCGGTGCGAAATGGAAAGCAGAGCAAAAGGCCTACGGAATAGGGTAAGGAGATTGAAGGAGACAGCGTGGCTGCGTGGTTAGAGGGCCGGACTTGCAATTCGGAGGCCCCTAGTTCAAGTCCCTCTCTGACCGCTAGCTGGATTTGTTCACGGTAGTCCCGAGTTCAAATCCTCCACCAACCCCATTTGATTTAAATTATTTGTTTCAGGAATTTGTTAGGCCCCACTGGAATTATTGCTACAAATACTGCCGAGGGTAAATAACGGGAATCTATTTTTTTTCCTTTATTCCCCCGCTATGGCAAAAAAACTTTTGGAAAACTTAAAGGGTCGTTTGTGCAATGACTCTGTCGCTTTTTTTGTTGCCGACACATCGCTGACATACGTGCTATTGTTACAGACATCTAGAGGCCATAACAACAGAAAATCGTAAGAACAATCCAAAAAAAGTTATCTTTTCCACAGAATTGGATATAAGACTACACTTACTGTCCTTCAGTCCTTTTAAGTTGGGTAAGTCAGACGCTCTCACGATCTCCGACCAGGATTTTTCGGTCAACCACTCCGAACATGGATTCGGAAACGGATTATCCAGAGCTACTCCGCCAGTTAAAAGGAACCTCCAAACTCGATCATCTACTTTACCCCTGGGAATCAAAGAAATCTCCATTTTATTAAACATGGCTGTCAATTAAAGTTTGTACGTTAAAGGGTAAATGAATAGGTTAAAAACTGCGAAATTCAACAATGATCGCGACTTGTCAGATATCATAACAACGAACGTTATCTAAACTGACTAACCAATCATGCAAAATGCTAAAAAACGAATGCAGTCAAAGACAACTATATTCTGAGCTCCCAATTCGCTCACTTTTCCTTGAAAGCAGAGTCAACCAACCAAAAGCTGAGCGCGTTGCAGCTGACGCACGTATTCCGGAACAAGTGATTTCAAGAGATAATGGAAGGCAGTAGTCGAATGGTTTATGGTGTTGGACAGTCTTCCCTTATGTTCTCATCTTCCTCGAGGGTGAATTTTCACTCGTGCTCGTGTATTTGGCTCACTCTACCCACTATTATTATTATTATTTTTTCTAGATTCTTACTTTCCCTTCATGATTCCAATGGTTAGAGTTATGGAGAAGAGCAGCTTGTCTTTCTCAAACAGCGAGCGGCACACGTTGGAGTAGATACTGTGGGTGAAATGCTCGTTTAGACTTTCTATCCTTTCTTCCAGGTCTGAAGACGGTCGGCTGTTACTGATCGACTACAATAAACAAAAACAACGTAATAAGATACGAATAATGTTTAGAAGGAGCATTGCACATGGTGTTTGAACTTTCTGAATTAACATCTTCAACTTTTGAGTTTACCTCGGTGTAAGAACCTGTGACCTTTTTTCTTTCTCTCCATGTGTTTTTCTACGTTCTATTGTGTTGACTTCTTTGATTACTTTGTTTTACATCACCCGTGAGTTTAAAAGGTTCTGAAACCGAGGATAAGCCCAACTTTTGAATCTTTGAACTTTACCTTTTACCTCAACCACTCTCCCCTAGTATGTTTTTGTCCACGGGCGTGATTTAACGTGAATATTTAGCTTTTAGTCAATAGGTGCCCAGTACGTGCTCGCGCGTAAGTTTGAACTTCGTTCCGTAATTTTCCAGATTTTTTACTCTCTCTTCGTCGTTCAGTTTTTTTTTAGCTTAAGTGCGCATTTTATTTGAGTCAGAATTTTTGATGGAACTTGAGTCTACACCTTCTTAGAGCTAAGAGAGCTGAGCTTGAGTAACCTAGTGACTAACCATGGTAGACCAGTTCAATATTGGCCAGTAACTGAATAACATGTTTTACCTAAAGGTATAGGTGTATAAACCATGTGACTGAGTATTGGTACAAGAGTTCAATATTGGCCAGTGACTGAATAATATTTTTTACCTGGAGGTATAGGTTTATAAACCATGTGAGCGAGTATTGGTACATGGGTTCAATATTGGCGAGGTCTGAGATGCAAAAGAACAAGATGGAAGAGTGTGTTGCTACTGGTTTGTATCCATTTCGAGTCTCGTCAATTTCCTTCTCCGTTGCTGTAGCGATTTCCTGAAAAACAATATTTGAACTAACGTCACTTGCGTGTCGGTCATTAACCACGATATAAGGGCTTCTAAATCAATGATCGCGTATTTAGCATGCAGCGAAAATGCACGTGTAGCCACAAAAGCGATGAAAACACCAGTGGAAAAAGAAAACAAAACAGAGACAAAGTCAGGCAACGCGAAAAATACTTCCTGGTGGTATCAAAAACAAGTACTTATCGGCAGCTTCGCGGTCAAGTTTGACAAGCAATAATGAGAATTACAGAAGTTTTTCTTTGATAATCTCTTGAGTCGCTCCGCAGTATCGCGAAACGTTTGACAGTTATGACGTCACAATGTTAAAATTAGAACTTCGCGAGCACGGAAGGAATGATGTCACAGTCACAGCTCGCGCAGCCTAGGAAGTGCTTTTCCCTGTCAGGTTTTGAAAGAATTATGTACAATTTTTAATTTACCTGTTTAGCGGAAATTTCTTCCGACAGAACCTTTGAAGATGAGAGGATCTTGATTGCAGTTTCATCCTCTAAAATGTTTCCCTATTTAGAAATGAATTAAAAAGATTGAAAACGTTGCACAATACAGGAAAATACGGAAAAAGATGAAATAGTCAATCACCAAAAGGATGAGTCAAGGAAACATTTCACTACCACAAGCGATTCAAACCACAGGATTTTTTTCACTCTCTCTTTTTGAACTTAAAAGTTCTTTAAGATAACCTTAGCACTCATGCATGCCTTCAGCAGAGTGCTATCGACTTTCTTTGGCATATATTAAGCACGACTGAAATCGCAGTTGAGTTCTAATTCAGTTTACCGTCGATACCCTTTCATCTCTATCCCATTTAAAGAAAATTGAGTCAAGAACTAAACTGTAGTAAGTTACCTCGGAAGATGACAACACCTCTAGGATCTTGTCTTCAATTTCTTTGAGCTAAAAGCAAATATAAATAAATACCTCAGAACTAAGTAAAAATATATAAAACAGGAAGCAACGTCGAGACAAAAATTAGCCGTTTCTAAAACCAACCTGTTTTTTATTGGCCGCACTTTCCAGAATAAGTTGGTTTTTCTTTTCCTCCAGTTCAGGTTTCTCTTTAGCAGCCACAATCCCAAGCAGTTGATCCTCCAGCCCCAGGGGGGTGATCATAAAATTCACTAGGGTCACCTTAACTGAGATCTCAGGCAGGTAGTGAGGATTACGCAGGCGCGTCGTGATATAAAACCGGAAGTCACGTGAATATTCGATGCTGTTCTCTCCGAGTTTGAGATACTACGGAAGACAGAACCACAAAATAAATAAGGACAGGAACCTGTCATGAAGCTAAAAGAAGTAGCAAATGGCGGATTTGATATCCTTTGATCACCAGAGACTAAGAATCTAAGAATCGTCAAAGTTAGAGTTGTTGCTTTTAATAACTGGGTTAACGTCAACTACTCAAGAGGAACTGGAATATCAAAAAAAGTCGCTTGGTGCCGGCTAGAGTTTGCTGAGGTTCAACAACTTTCCGATAGATGTAAAAAGACCAATTTAATGGTGCATTTTGTATCGGTGCGATTTTAAAATCTAAATCCGGATTTTCCTCAAAAAAGCAGAATCCAAAAAGGGATTTTGCCAAGCAGAATATTCGTCTGCGACGTGGATTTCCATTCAAGAGATCCGAACACGAACTCCGTTTTGGGATTTTGTGTTCAAATGGGAAATCCGAAAAATCAGGATTTCCCACAACGCACTCTTATTTTTAATTCCCCTGCCAAAGAATGTGTCGGGAAAGACGCGCACTCGGGGAGCTGGGGCCCACACAGTCAGAGCTTCGTTCGCATTCGGCGTAGCACGAACGGGGTGTTAAGTTCATCAAGAGGTTATCAAAATGATCAGCAGAGAGTTCATACATCTGTTTCGGGAGAGAGAACGTTCAGAAGAATTTCTGAACTAAGAAAAAATGTCTACACACCTCCACGCCACCTTGTTTGAAGGTCTGCTTCAAGAGAAGCGGCTCCAGAATTGGATCCAGTTCCTCTCCAACATTTTCCATCAGAACAGGCGTACCAAACTGTATTTACAAAGAACGCAACTGTTAAGAGACGTTTTTCAAGGGTCCTCAATAGATTTCTCGGGATGCGGGTTTTGCCTCATTGAAGGCCGGGATTCGGGATTGAAAGTTAAGCACAGGATGCGGGACCGGGGATGGCGAAAAAACCCCTCAGGATTACGGGATTGAGCGAAAACTTGGGTCGGGATGACGATGATTGAGGAACCCTGTTGGGGACCCTCGTATTTAAGGTGGCTTTTGTGGTCAATATAACAGGACCTTTCGACTGTTAAAACACTGAATAACAGTCCCTACTGTCGTAAGTAGGTTGAGTATGATCGTCCGGGTGAACGTAGTCCTGAAGAGGACTGTTGTTGACAGCGGTTTAACTGAAAGACGACCAATACTATAACGACTTAATGGACCAATCACGTCAATAAATAGAGTTTTAATACCTTCAACTGACGTGATACAACTCACTTTGACTCTGAAGATGACTACCGCACAGGTTGTCGAAACGTCAGTCACTGTCAGCAACAACAGTCCTATTCAGGACTACCTTCACCCGGACGATCATACTCAACCTACTTAGTGAAATGACTCCTGGATTCGAACCTTTCATAGTCCCTACTTTCACTTCGTACAACTCAAAAAGAAAAGTGAAAAAAAAAGAAAGAAAGAAAGAAAGAAAGCCACTCCTACCGTGATACTGTTCTCCAGGGTGCGGATGTAGTTGGAGTCAGATAGTTTGATAACCGAAAGTTTGTTTTCTTTCTCCATGTTCTTAATCCACTTGTTGGCTTGACCTTGAGGATCAATCATCAGTGGCCATCGCCGCGCGTTATCCACAATAATGCCGTTGTCGACTGAGAATGAATCCACGGGGAGACCAGCAATGTTCCATTCGCGGATTTTGACTGGGCTACCAAGAGTAGCGTTCAGAGAGAATGATTCGGAGCAGGGAATTTTCTTTACATTACACTGTTCTACCCAGCCTGATATACAGTCCTATATGACAAAGGAGAAACAACAACACACATTAAAGCGGTCGTGATTGAAGGACGAAAGTCACTTCGTTGGTTTCAACGATCACGCTTTTCACTGGAGCAGTATACAAATCGGGATTCACTCTTCGGTTCCCAACATCAGAAAATAAATGACAAAAAAATATATGAATGCATGTAGCAAGCACGAATGTATAAATTGCAAAGTTTATTTTCTACTGAGCCGTGACTGATCTACGTTAAAGCCAGCCAACCAAACACAACTGTAACGCGCTATGCGTTTGCTCTCGCTTGGTGCCGGCTACCGCTATATTTTTCCAGTTCTGATTTCTTTGTTGCGTTGTCCGCATGTGACGGGTGTCTTTTCTGGCTTGAATTAAGCGGTTTAGTTACTAAAGAAGTTCCGGATCATTTTACGTTTCTGTGAAACTGTCCACCTACCCCTCCCCTAAACCAACATTAACACTTAGTTCTTACTTAGGGCAAAATGTTGGCTTAGGGAAGGGGTGGGTGGGCAGTTTCCCAAAAACGTAAGATGATCCAAAGTTCCCTCAGTTCAAGTGCTCAGTCTTAATTTAAAAAAAAATGAATAGCAGGGAAGAGGCAATATGAGCATGTATAGAATGATCAGTAAGGAAAAATGTGAACTTACATTCCTAAAGTCCACAGTGAAAGGACCCAAATAAGCCACCACGCCTGAGGACAAAAGTACGTCACCAGTGATCCTGTCATATTTTTCTCCCAGAACACGAGCAGCTTCCGTCCAGCGGTCTTTCTCACCACCCAGTCCTCCGATCAGCTTTTCAGCTCGATCAAGCTTTTGTTCACAGACCATGATGTTGTGTTCCAGTTCCTTCTTTTTGTTGGTCATGGCGTCAAATTCATCGTTCAGAGCTTGAAGTTTGTCGACAACCTAGCAGCAAAAGGAGAACAGTCAAATTAACAGTTTTTAATCTTTTATTGCTGACAACCGAAGTACAGTAATGATAGATACTGTCAATTCCAGTACACCAAACAACGACAACAATAAATCTGTAAATTCATCAACTTCATCCAACACTGTTCCATCCGTCTGACCTCGGCCCTTGTTAGACGGTTTTGGATATTGCTGGAGATAGAGCCATTAGGCCAATCAAACGGATCCAATACCATCCAACAATGATGGGCCAAACATTATAGATGATGTTGGATCAACATGGTGGATTCAATCAAACAGGCAGTATATAGTATAGCAACAACAAACCTCTTTGAGCTGAGCTCGTTTGGCATTTAACTTCTCCATTTGTACCGAGAGCTCGGCTTCTGCTTGAGCAAGTTTCTCTTTCTTGGGAGCAACAACCTTCAAATGATAATAATGATGTTAGATTACAATGCAAACAAGACAATATTTTTCTAAAAAAAAAACAGAAACATGGATAAAATTAACAGGTTTCAGCGATGCTGCTCCGCGACTATACTGTCCTCAAAGAATTCTAATTTGTTTGCATACGGAGCACAGAGGAGTTCTTAAGAGCTCGTTTAAACGTGTTCGTGCGTTCCAGATCGAATTGGAATTTGGAAGTGTTGGTTTTAGGAGAGAGGTGAAAACTGGAGTACCCGGAAAAAAACCTCACGGAGCAAAGGAGAGAACCAAGAACAAACTCAAGCCACATATGGCGTCGACGACGGGACTCGAACGGGGACTACATTGGTGGGACGCGACTTCTCTCACCACTGTACCACCCTTGGTCCCCAATCAAGATTGGAGGATCACAGAGCACAGATATATAAGAACTCAAATAGGATCGTTCTATTATAAGCTGTAACGGTAATATTTAGGGAGTACGACAAAAAATTTTGCCAAGGCTAAAACTTACTTTAGCAACTCTCTCGTAAACCTCCATCGCACGAACCCATCTACACAGACCTTCGCAGGCGGAAGACACTGAACGAATGTTGTTGGGATCAAAATCAGGGTTCGTCACATACCTAAGGAAAGACGAAACGCACTTCAACACTCGGATATGACCATCGCTTCCAATAAAATTTCATTTAAAGATGGGATGGGCTGGGAAAAGATACGAAGCAAGTTGTTGCAGTGTTCATGGAGACTTCGGTGTATATAGAGTTGTCAAGTATTGTTTACATCTCTACACATAATAACAGAACAAGAGTTTGAATGTTTCACCGTGTTCAAGGGTTATCAAAGTAAGCATAAACACTGACTTTCCTACAACTGAATAACATTTATTTGCTGGCGTTATGCAATATGGTCGTGTAGTTACTTTGCCGTGGTGCAGGAATTGTTTATTTCCTTTTGGACTTTGGTAGATATCATTAATTTAGTGAATTCAGTACCCGTGCGATCAAACAACTATCTACGTTTTTTTCAGTTTTATCTCACAGGCTGAGATGCGACGTCAGGGAAACAAATTTGACGTCTAAAATTACGTCAATAAATGGCATAAGCTACGTGAAGCCTGCCCTTTCTCCGATTTCTCGTGGGGGAGGGGTGTACACAAATCATCCTACAAAGCAGTAAAAGCGCATTTTCACAACTCACTTCTCCCTGATCTTTTTAATAATGGCGGCTGGAATGTTATCCTTGTCGTAAACTTTCAAGGACTCCAAGAATTTCAAGTCTCCAAGCATCTTCTGTGATGGGCCCCAGAAGTCTTCCACCATGCGTCCCGAACCCGAGGGATCGGGTTTTCTCTCGGGTTTTATTCCTTTCATAATACAAACAGCTTCCATGACCAGCTTCACAGCTGCTGGGGGATTCTATAAACAGAAATACCACATGTCATTAACACCCATCCTGAACTGAACGCTGGATAAACATTCTATCAGAACCTATTTTCCGAATAATGCAGAATTTCCAGACTGAAGATGGTGACGGTCAATTCGCTTTCAACGGACGGACAGACACTTAGTAAGTGCCGGTTCCAACACTGTCTAAGAAAGTCGGCCGCATGTACACTGCTACAATAGTATGTCATTGGCTTAAATGTTTCCTGTCACTTTCTCAAACTCATTAATAATTCATAAACAAAATACAAAGAAAATTAATGTTTAATGAGTGTTTGGAAATCGGATGAAAAACTGCTCAGTATTTGCATCCTTAATTTCTCCTTCAAAAATGATTTTGTTTGAGAAGAAATATCAAACATTCGACACAGTGTTTCATCACCAGATGAAACACCGAGAAGAGAGTTGAAAATACGACGCGCAGCGGAGTATTTTTGACGAACTTCGAGGTGTTTCATCTGGTGATTGCGAGGTGTTTCATCTGGTGACTGCGTCTCATGTTTGATATATTACTTCTTTACCACTAAAAAGTAGTTCCAAAGAATTTGAATAGAACGTAATATAAATCTAACCGAAATATTTCGGCTGAATCGCCTGGCCTTCGTCAGTTGAATCCTTACAGAATGGTCAAAATGAGACGACCGTAGAATGGTCATGTAACCAGAGAGCGACATCGTAGAAGTGGGAAGTAGTTCACTGAGGCTCTTTCGTCTCTTTCGGTTCGTCATCCAGTGATCACACCATTTGTGAAAGAAAAACACTTGTTTTCCGACGCTGCGGGCCGGCTTCGCATATAGAAAATCCGAGTGGTTTACGGAATTTTTTGCAACACTTTTGACAAACCGCTCTATATTCACGTTAATGCAGATCTCCACGGAATTGCCAAGTCTAGGTTACCGCAAGACTTCCCAAATTTTTTGGTCTCCTGAAACTTATGAAAAGTTACCCATTTAAGGGGAGCCGCATTTTCATCTATTCGTCGGTCATATTGGTGAAATATTGTACTGTTTTGACATAATCTAAGAAATCACATATTGACTTATGCACGGCAATGTCTATAACATACCTTCATGGTCTTGACCATACTGATGTCACTGGGTTTGAGGGTGTTCAGCGCCTGCATGGCTGCCTCCAGGGCCGGCATAGCTTCAGCCAGATCGCTTTCACACTCATCCTTAATGCCCTTAGCTACAGCTGCAGCTTCACTGGCTACTGCTTCATCTGCTGCTACCACCTGCAAACGCACAAGGATAAAGATGAAGACGTTCTTGTAACTCCCTGCATTTGAGGCTCATCCATGGTTGGGATATAATAGCAAAAAAAGGTTTACAGTGTCGGAAGCAATTTTGTGTTTGCTTTGGTTCGTGCGTGCCTTGGGACTGGCTAAAAAACTCGCGTCACTTGCTGAACCAATAAGCACTAGGGAACTGAAACAATTATCTCGTCCTTACACGCGCTTTCCTACGCTGAACTCCACTTCACATTTCTGTTTGGTTCACTGACTATTTGCGTCCCTTTTCATTGGTCAAATAGTGACTTTACTTTCGGTTCTTTGACTCTCAATTGAAAAAAGTAACACAGTTTTTACGAAAATTGAGAGCACATCACTCACCCTGACTTCGCATCTTAACTTTTCTTTTAAACTTCAAACACTTCTGCTGTTCACGACCGGATGATACTAAAACGAGGAACGGGGAACGGGGAACGGGGAACGGGGAACGGGGAACAGGGAACGGGGAGCAGGGAACAAGCACGGGGATCGGGAAAATGAAAAAAAAAAAAGGAACAAAACCCAAGTTGAACCCAAGCCCTATAAGTCACTTTATTTTCAATTCTCTGTTTTGTTTCCATTTTTCATTTTCCCGTTCCCCGTGCTCGTTCCCCGCTCTACATTCCCCGTTTTAGTAACGTTCTTCACGACGCAAGAAGACAGTGAAAGAAGGCTAAAAACAATCTGACACCCGTAAAGTTACTAACATTCGCCTTAAAAGCGACACTTGGTCGCAAAAATTCTCTTTTTTGAACCTCTCAAGGTCGAAAGGTTTTGTTTCATTTCGATTCATTTTAAATTTAATTTATTCATAACTTCACGGTATTTGCGTATAGCGAGAGCTGAAGCGGGTAGTGCTAACGATAAACTAAATTCTACTAAATGCAAATACTATGATTCATACTGATTGTAAGTAAAAAGGTAGCCTGCGTAGCTTGGAAGTAGTGGGGCGAGAAAAAAAACGGCGCGCGAGAAAGAGACACGCGCGTGTCTCCCTCGCACGCGCCCGTTCTCTCTTTCGCCCACTACTTCCACGCGCCTGCTACGCAGGCTAGTAAAAAGGGAAAAACAAAAGAATGAAATTACCACCGAGTTATCAGAAATAACAGGAAAAATTGAAATAACTCAGTAGACAATGACTCCAAATTTGCACCAAAAACACCGGACGAATCTAGCAAGCTCTTACCTCCTTTTTAGCCTCTACTTCAACCGTATCCTGTTCAATTTTGACCATCAACTTTTCCGTCTCCGCGGAAGTTTTAATCAGTTCCGGTTGAAGGTCACTAAGCTCCTGTTGCATGACGGACACCTGCGATGAAGCAAAGTCCAGTTTCTCCAGACCAGTGACGTAACGTTGCTTAAGAGTCATGATCTCTTGGCGTTTGATGTCCAGAAGCTTTTTGAAGGTCATGATAAGTTCTAGGTACGAAGTGGGCGTTACATAATTACGGCGCCTCAAGGACTGATAGAAGCTGCAGGAACAAAGATACATATGCGTTATGGCCCAAGCATGAGGTTAAAGTTGCTGGATATTAGCCAAGGTCTTTTATGTGGTATTTATGTGGAGAGTTTCTTTAACAATCGAGACACTTTTTCTCGGTGATCATTTCCTGCTTTCTCATAAGCGTCAAGTCTGATTAAGTATTGTTATTTTAAGGAGAAATTAGTTGCTGGCTACTTTAAGCAGTGAAAAAGGGAAAAACCTTTTACCCTCAGAGTCAACTTAGTTCAATTCGTTACATTGAGCGATTATCCTCATGCAGTCACTATATACAGATAGTAAAGGTTCTTCGAGGCTTGTGATTATAATCATTAACGTACTGAAAGTTTGTTTCTGGACTTCTAACTTCTGGAGACATGTAAATGGACTCTAACTGTGGGCGAAATCCTACGATGCGACCACAAAAACGAAATCTTAACTTACTATCCTTTAACAGAAAAACTTCCTGGAAAGAGAAAATCAAGAGGATATCCATAAAATGATTCCTCGACTAACACTTTAACAGTTTAAAACACGTGTTCACAGGAGAGGAGGGTTATTGACATTTAATGGACAAAACAAATAGTCGGAGTAGCTATGTGACTCACCTGTCGGACAGCTCTCTGACGCTCTCATGGAAATACTTGCACATGAACACACATTTTTTCCGCACTTCAAGCGCCATGTCAACTTCCTCCAGAAATTTATTTGCTACCATCTCTAAAGCGTCCTCCGGCCAAGCCTAACAACATCAAATATTTATACGAATAGTTAGAGGTCATTGCGCCCGTTAGCGATTCGCCGGTCCCCACAACTCGCGTTGGGATCGGAAATATTTACTGAGAAATTTGTCAACTTACGCGCAAACTCACTATCAGTGAAATCCGACTCTATTACAATTAAAAATTCCCTACATGGTGAAACAAAAGGCACTTCCATAGAAAAAAAACTGACTGGAAAGAGAAGTAAATGTCTCGAAGTGTGCTACAAATGCTCGTGTTCAGTTGACCAAAGCGGGAGTCAACTTCACGTAAGGAAGATAGATGGAAATGGAGGCAAGGTTACCATAAAATGCAGTTTTACCTGAAACCAGTCAATAGTGCAGCAGTTGATGAGGGAAGGGAACATTCTCATTCGGCTTCTGAAGGCATCTCCAATGGGACTCATTGCTAACACCACGTGTAGATTAGCTCGGACTCGCTCGATGAAGAAGTTGTACATGGCTAGCGGTGTAGACTCAATTTTACGGCCCTGAAAACAAAAAGAAGAGAAAGTCACTCACTTAGGAAGGACAAATAGCACAGGACACAAAATAACAAGCTGTAGAAGTAATCAAAGTTTACACACGCACGCTGCACTTGACTGTGAATAAGAAAATGCAAGTATTAAAACTTGGAGATTTACGTAACAAACAGGGTTAGGAAAGCGCGCGCATTAGAATACTCTGCTAAGACGTATTTTGTTTTTAATTTTCGGGGCTTTTGAAATGATTTTCCCCTGATAATCATTTTCGATCTTGCACGGTTTTCGTGGGAACAATATTTTTTTCCAAGATTAAAAGAATCAAATTTAGAGAGCTACGAAATGTTCTCAGGGATGTGAATTTGTACTTCAACCACGAAACCTTGTGGCAACCGGAAAATAAGACGCCCTGACTTTTCCACGAACCAAGGTTTTCCCCGCACATTTCGCAACATCCCAACGCTTTCCTTGACTGTAGTAAGCATGAAAAACGCCGAAGAATTTGGCGTCTTTGTGAGCCAATTTGGGTATGGAATTTTCTACAACGTGTAAGTCCAGAAAGCGGAGTTGGTCAATCAAGCACACCGGAGTGATTTCTTCTCTCACCTCGACTCTGGCCACAGTTTGCATCTTTTCAATGACATCAGCTTTCTCATCAGCAGGAAATATGTTGGGTACATCACCAGTGTTAAGGATCATGTTGATGTCTTCCACAAACGACTCTTCTTTAATTTGATTGTCGCTGAACAGAAACACAGTCGCCTTGCCGTCCACACCTGCTTTGATCAACATCTGTAAAATAATTTTATCAACCTTTTCACTCACAAGGGCGCTTTCACCACTTACTTTACTAATAATATACATGAAAAAATTTCTCAATTGTGATTGGCTAAGAGAAATGCAGTTTTTAGGTAACACAGTGCAGAGAAAAGGTAATTGAGTGCAGAAAAGAGTAACAAACGTGACATTCTGATTGGCTAATAAACAAAGGAACTCACTGAGAGCCAATCAAATGCGCCATCTAAATGGCGCAAAATTCGGATCCGCTCCGGACCAGTTTCGAGCAAAAACCGCAATGGCTGGCGTTTGCAGCACATTTGCTTTTGCGACCGAAACAACCGTAGAGAAACCGAAAAACTGCTCTAAAAACGAAAACACTGCGAAAAGCACTGGTTTTTGGCTCTCTGTTTCGAAGAATTGGTGTGTAGATAAGGAAATTACTGATGAGATAGAAAATTATGAGCATTTCTACGCAGAAGACAAACAATAAAAAAGGTGAAGATTATGAACCAGAAAGCCTTAAGGTAATGATGGCATCGCTTGATAGACACTTAAGGACCAAAGGCTGCACCCTGTCCATTGTACGTGGCCGAGAATTTAGTTCGTCCAAAGAGGTGCTGGAGGACAAAGCGAAACAGCTTCGCTTGGCTGGCCGTGGTAAGCGCCCAAACAAAGCTCGGCAAGTATCAGGGGAGGAAGGAGAAATTCTCTGGAGGAGCGGAAAACTTGAGGTAATAACCCAGAATCTTTAATTCAAACACATTGAAGAATTCCATGAACTGTTCAGCCCGTTTCTGCGGCTTGCAAACTTTAAAAACATCGAGCAAAATGTTGTTTTGACTGCACGTGTGATGATGTTTGCAGCATTTGAATAATTTATTTTTGCACGTAGTTTACGCGTGTTGACTCCCTGTCAAAGTGATTTTAAAGCTATCTGGCAATTTTTTCATGAATATTATTAAAAAGTAATCCCGCGATTTTTCTCGTGCAATTTGGGATAAATAAGTGCTCGTAATTTTTTTCAAAGACCACAAATTGCACTCACCAATTTTGTTAGTCTTTGAAAAAATTTACTCGTGCTTGTTTATTCCAAATTGCACTCGAAATCATGTGATTACCTGTATTAGGTAAAATCCTAAATCAGTTTGATATAGAGTTTATCTTAAAAGGGAAATAGAAACATATTGAAATTACAAGACCTTTGTAGTTTCAATAGTACTGTAGCAGAGTTTTATCTACAAAATAATGTCTAATCATTGTAACAACTTTCTGCGACTAACACTACTTTCACCTCTGTCTATACACTCAAACCCTCAATTACGTTTTTTAAACATGTTTCTGGTGTTTTTAACAAGTCTCTGAAATCTCTTGAAACAATCTTAGGGCTTTTGTTCGTTCTGTATAGTCAACATCAAAGACCTTAGGCAGAAGATCACAAATTATTTACGCAAATTTGCTGTCACTAAACACCATGAATTTCAGTAAGAGCTACCTTCTTGACGTCTTCTCTCCACTCATTCTTGGTGTAGTTTCGTGTAATTTCAATCTGGAACAGATCGTAGTCCGCCATAAAAGTAGCCAAGCGCGTTGCGCTCTGTCGACCGCTTCCTCCGATACCTGAACACAAAATAAAGTCCACTTTTCATGAATAACACGCATTAGAAAGAGCTAGAGAAGAGAGAAATAGACTTACGACTTGACTGAGCACCTCAAAACCGTGTGGGTGGTGGATTTTGCGCAATTTACTTTCTTCTAAAACTTATCTGAGTACTTGACCAAGGTAGGATTAGCTCAGTCGGTAGAGCTCTTGACTGCAGAACAGAGGTCGTGGGTTCGATTCCCAAGGCTGGACCAATACTCAGGGTCTTAAAATAACTGAGAAATGAAAGTACTTCCTTTGCCCTGCAAACGGCTAGACTTTCACATGGCTTGGATGAGCCTCTAGCCAACGAACCCCAGCTTTGTGGAGAAACGTGAAGGAAGGGGAATGGAAAGGGGTGATGCAGGAGTGATCTAAAGGAAAGCAAACTAGTTAGAGAAACAATTGGAGAGATTAATACGAGCTGTACTCACCAACAAGAAGGGCGTGTCCATTGTCCTGTTTCAGCACTCGAGCGACTCGTGAGATGTGTTCAATGGCAAACTTAAACATCACAAGCGACATGGGGGTCTTACTCATCTGATTAAACTCATCCAAATACCTGAAAAACACAATTTGTTCATAATCGTCGCAAGAACCGAGCCCATCGTGTTGGGGATAGACTCCGGTAACAGAGGGAAGACAATCGCCAAAGCTTTCACGTAGCTTACATTTTCAATTCTCATGTACCGTTCCCATTTAACTACTGAAAAGACGGATAGATGGGCCATGGCAGGAAATTCTGAGGGGTTTTAAATCTTACAATGCAATCATTCACGTGGAAACTTCAAAGTACTGCTTTCCTGTATAAGGTGATTTGGAATGTAGTGTCTGACTTTCTAACATGCAAAAATAAATCATTTCAACAGTTCTTTTTACAGAAGAGAATTTCGTACGTGTTTATTTCATGGTTAGACGGTTAGCTATTTGTAGCGTTAAAAATATTCAATAAAATCATAAAGGAAAAGCTAATAACACTTTAGAACCCATTTTATAATTTCACTGAACAATTGCTATACTCTTAACAGTGACATGACAGCTTTTGAGCGCTATATAGTAGATATGAAACCCACCCTTCCATCTGTAGAGTCAGTTGAGATAAATCAGTGACTTCATCATAGATTCTTTCCGGACTATCGGGATTCATGTAATCACCAAAAAACAAGCTCCTGAAAAATATAACAAACAAACAAAGTTGTCAAGGAGGCAGTGGCAAAGTGAAGCAAAAAATCTTAGCGAAAAAAGAGTTACTTAATCTGGGCATGGTGATATAAATTTGGGCTCAAATCCATCACTTGATAAAGATTCCGCGATAGAATCGAAAGCTTGTGTGTAAAACGTTTTTTCCTATCCTGCAAATTGAATCGTCGTTTATTATGAAGCAAAAAATAATACCCGTAATAACTGCAATAACAATAAAAAAGTAACTAAGTCTTGTGAGGTATCTCAGCAACATTGTCCGGGGCTGCGTCTCGCTGGCCACGAGCTGGTGTAGATTTAGGTTGCAAAACGCAGCTGAACATTATCAAGTATAGATTAACGTCTTGACGTTTTAGCGGCATACAGCCATTCTAAAATTCATAGGGCACCTCTCCCTCCCCAACCGTAGTTGTTTTTTTAATTTAGTTTATTTCTTTATTGCGCATATCAACACCACAATTCATCTCTCACGGTTTAGTACTGTGTTTCAAATAGTTGTTACAAACCAATATACTTTACTGGTCATCAAAAAGGAGTGAAGAACCGGTTTTTCTTGCTCTCAATCTCCTCCGCAATCTTATTTGAAAGCTAAACAGAGAATTCTTTTCACTCTGATCAAGACAGAGAGTTGATGATAAGATGTAGGCTAGTGTAAAATACTGTGGTCTTTCTTATCTTGCAAGCAATCTATTTCAATTTTTCTGACCTGATGTGATCGTCCTTGAGTTTCTGTCCTGTTGGTACAACGTGGTCCAGTAAGCTATCCATGTCTTTCTTGAACTGCTGTTTTGTCGTTTCTTTCATCATTTCAAAGAACATCACTCGATCGTTGTTGTCAATGAGCCTGTCGTAAAACACTCGATAAACCTCGTGAATCCACAGGCGAATTAACTTGTCGCCCTCTTGAAGATGCGTGGAGGGAACGAGAAGAACACCAAACACGACACGCGCGAAGTCACGCAAGTTAAACACGTAGTGTGATTTGCTGGGAGTTGGCAGAAATTTCTCGACAACAGCCTTGTACACGTGCATTGTTGCCTGGACAAGAATCTGCAAAAGGAACAAAATGTGGAAAGGGTGCTCTTTAAGCCTGCTGACGTAATATGACGATAAGAAAAATATTCGCGCCAACGATCCCTCAAGCTATCAAAGAAGAGTGTATCATTTATCCCAAGATGTAAGGAGCCCCCTTAGAAATTCCTCAATTTAACCATCATTTTCTCGTTCACACCTCTCTCACTTCGTAAAAGGGAGCGGCTTTATTGTAAAACCGGTTTACTATAACGTCATAGTTCGCATATTTTGCCTGACCTCTGGTCATTGTAAGGTAAAATGACGTCACAGTCGAATACACTCATACCAATGAAAAAACGAGATGATATCGGGGACACACTGTCAATTTAAATTTGTCGTGCAGTAACAACTACAACTTTGGTTTTCACCTACGAATTAACCTGTGAGCGAGCAAACCGAGCCCTAAATAGAGACGTTGCTCGCAGGCTACCTACAAATCTATTTTCTCGACAGCGACGATATCAAGCCTACAAAGGCGTGTTAATCTTACGAGCACCCAATTTTGTTTACAATCTCACCTTTCCCAGTCTTCCGAAGGACGCATCGAATCCTTTGGCAAAATGCCAGTCCACGATGGATGTAAAAATCTTGGTCATGGTGTTGTCATCAAACGAGTCAATTGATATGATATTGAGATGACGTGTGAACCGGCCTGAGATGTCATTACGGCCCCCACCAGGGGGACCCATGGCAGAAACGAATAACTGAAAATAGAAGAAATCACAATCAAATATAATACACTGTCTTCACCAAGTCGCGAAAGGCAATTTATAGAGTATTTATTGTGATAAAGTAGAACCTCGATATTACGAACCTCTAGCTAACGAAGTCCTCGATATAACGAATCATATTCTCCGCCCCAGTATTAGTGAAATATAACGAAAAAACCCTCGATATAACGAAACCAGTCCCTTGCCCATTCGTTAAATCGAGGTTCCACTGCATGTAGTAGGCGACAAAAGAGATGCGAGTCCTCTGAGTTAGTTACCATTAAGGCAATGACACATTTTATACTTCAAAAGCTACCCTGCAGCACACGCAAATCTTACAGAAACTCCTTACTACAGCCGTGACTTGGCCAAAGGACCTCTAAACAGCAATCTTTTATTGAGTTGCATAAAACCCAAACTCGGTAGTTACACTGGCCAATCTCAACAACTGCGAACGATTTAAACCATCCAAAATCCACAGGAAATACAAGAACAGCGTCTACGTTCTGAATTGGCAGGTCACTAGTTAGTTGGGAGAGAACGTTTGTATATCGGTAAAAATGTGCCTACCATATCCATAAGCTCCAGCTTGGATGTATCCTTCCGGTCGTACCAGTGAGAATGATCAATCCACTAAAAATAACATTTGATAAATTACTTCAACAAATAACAGCTAAAGTAAATACAAAGTTTTCACAACAACTGTCCCATAAAGAGCTTTGCACGAAACGTTTGAAAGTGAACCGCGTGTTCCGCAACCTGTGAACATGCGTAAAAAATGCACATTACAATAATGAGATTCAGCTAATGTGGGTGGAAATAAAATCAAGTAAAATTCCAATCTGGTTTTGAGTATAGCTTTTTCGTCTCACCTGTCTAAGCAATTCAATTGGAGGTTGGGCACCATACTTTTCCTTAGAAGGCATATTGAGATCGTCCACAAACACAACACACCTCTTCCCAGGAGGGGGTCCGTATACTCCTTTGCGACGCCTGTTATAGAAGCCATCACGTGTGAGAGTGATCGGTAAATTTTAAAATTATCGATAAAGATACTCACAAAAAAGTTGAGGTTGTCATTTGAAGATAAGTGCACAAAAGAAATGTTCAGATTACCTGTCCAACTTAGCCATGATGATGTCTTGAGTCTGACCTGCACTGGTGCGAGCTGAAAAGTTTATGTTGATTGGAAGATACCTAAAAAAAGGAAAACAAAGAAAAGCGGTTAAATACACAGCAAATGAAGCAACAGACAACTTATAATCGCAGCTCTGGGAACAAGAATCAAGTCGTTATTGCCCTTATTTGCTCTGTCTAAACCAGAATATTATTATAGTGTGGCAAAATAAAACGAGACTTAATGATAACTTTAAAATGATAATTTTAATACATACGATCGATTACAATTGTTTTAAAAGATCGTACTTCTCTTTCGGCATTCCAATGATATAGTTGTTGGTGATGGCTGACTTTCCTGTTCCAGTTGGACCGATGAACAGTAATGGCTTGTTGTGAGTTAGAAATGCTTCCAAGAAAAACATCTGTCGTGCAGTTTCATCTGTTGGGATCATCAGTTCGCTGACCTGTCAAACAAGAATTGAAATCGTTAAGTTAACAATACCCATTTTAAGGCTTTATAGTCAAGTCGATGGTTTATCAGCTTTTCCAGTTGACGGTAGGTTATTAGACTTGCCGCAAGTATACCTCACGCGTTTCACAGCAGGATTAAAAGCGGAGCGAGCTTTTCAGGCCGCGAAGCTGTCCTAAGCAAGCGATGATGTTGTGAGAAGTCAACTTTCGTCCCGCGGGCCATACTTAATAGGATAAAGGACTTTTTCGAAAGTCTAGTCAGTGCTTAGAGGTTTAGGACCAGAACGGCCAGAAGCGAAGCGCGATTTTTCAGAGTCGTAGTAATCACTCATGGCCAATCATAAAATGGGAAGAATATCTCAGGAACTAATCAAAGCTCTGAGCGATAGATGTAGCCAGCTGGAAGCGAGGGAAAAATCAAGCAGGCAAGTGTCTGCATTTATTAGGGGCTTTCTTCTAATTGGTCCAGAGGCTGGCGCAACGATTTTAATCCATTATAACGTATATCAATGCTCAAACAGGGCAATCGCAACTTACTCTCCTCATTCACCAAAACCCGCAGTAAAACTGTCATTCGTCGGAAGGTGATCGCAAAATGTCCTCAAGAAGACCATCAGAAAGGAAATTTAACTATTAGCATAAGATTACTTAATTGACCTTTTTTCTAGACAAGGTATCGAGCAAACCATCACAAGAACTTTCTTTTCTACGTTAAAAGAAGGTGAGAATGCGCGTTACCTTGGCGTCTTTGGGGATCACGCTCTTAGCTTTGTCCACTCTCTCAATCCAGTTGTTCCATGAACCGCTGGCTTGTTTTACAAAATAGAAGTCATACACAATGCCACGGTCGGGAAACACGTTTTGCTGCAGGACGAAAAAAGCAGTTAATTCATTGACGATGAAAATGTCAATAACGAAAATAACAAAGTTTATTAGGCAAAAATTTGCCATCGATAACTGTCGATTAATGGGCTAAAAAACTTCAAACGAGCACTGCTTAAATTCTGTTGCTTTCTGAAAGGTTTACAATATCCATGGCTGGTTAAACTATTATTCAGTTTGAAGGACAAGTTTTACAAAATATGAAGTAAGCAAATTAAAACTATGGAATTAGGAGTTTAACAACACTTCTTTACCTTTGTCATCTTAATGTTGTTGGGCTTAGGGTGATCTTTATCTGTTCCGCTGATCAGCAATCTAAAAAACGCATCAAACTTCTTGCGGCTGTCTCCGTTTATGGTACCACCAATGGACCAAACCATGGCAAAGATAAACAAGCCTTGAAGCCAGTTTGTGATCTGCAATCGGAAGGTTATTAAATGGTAATGTAAAGTAAAACTCGCGCACAGCGTTAATTTCAGACGTAATGGTCTGTCTGATCTGTGGGTTTGGTTTCAAGCCATTACGTTGTTTCCTTGGACAAAAAACTTTGGTCCATCTTGTTTCTCTCCAACTAAATGTATAAGTCAAGACCAGCAACTCCTAGGGATACCCCTGACATAGACTAGTATCCTTTCCGGGGAGGTGGTAATTCCCCTAAGTACTTCATGCCATATAAAACCGCACTCAGTGAGAAAGCTCGGGCCGAATGGGTTCGTTAACAAGTTTCTCTACGTTAGGCGAGCGCTTCATCGAGTAACAATGTACTCGGTCACAAGTAAGTACAACAGATCCAACATCAATCTGACTGAAACCCAAAGTTCAATCTTAAGCGGCCGCATCTTGCAAGCGAAGATAACCGAAACTTGTCAAATAACATAGCATAACGTACAATACGAAAGACTTAATGGAGGTGCTATTTTCACAGCAATTCTGAATTTGAGAGAAAACTGACAACAGTGTCTATAACAGTTTCAGACAGGACAAGTACATCACGTGATGATGACGTATACATACCTGTGAGCTAGACATCCTGTCAGCTCCTTCAGCATGCTCCTGCGCAGCTATCTCGTCCAACAGACACGAGTACAAATTCATAAAAGAATTCACCAGGTGCATATCAGATGTTTGGATGAAAAATTTGCACTCATGGCGGAGAAAAGCTGATAATTAATGTAAAAGAAAATCAGTAGAAGAATCAACATCAGACGATACTGAAACACTCTTAACATATGATTGAAAGCGCGGAGAAACGATAGAGGAAACCTTGCTTTGTGGCTTATATGATGGAGCTATGTTATCCGCTCGGGAGCACCTGCTTTGTTTGAGCACGACAGGGCTTTTTTGGCCACGTAATAAATCTCTTATTGGCCAGGCTTCGCTTCCTCGGTCCATACATACTCTAGGGAATATACATCTCAGACATCCCTACCGAAAAATTATTTTTCTAAGCGCATACATATAATTCATCGCATGGTCATTAACGAGATACAATTGTGTAAACCTCTAAGTCATACATAGAGTGAACAAAATTGTCACAAAAATACAACATTACACTTCAAAGTTGCTCTAGCTATAACTTACACAAACACGGTTGCATGAGCCACATAAACAGCGCCCGGATAGTCTCCAAATGCTCAGCGGTCAGACTCTTGGGAAGTATGTTCATGTAAGACTCCATCAAAGGTTCCCATCCAAGCTAATAAGGGAACAGAAACAAAATACGTAACTGGGGAAAAGGTTTATTTTTCAAAGAAAATAAGGTGTTGCTTTGATGGGGACCAAAACATGAAATTTATTTGCTAATAAGGTTAATTGGACAACACAAAAAAATTAACGAGGTATTGGTTTTGTGGGGTGTTTGATTTGAAAGATGAAGGATGTGAAGAAACGTACGATCGATGAGTATAACTTGACTTTTAAGAATGAGAAACCTACGCTGCCAAGGCCACATGTCTCACCTGGTGAGGCTCCAGATAGATCATACCGCATCGACTAACAGTGGCAGGAGAAGCTTGTTCCAGATCAGCCGGTTCAAAGATTAAACTCTGCCTGTTGTTCATCTGTATGATTTCACCACTCATCAAACACAACTGACGAAAAAAAAGTAAAAAACAAAGTTTAAGTTTAACACGATAACTTAAGTTACTTTTTTATTATTATCATGTACTTATCAGTTTACAATAAAGTGAGGCATAGTTGACTAAGGGCAACAAAAGAAAAGAGGAGATGACCACTACTTGGAAAAGTTATTTAAAGGGAGTGGATCAATTATTTTTGCTACGAGCCACGAGTTTTTTTTTTCGCACTGCTTTGGTGAAAAGACCTGTTGTCATGTCAACTGCACGATTCTAGCAAAGAAAAACAACTACTTCTTAAGAGGGCAATTATTCTTGGAATCTTCAAGCTTAGCCTGGGAGTAAGTCGCTTTTAATTCTAGTTGTTTGTTCTGAAGCTATTTTAAGCGCACTCAACCCAGACGTACCTTCTTGTTGTCGTCAAGCACAGTATTCATGTTTTCAATCCAAACTGCATCGACAGGTCCATCAAAAATCAGCCATTTTCTGTCTTCTGTAGTCGATGACGCATGTTCTCTAAAGGAGTTGGCTAACACACCGTCCGACCACTCGTGGGAAACTGGATCGAAGCAGCCATAGAGTTCACCCATGCTTATTGACTTGGGGTTGATGATCTTATAAATCACCTGGGAAAATTTACGGAGCCAAGTCAAAAGGAATTTTGTTGTTAGCTCTGGAGGACTTTAAAACCTGAACGACACGTGTCACAAGCAAATCAACAAGCAAACCGGAATTAAGTACTTTGATTGGTTTAGCGAAAGGAGGGAAAGCACGTTGCCTTTGGTTGGTTTGGCAAAAGTACCAAGCAAAGAAACGGATTCCAAGCGACTATTTCAACTCAATAAACACACACGAAAACAAGTCTCCAACTGATAAAAGTTAAAGGGTCTAACTAAATAAAGACAGATTGCTTAAAGCCTCTATTTCGCCGTTTGTCGCCAAGTTCAAGCATGTAGAACTAGCGTACTCCTCTCAGTTTTACCACGCGGAGACATCTAGGATCTCAGCGAAATTACAGATCTTAAAATAAATTCCACAGAAAAATAAGGGCGTAAAATGTCTTAGAGTAAAGTGTCTCCGATTACAAAATGCTTACCCTTTGATGAGGGTATCCTGCTTTATGAAGATCAGACATTGAATCCGCAAGAACCTAAACAAAACCAACAACGCAAAATTCATATCAGAGATCAGGCGGTTGCTTATAAAAAAAAAAACGTTTCCGAATATTCATCACACCATAAAGAGAACATTCGAATTTACCTTGAATGCCATTGTTTTTCCACCCAGTGGGTCACCAACAATCATGAAGCCATGTCTAACAATCATCATCTCATAAACCTAAGGAAAAAGATTAAAGGCGACCCATCGACTGCTTAGAATTTAACTTACCAAAAAGTCAAGAATAATATCTTCGGTGTCCACGAATTGACTGCCTAATATGCGATGTTTAAAGGATGATATGTGAGAACATACCTGAATGATCTTCTTGAGAAACCACTTTGTGGACTGCAGGTTGCGTATCTTGCAGTTTTCTCTAAGAGCATCCATCAGAACTCCGTAATCAGGGCTCGGCCAGCTGGTGCCAGGAAACAAGTCCGAGATGATGCCTTCGAACAGAGGAACATCCTGAAAATTATAAAGCAAAAAGAGAATAAACGTCCCATGCTAAGGACTATGAAGGAAGCAATGGTGGCTCAGCGTTGATAGAGAGTTCAAGATTAACGTATACGGCATACGTCAGATTCAAGTTGCGAATTTCTCAAAATGGAAAATGAGCAGATAAAAACACATCAAAAAATTTAAAAAATTGCGTGAAACTACTAGTTTATGTGTATAAATAATAACAGTAAACGACAAATAAAGGGGGAACTTGGTCACGTGGTACAAATTTGCGTTTGCCGTTTGACGTAATGTGATGCTTAACCTCTGTAATATGACTCGCCTTCCGCGACTGGGGTTCGACTCGACTTGGTGTTCATATGTGGGTTAAGTTTGCTGTTTGTTCTCAACCACGTTTGAGAAGTTTTTTCCCTACACTACGGTTTGGAATCTGGAATGAACGAGCGCTTGGTCAACGAGTTTCTACGGTCTGTTAGGTGTTTCAAGGGAATCAAATTGCATTTATACTAACATATATAGTTCAAAAAAGACCAGCATGGAGGCGGGGGAGGGGGTTATGGCAAAGTGAGGGGGTGACCCTGGTGTAGATGTTAGGATTGTAAGGGTGCTTACAACTAAATAACCACCATTAGAATGATTGTTATACCTCTCCAGGTACCGTGAAGAATCATAAGGAAATGACTCGAAGCTAGCCTGCGAGCGAGCTAATAAATAATAAAACGACAAAAAAGCAAAGTTACCTGTGCCAAGAATTTGGCGAGGTTCACTTCGAGCACAGCTCTAAGCATAAGCTCAGCTTCATCGTCGTCCGGATAGCGAAGCTTGAGATTCCCTGCTGCGGTTAACACAGACTTGACCGCTCTCATGCCATAGTCATAATGGGACTGGGAAGAGAGCTGTTCCGAACACAGCTGATACGTTGCTACAATCTTTTGTGCCAAACTGTTTTAAAACACACAAACAAACAAAACACCAAGTCACATGTACAGTACGTGCACTATGGTTCTAGGAGAAGCAAACAGTGTTTGCAAGTTTAATCCATTATCAAATGCGTATACTTTCCGAGTTCGCCCAGGCCTGTGTATTAAAATGAGGTTAAGTGCTCAGCCTTTGATATGGAAATGATTTTTCATTCTCATGCAAATAAAACTCATTTGCACAAGAAAGGTAGTGCACTTGGCCTCATTTTGAAGGTGAGGGTTTTTGGAACTCGGAAGTGGCCTAACGGCTCGTGAAATTACGTATAACAATCATGCTATTATTTGTTTATACTACTACCTGCAAAAGGTTTGTAATTCTCACATGTAAGTATTTCAAATTAAGCTAAAATACCACTGCTCTGAGCCAATCAAATTGCAGAAAATTCTCACGTAGTAGCATAAAGAGCAAAAGAAAATACTACCTTCTAGCATCTAAGAATCCCATGGAATAGAGAGAGATCTCACTGATTAAGGCGTAATCAGGAACCATCATGGCCACAGTGCGGAAGAGAACCTACATTGACAAACAAAGGATTTAACACAATTACTACGTAATGGCTTCCATCTATGCACTAGGTTTGGAGCATGCGCGCAAAGGACAGAAGAAAACTGCGCAAAGCAATACAGTGGAATCTCTCCTAACTGCTTATTCTTAACAACGGCTAATTTTGTTTTTCCCGGCGGATGCACTCACTCTTAGTGTAACCTCTTTACCATGGCTACCTCCCTACAGCGGACACTTTCTACGATCCACAAGCTGGCCCTTGTGCAAAGGTTCGACCGTACTAAGCAATCAAGTTCCGAATGACTGGGTTATATACACTGCAAGCGGGCGTGAAACTCGGTCGATGTTTTTCAATTCCTTTTCGTATCCTGTATGCTGCAGCCCTGACATCTTCAAAGCCGACCAAGATGGGTTCGTCTGATTCGCCGGTCACTGGGTTTCATAAAAGTGCCAGCTTGTTTACTAACCCAGGACCCACTCGAACGAAGCTCAAGGTGACGAGGACTCCTTTTGCTCTTTATCTGTCATGGTGCTGTACTCGAATTGAACTATGACACTGTTTGAGGGACGATATCGTTTCTTTGATGACTATACCGAAGTTGCATAGGAAACTGGGTCAAAATTTTCCCGCCATAACAGTCCCACAGTGCAGTTCGACACGACAAAGGCGACGTCCATGAAAACCTCGCTGAAAAATCAGATAGACTCCGCATCCTATCCAACCATTTCGCGATTATTCCAAGTCGCACAGTTACTTAAAAGAAGAAAATTTATGTTGGAGCTGAGGAGAGGGGGCCGCGCCCAAGTTCAGACAGAGATGGTAGAATTTATCGCCTTGCCGTTCCCGTCCTCAAAAAAACTTAAAATTTGAAACAATCGTGATGCACGTGCAGAGTTTTTGTTTTGCTAACTAAACCTATTGCTTTTTGAAGTAGCCGTAGCTGTCGTAGTTTCGTAAGGTCCCTAATGGCCACGTCTCAAAGACGCGAACTTGGGCGAGTTACGATGAACTCGATCTGAAAAAGTATCATACCTTAAGGTTATCCGGTAGCTCCTGTCGTCCTGCATAACCAGGATTCATGGTGATAAACATTGTGCAAGTCGGATTGAGAACAAGTTCTGTTCCTTCAAAAATGAACTTTTGCTTCCTGTCCGCGATGGCCTTCTGAATCGTATGAATCTGCTGCGCTACTACGCTCAGTACCTGTCAAAATAACGTCAAATGAAAGTCTTAATCGATCGCCTTGTCCAAAATAATATCAATTCAAAAGGTATTTAATCACGTTGAAACTTCAGCATCAAAGAAACCAAGCAGTGGATAAAAAGTGTTAGCTTCGCTTAATGAAGATGAATAAATTCAAAATACAAGTTTCAGTGGGAAAAATGGAATTGCGGTCGTTTCGCGTACGGTTTGTTCGCCTACGTCTAGAATCGATTCGCCTACGTCTAATATGTCAGTTCGCCTACATATTAAAATCCTTTCGCGAACTATGACAATCATTGCGACAATTTTAAAACAATTTTAACAAAATATGACTCTCACATTCTGCAGTTCGTAAACGACCGGTTTCCGATAATCAAGTTTTAAACATTCCAACTATCGTGTTTTAGCGCGACGCTTCTCTAGACAAGCGCATCGAGGTTGGAACGTATTGACTTCTGTTGTATGGTTATCTTTTTAGGCTGCAAGGATCAGGAACAAGGACTTTTAATAATTCAGTTTTAAAGCTTCAACATATGAATCGTAGGCGAACTGACGTATTGCACGTAGGCGAATCGACTCTAGACGTACGCGAACAGACCGTACGTGAAACGACCGAAAAATCGCTTACGATATGTTGACTTGATATCACTAACCTCCAGCTCAATCCTGTTGAACTCATCAAAACAGGCCCAGCAACCGGCTTGAGCTAGTCCTTTGAAGAACTTTCCCATTGCCTTGTAGTCCAGTCCATCCGAGCAGTTAAACACCACGCACTGCATATAATGAGAAGAAAGCAGTGATGAAAGCAAATCGTATATTCATCATACTACAAAAGTTTTTTTCTTTAGATCAAATCTATGTCCAAGCGTTTGTCCAATGTTCTTAAAAACGTTATCTAAGCAGACAGCAACTCCAGGTGTGTACAGTAATTAGCAAAGCCCAGATTAGGTTCGTTCTTCTCTGGGAATTTCGCGGATATGAAAAACTGAATTTACCATCATCAAGAAACTTCAAGTTTTCTGACTTAAACACTCGTAATTAACAAACCGTCATGTAGGAAAATGACAACCAAACATAAAAAGGTAAATCTTTTGACGAATTTGACTCATTTAATTTACTAAGGGAAGCTCCGTCTGAGAAAGTGAGCTCTACATTTTCAAGTAAAACAAACCTGTTTAGCGACAGCCTTGGCCAGATCTTTAGAGGTCTCAGTTTTTCCTGTTCCAGCTGGTCCTTCAGGAGCTCCACCCAGATTTAGTTTAATAGCACCCATTAAAGTTCTGCATAAGAAAGACGATTATTGTAACCTTAACCTTGCACTACACGCCCGTCATTATTTTACAATACCTCAGGGCTCAAAATAAGTACTACGTCATACGTTGCAGCGTATGTCAAGCGCTCATTTTTATGATCACTCTATATTTAATCACACTAAACTGAGGATTTCACCTGAATGCAGCCTTTTTCGTTTGTGGATTTAAACTGCTACAACTAAGGCACCACTCATTGAAAACTCATTTTAACAATGAGCAGTGTTGTAAAAGGATCGAAATTTTGCAAATGTCATCGTTTTTAGTTGAGAAGGTTAGCAATACAGGCATGGAAAGTTCCCTAGCACCAAAAAAAATATAATTTAGTCTTGCAATCGGCGACACTCCATTCAATTTTCGTGCTTTTCATGAACTTACCTGTAACATCTGTCAGTGAGAGGTGTAATGACGAGTCGCCCGCTGTTACCCAGGTACTCATATCCATAGTCAATACTGGTGGTAATCATTCGCACAATTGTCCTTTTGTCTTCAAAGTAATATCTTAGCTGTGACAGCCACTGAAAATCATTTGTATTGTTTACACCATCCTGGCACATTTTTGCAACGACATCACGAGCTGGAAATAAGAAAAACGCCTGCTTACTGAAGTGTCAAAAGGCTGTCTCTGCCGCAAAGGTCGCTCTGTGTCGTTGGGAGGCTGGGGAGATGGAAAAAAATAAAAACGAGCGGGGGATGATGGGACGGGGAAAGAAAGGAAGAGGAGCTCCAACCCTTTTTCTCTTCCCATCGTACCACGCGCACTCACTATTCCTTATTTTTTACTTTTAGTGGAATACCGAACGGGAACAAGAGGTCAAAAGGCACTTTTTTTTTTCAAAGACATAGCTAAGAAAATGGTACGACATGAATTGACCAACATCAAAAGACAAGAGAATTGAGCATTTCAGTTTTCACAAACCAACAAGTACATCATATACGTAGTCTCCGCAGTGAACTTGAACCAGCCTGTAATCGAAGCTAACGGTGACAATGTCATTTATGTGTTGCATGAACACCAAAATAATCTATTAAAAGCCGAATAACGAAAGTTGTGTCATTCGTTGTATAGAGCATAAACCTGAAACAAATTGATGTGATTTTGACTCATGTCAATCTAGACAAGGTCTCTCTTTTCCTGTGTCCTGGAGGTAGAAGTGGGCTGAAAAAAGAGGAAGTTATGCAAGTAGCTTGAACATGTACATTACCATGGACATCAATCACAGTCAATGCACCAAGCGTGATTCTGATACTACGGTCTAGTTTTCCTCGGACAAGGGCCACGATGGTCTCAATCTGGGAATTCGATTTTTCCAAATAATTCTGAAAAACAAAGCGTCCATGATTTTCAAAAGGTTCGATCATATACAATTACGGGAACAAAGAAGTTTCGTTACTAGTATTAATCCAAAACTACTTTACCTTAAGGCCATCTTTCTCCAGAATTGCTTGCGACACTTCTGCAGTCCAAAATATACCACTACAAGCTAAAATAATCTAAAGAAAAGGCAAAGTAATGTAAATGGGATACATACACTCGAGCATTAAAGTAACATTCCTCAGATCCTCTTTACACTTCTATCAAATACAGGGTGACAAAGTGATCTTAGCCTGCTGCACAGACGAAACTAAACTCTGGTTAAGTCCGTCTGCAAAACAGCGCCGAAATCCTTGTTCTTGTTGGGAACCCCATCTGTGTACCAGGATTTGAGTACGAGCCATGATTGGCTTGCTAAAAAAATCCATTGTCAATTTTCCAATGAGGATGAAAGGAAATTCGTAGCCTGCGTAGCAGGCGCTTGGAAGTAGTGGGCGAAACAGAGAACGGGCGCGCGCGAGGGAGACACGCTCCCTCTCCCCTCGCTTGTCTCCTTCTCTCGCGCGTGTGTTTTCTTTTGCCCACTACTTCCAAGCGCCTGCTACGCAGGCTAGGAAATTCGAAACGCTCTTTCGGTAATTCGTTGAGTCCCTTGAGGGCCCAGAAAAAGGGCATCGTCGCTGCCTCGCAGACGTTACTAACCGAGGTTAAATAACGTCTGCTACGCAGGCTAAGTGATCTTGGTGTAAACCATTATACCTGAAAAAAGTTTTGAATCTGACACCCATCTAATAGTCACGAGCCAAAGTAACAGCGTGCTCAGAGTAATAATAATTTATTTTCGGGTGAAGATGTATGGGGAGGCACTTTGTACTTTGCCGGGTGAAAGGATAAGGAATTCTTATAGCATCACTGACTTAGCTTTTCTAACGCCTCTTGTAAGATTGCGACTTGACGATACAGGCCTCACATAGGGTCTGCAAGCTCGCTTAGATCCTATAGTAGATATCTCATCATCTGCATGGTTCTAGCAGTAGCAATGAGACATTGCTGACATATCAGGCGAACTTAGGGGCTGATCAACAGAGCAGTAACATGACAAACACAAATCTGATGTTGACTGTATTTAATTGCGCATCTTACCTGCCCAGGCCACTCTTGCACCCATTTGCCGCGAGGAGTCTGGTTATAAGCATTTACTGCATCCTCTGTAACTTTCTTCAGACTGCTAATCATGACTTCTTCAACTTGAAAGAGCCACTTTTCAACCATGCCCTAGAAATGCAACGCAGAGGTGAAGTTATCTCACAACCTTCACATCATCAAGAATGAAAATCCGAAAAATGTTTTCTAACGTACACAGCGCAGAAAATGAAAAAATGGTGATGGAGGCAATTATAATCACTCAGTTAGTTTAGGTTTAATCATTTGCGTAACTCGATTCGAAGAAAAGAACTTCGCGTTTTAAGTGCAATGCTTTCTTCCAACAGGAACATCTTGGTTGTAGGTTTTATTACAGTTAAGCAAGGTCAAACAAATTCTTACACATTAAAGGTGTTACCTTTGCTTTAGCAGGAATGATTTTAGTACTGAATGGTACTGTTTCATTCTCGGCACTAATCATTCCCACAACCTCCTGATCTTCCGTGAACTCAAGCCTGGCTATTCCCTCAAAACATTTCTTTAAGTGCGGCTGAACTCGCAATGGATCTTTGGTCTCGGATAGAATCTCCAACAGCTCATCATTTGACAAGAAGAAAAACCTGAGTATGAAGAAGTCTAATTTAAGAGAGCTCGACAAGTCATAAATCTTTCCCTCCCCCACCCCCACAATGCATTGTTGTGCCGCTGTTCGAGCTACCTGCACCCCAACTTTGAATGGAGGGGAGAGGGGAGGGGTGTGGATTGCGACGTTACCCCATTTGAGGACCACGTAGCAACAATTTTGCCACCTATTGTAGCATCAAATAAACCGTGCTCACGGTCTGATAAAGCTCCCGTGACCGACGGACAGACGTTTTTGTCTTGGGCAGAAAATGATACTCTGCCAATTGTCTCCAAGAATTGCTGCGGCAATCTCTCAACATCGCACTATTCGCCACTCCAAGGACAGCGAGACTGGCCCCAAGTTTTCTGCACCAGGATTCCGCGTCTTTTGTGGTCGCTCGTTTAACCACGAAGAAGTGATGTTCAGGGACCCTGACCAATGCATAAGGAAGAGGCCAATTTTCAACTAATGTAGGACTGTTAGACAATTTACCTTGGAAAGAAGAGTTGTTTCTTCTCCAGGTAAGCATTAAGACCCTTTTGAATTTCCTCCAGCAGTTGATTGGATTCATTTAGTCTTCCCAGCATGTTAGGCTGAGCGGTTGCCACAAGAACTTGCGTGTCTTTCACCTAGAACAATATTTACATCAAATGTTACAGGTACAAGGTAGGCGAGACTGTATAAATCTTTCATATGTATAAGGATCTCTTACAGAATATGTTGATGTCGTTTGCGACGGTTGCAAAATTAATGAAAGCGAACTCCTTGAAACTTAACAATTAAGTATGATGAGGATAAAGTTGTCACGAGCTGTAGAAGGCAAAAAGAAGTGTGTTATTATGACTGATATGATAAAGCCACTAACAGGCTCTGCATGTACTGACGATGGATGCTGTTCATCCAAAAGATGTCTACTAAAATTAAAAACTGTCGTATGACTTTTCTTAAAATTATTTCTTACTTTATTTGTAAGTTATACTAGTCATTTACAGGTTTCACCTGAGACTGGGTCAGAGTTGTGATAAATTGGACTACGAGAATATTTGGGGGGATGAATTTTGACCAAGCTTCCTGCGCAACACTAAAGTGGGAGCCTTTAAAAGAAGTGATAGCGGCCCTAAAATAATTCCATAGTTCAATTCGACATTTATCTTAAATTATGGATGGAAGTGATAGTTGTTACATTTTTAAATGCAGTAGCGACGTAGATGTCCTTACAGCAAGCAATACTGACGTAAAACTTCCCAAAACTCGAACTGGACATTTTGCAAGACTTATATCGTCGTCTCGTTTTGACAAAATACACAAACTCGACCGCGATTACTTGTATTGGCAAATTTTATCACTTGTTTGCCGCCTGGAATACCACGTGACATTGCTTTTATCCCATCAATCCTAAAATAAGGTCTGTTGGCCACTTACTGCTTCTCCCATGATGTCCTTCCAGTAGCTGTCTACTATTCCAAACTTGCGTCCCTCCTCTGGCATCTGAGCCATTATGTCCTCTGAACTGAAGATAGGCTCAAGGTACAGCCATGTTGCTTGGCACTACAATACAATTAACGAGGATCAATCACCTACCCCTCCCCTAAGCCATCATTTAAACCTAAGTGAGAAGTAAGTGTTAATGTTAGCTTAGGGGAGGGGTAGGTGGCATCTGAGCCATTATGTCCTCTGAACTGACGATTGGCTCAAGGTACAGCCATATTCCTTGGCACTACAATAGAATTAACGAAGATCAATTGCTGCCCACTTACCCCTCCCCTAAGCCATCATTTTAACCTAAGTGAGAAGTAAGTGTTAATGTTAGCTTAGGGGAGGGGTAGGTGGGTAGTTTCACAGGAGTTGAAGATTGGTTCAAGGTACAGCCATGTTGCTTGGCACCACATTAGAATTAACGAGCATCAATTGCTGCCCACTTACCCCTCCCCTAAGCCACCATTTTAACCTAAGTGAGAAGTAAGTGTTAATGTTAGCTTAGGGGAGGGGTAGGTGGGTAGTTTTCCAGAAAACTTAGAGAACTACACATAGTACACTGTGTAGTAGCGTTCAGTTCAAAGATGGACATTGAACACGAATCATGCTTTTAAAAAAATACTCGATTTAACGAACAAGCCAACGAAGAAAATTAATTAAGAAAATTTATATGTAAGCATTTTTTTACCCAAATATGAAGGATATTTGTTGAGAAGGAAAGAGAAAAAGAGAAAGAAACCTTCTGCGCGACCCTTCTCCTCGCGCAATTCCTCGTAGGTACCTTGAGAGCAGGGGTTATCTTTCCACAAAACTACTAGTGTGCTGATAAAACCCTCTGCTGATAACCGTCTATTCCCACCCAAAAGTGTGGACGAATATATTGAAAATAACTGGTTTCTAACCTCATTTTGACTGGTTTGGTAATACCTCGATTTGCTGTCGTGTTACCTAATGTGCACGCTTTGTAAGACTAGCGAAAACAATAAGGCACGTTTTTAGACTTAACACAAAAAAGTTGTGGTTTTATCCAGTTATTTTTTTCAGTCGCACTGATAGCGCGCTAAATTAAAAATGCGTCATTGCCTGACTCAATTAACGCATGCATGGGACAATTTTCGGCAGAAGCTACTTACTATACGTATGCCAGTCCATACAATGAAAGTAGTCTCTGCCAACAGAGTACGTCCAATATCACACACAACCAACAACAATCTTAATACTACAGTGTATATTTAATTATGGCACTTTAAAAGCGAAGAAACAAACCTTCAGCCAAGCATCAAGTATATCTTGCATTTCGATTAGCTTTTCACACCATTCCTGTAGAGAGAAAAGATTTCAAAAAATGCATTGTATAATTTTTACCGCAGGAATGGGCATTGAGAAGAACCCCAACTAATGAATCTTTGTGGTGTCTGGTATCGCATTTGAAGCACAGTGAGATAAAAAATTACGTTATTATGATGTAGAAAAATAACCGTTCAAAAGGTCTTCACATACAGCGGTTCAAAAGATGGAATACGATTGAGAGAGCTATGGCATCTCAGCCAAATCTAGCAGTTATTCATCGTTATCCAATCACAAAAATCCACTTCCTTAAAACAACAATACCAAATCTTTTCATTTCGAGTAGGTTTTGAGAAACAAACGCTTTCGGTGCAACGTTTTCTGGGATGGTTTGGGTGGACAAGCATTACCTATGATGATTGGTTAATAGTTGCCTTGACCAATCACACCTAACGCTAACATCGACCGATCATAACTCAAGCTTTTCCACCCAAAGGATCCCAGAAATCATTGCGCGGCAAGCTTGTACCCATTCCTCTTAAAGTTTCTGGAGTGGCCAGGGAATTATTTGTGATAAGACAATTTACACAGTATTGGTGACGAAGTTGACAAACCTTGATGTCTGCCTCAAAAGGCTTGATGAATGGTGATCCACTCATGGTCTGCGCCTTGACAATGTGATCATCAAGCAACAGTTGTATATCATCCACAGCAGAGAGAATGGATACACCCTGGCAAGCAAAGCAATAGAAAAAATTGAGATCAGATAACAACCTAGTAAATGTCTAACTTTTTGAACCGGGAACGTAATTTACTACAAACGTTTGCTGTGCCTTTGTCTACTTACCGTATCTCTGTAAGGAGTGAACTCAAAGTACATGTCTTTCCATTCAACTTTCATTTTCTCCATGGCTTTCTCAAGACCAAATTCTTTACTAGCAGCACCGCTTATCTCATCCAGTCTTGAAGGAAACAAATTAATCAGTTACTTACATCATTGACATTTGCTTAATCCTTCCATCATTTTAAAAAAAACTACGTAAATATAACTAGAGGTTACAAAGTGTAAATGCTGCGAGCAGATGCTGGGTAGTAAAATATCTGAGAACCGATGAACTTATCTACGCATTTTGCTAATTACAGACCCTCCGATTGGGTCAATGAATAGCTGTGGGATAAAGGAGTCCTACAATCACGAGTTCTTTGAGATTTGCGTCTTAATTGGACAAAAATAATTTGAAACTGTTTGCGCGCTTTACAATGTGAGAACCTTAGCAGTGCAACAAAAATGACGAAATAAGAGTGTTACGATTTAAAATTAAGTCATGATGACACCGTTGGACATACTTGCTAAAATCATCATGACAAACAAAAATCCAGATTGCAATGCCTAAATAGCAACAGGACACCCAAAGAACCACAGGAAAACCAAAGATTAGTGTTCTTCTCGCCCCAATAAGAACTGCGGAATGGTAATTTAAAAACTCACTTTTCTGTGTGCTTGTGAAGGTTGTACTCCAGCATGTTACACAAGGATGTTGTTGCCTCAGGTTTGATGTCGAACCCAACAACTTCACTCATCTGCAACAACCAAATATATCTACTTTATTCATCAATAAACAAATTATTTCGATATAACGTATTTAAATTCACACTCGGTTCTATTCTTGGGGGAAATAAGGCAAAAGAAGTGTATTAATTCATCCGTGAAGTTCAAGCTGATTTGTTTTGTTTTGTTCCCCAAGCCTGGGTGCCAAGTATATCTACAACATCTATGGATTTTAGTGGTATCCCTGTGTCCCAAGTTATAGTGAACATTGTAAGACAACTATGTTTATAAGTTAAAGAGCATATGAAATTACTCCATATGTTTTTCAAACTGCAAAGAGTGTTTATTAGTGAAACACCAAAACTAAATTGAATTCCATTTGATCACCATGAAGGGGTAGCTTAGTTGATACGTAGAATGATGGTCTGCGCGAGTTCGATCCCGGGCGCCTGACCAATACTTAGTTTTCTAACAGCACTAAGAAAGAAGGTGTGGCTTGGATGACCACGTAGAAATGACAGTTCTGTCCAGTGGTGGATCCAGGGGGGAGGAGGGGCCCCCTCCCTTATCAAAGGTTCTGGATGACCCCCCCCCCCCCCCCACCTTATCTCAAGGTCTGGATTCGGCACTCACTAACTCCCCAAAGATATCTATCAACAGAGTGGACATTCCTTTTACCTGTTCCCAATGCCGCTCCCTGAGGCCAGGATTACAAATAATCTGCAAGAGTGGGATGTGAACTTTGAACTTGTCGATCTTGCTTTTGACGCTGTCAGCCACTCTTCTTGGTCCTGGAGCATCTCCGAAGGTTTTGGTCAGTTTCAACACTGTCCTGTACATGCTGCCAATTTCCTCTTCAACCTCTTCTGAGTTAATGTCGGTAAATGGCCCTTTTGAAAGCAAACAGAAGTAGAATGATTTAGTCGTCCTATAGAAGACGTGCGCTCTCTGTTCTGCTGTATGGTGAAGGGACCTGGAGTGCAAAGACCACTGAAGGTACTTAAGTTGGTATTTTAACAAAAGGGAACTTCAGCAACGACGACGGCGACGGCAACGAGAATGGCAAAAAACCAATAGGTTTAGATTGGTAAAATAACAACTTTGCACGTGCATCACGCTTTTTTGGAACATTTCTTAACTGTCGTTGCACGACTACAACGCCAGGGGTTGTCACAAGCCGGGGGCCGGGAAAGTGCCTAATTTCACGCTTCGTAGAAGAAAAATAGAACCAAACTAAACAACCGTTTTTCCCCCGCCTTTTGAAAATTTGCCGGCAATTTGAAACGAATTAAACGAAGATGAAATTTCACGCTTTGTCGAGGACGGGAACACTAAACAACCATTTTCTTTTCATTTTCCTGAACTTTGATAGAATCCTTCAACTCCAAAGAAATATGCCAACATTTGACGAATTAAACGAGATGGATTAAGCGCGATTAAGTTTGAGGCAGCGCGAATTCACTTCGTTGCTTAAGCTCCCTAATATCACTGTATATGGAGAATCTGTGGGGTTAAATGGATAGACTTGACCTCTACGGAGAAAAAAATCGAATGGCCAGGAAAACAAGGACTTCGCTTTTAGTCACTAACTTACAGGTATATCACCTCAGCCTTAAAAGGCATTAACGGCTATATTTACATGGGCGGTACGTATGCCACGCAAGCACTATTAGAACTGTAAGTGCTTTTTATTCCATGCTTAATGCCCCTCATTACCGGATCTAATATTTCCAGTTGCTCTTTTTACTGAACGTTTACCCAGCCTGTTTGAAATGTTGAATGTGACTGCTTATCTTTACTAATACATAATGTCATTGAGTTTTACCGGTCAGCCAACTTCGCTCATTACTTTATAAAAGGAAAGTCTCAATGCTTACCGTTAAGCCAGGCTTCATGTTTGTTATGGAAAGACAAGGCTGTTCTCCATAGCTTGTCATAAGGTTCTTTGTAAGCCATCATAGTTTGGAGAATCGGGAACTGTGTGGCCTCAAACTCTAACAATTCCTCTTCTGTATTCACTTGCTACAAAGCAAAGTATAACAACATCAGTAAACAGAATAAAGAATACTACAGCTACATCTTTCTAATTTCATTAACCCTTTCACTGCCAGAGTGCTTGATGGAGTTTTGTAAGGGTGACTCTAACTTTTGAGTCTGTAGACGAAACCCTATGGTGTGACCATTCAAATGAAACCTCTCTACCTGTACTTACACATGGTACTACTTGTTTTTCAAAATTTCACAAAATGAAATTCGGGATTTTTTGTCGAATTTTACCTTTGACCAGATTTGGCAGTGAAAGGGTTAACACGCTCTTAATAAGCAATTAACGAGTTGCCCCAAGCCTCTGTTTCAAAGTGAGGCTAAGTACCAAACCATTGAGTTGAAAATGATTTTTTACTCCCCTGTAGATGAAACTCATTATCACAGGTAAAAATTTGCACTTAGCCTCGTTTTGAAAGTGAGGGTTTTTTGAACTCGGAAATAGCCTTGTTTTATAGCCACAAAACACGCTTCAATCACTGCTGATCCGAGCATCGTCTTTTTCTACGCAGTCGTTTTTGACTGAGGAGGAGCTTTGCGTGACGAGATAAAAAAAAATCGGGTAATCATAGCAGTATTAAAGTGGGACACTTGATACAGCTGTACATAAGAAGCAGTAGTACATGTAAAAGACCAAGCATGCCATGTGTCTCATCGTAGCTCAGTAAGAGTAGCCTGAGTAGCTGGCGAGACTTGTCGTCCGCAGCTATAAACGAAGATCACAAAAGCAGCCAATACGCGAAAAGAATGGAGATGACTAAAATAGAGATCTCGCCGCGATTTTCTTTAACAGTGGCTTCGCAAAAAAAAAAACACTCCCACATTCCCATCTTGTCAGCCAGGAAAGCTAAAGAGGAGTTGTTCATGCAATTTAAATCCGGCAGAAAAAGCTTGTTGCTTTCCTTGTTCCATGCTTCTGACATGAGGAATATTATATCTTTTCCGTTCGAGTTAATGAATTCTAATGAAACTACCGAACATGACTCATTATTTAAAACCTGAGTAATGCAGTGGAATTTTAACTTACAATTAGTTCTTCTTGGGCATTTTTCAGTGCTTCTTCAAGTTCATCAAGTTTCTCAACATTCTTTTTCATTTCATCTACTGCCATTATCTAAAATCAAAAGAGAAACAATGTGAGCATTCGAAGAAAACTATAAAATGAAAGATAAAAACACACAAAATTCACGTCACTCAAAAATAAACAGTTCTTTAAGATGGAATGCATTAGGAAATTGAGTAATTATAATTTTCATTGGACAAAAACCTAGTGCCAGAATAATTCCAATCATATTGCATTCTTGTTTAACACTTTTCGAGGGCTATAAACTTGAAAAGTGTACGAAAGAAATTATGCGATATGGCTTAAAATATTCTGGTACAAGGTTTTTGTCCCCTGAAAATAAAAATTACTCAATTTCCTAGTGGTTTCCGTCTTAATCACTTGCCTCTTTCTTTCTAAACGCTTCAACTTCTTTATTGTAACCATTAAGTTTATCTTCAAATGCCTTGACCCTTGGGAAAAAAAAAATAAAGAAAAACTAATTACGATAACGTTTTCAATATAAGGTTACATGATCTGCGAGCGATCAGATGGATCGTAGACTGTTTAGCCAAAAAACTGCGAGGGGGTGGGGGTAGGGAGAGAGGGAAGGTTCCCTCACTCTCCCCTTCTTCTTTCCTTTTGCCTTTTTCCTCTCCGCTCTCCATTTCGCGCTACCCTCGACTATCTGGACGCCTAGAAAAGGTTAGATGGGTAGTCTCGCAATGTTCTTTTCTGCAGCACAACGTGGAAGACTAACTGTTACATACAATTTTTCAAGACATGCAAGCCATTAGTTTGACCTTTACAGTTCCTTAAGTGATAGTTTTAACAGAACTTTAAGGATCCAAAATCTCATCATCTGAATTTGTGAGCTGCTAAAATTTTCACATTGCCGCGATCTCAGCTAATCTCCTCCTAACAAAAAAATTCTAAAGGGGCTCTGGCCGGTCCACAAAGTAGCTATTTTAATGAACTTGGTACCAAGATTTGCTATGATGTTTACTTCTCCAGTGATCATAGAATTTGCCAAATTCACAAAACAGCCAACAGAAAAAGAACTTTTTTTTACACTGTAAAATAATATTCACTTACTTTCTCTTGACCTCATCCATCGCAAGATCCTTTCTATGTCCAATCCTGTTTTTGCTAAGCTCAAATATCTTTTGAATGTGCTCAGGCCAGTGGAAAACAGTGCTGTTCAATTTCAGATCCTCGTCTGAAAAGCAAGAGCGATGTTTTGTTAATGCTTAGTAATTAAATAAAAGTTACAGTTCTACAACTATAAATGTAACACAAAAAGCAGCAAATAGGCAGGGAGAATGATGCTTTTTTGCTTAGTAAGTGACACAGGCGACTGTGAAAATAAGACACGGAGTTCTTCCAACAAGAGTCACACACACACACACTGGTTACAAGAACAGATGCTCTACCACTGAGTAACAGGAGGCTGACCGGTCGTTTTGCCTACGAGTCGTTTCGCTAACGTCCCTTTCGCTAACGTCTTATGTCGTTCCGCTAAGAAGCGAAACGAGCGCTACGCATGTATATGCTTCGTTCTCTCAGCTATGATACAAAAAAGTGCGATAAGCACGTATATACCTCGTTCTTTCAGCCACTGATCAGGAGAAAGCACTTAGGGAACTGACTCAACACGTACGCGAAACGACGACAGAAGTTAGCGAACAGGACGTTGGCGAAACGACTCGTAGGCGAAACGACCGTAAACGAACAGGAGACTTTATGGGTGAACTCTACGAGTAAGTTAGGAAATATCAAACGAGTAAAAAAAGCTAACATACATGGAAGTGTGGCATATTCCAGTAAAAACAACAGTCTCTCCCCGGCCTCATCAACAGCAGTCTGCAAATTAACTACAGTAACAGAACTGGCGTTCTCTAAGAATTGCGTCAGAGCAACCAAGTCACTTGTGTTGTCAGGCATCTCTTGGACTTTGTCTGATATCTCATCGTAGGATCTACACAGTCTACAAATGCAATTACAAATAACTTTGAATTAGCTTTTATCACTATCATTACTATTTTTAACCGTTAATTTTCCTGTTTTTATTAACCAGAGTATAATACCATCAACTGACGTGATACAACTCGCTTTGGCTCTGAAGATGACTACTGCACAGGTTGTCCAAACGTCAGTCACTGTCAACAACTACAGTCCTATTCAGGACTACGTTCACCCGGACGATCAAACTCAACCTACTTTTTATTTTTTAATAAACCTACGACTCTTTCAGACGCTAAGACAGATAACAAACAGATGGCGGAGAACAAAGACCATAACCAAATTTCAAGTTCAAAACTGTTTTATTTGTAGCATGCAAGAAAATCGTTTGATTTTCACTTGTTTCTACTTTGTCATTTCTACTTTTTGGCTTTCACTTTGTAAACCTCAAATCCTCTAAAAAAGCCTGATGGTGGAGAGCTTCAGTGGCCAGGGGAGGGACTCCGCATATAAAAGCGGTGGGGATGCTCGTCGTCTCACTTAAGGGTGTAAGTTTCGGATTTTGGTCTCACTTAGGGTGTTCTGGGCAAAACGCCATCATATTTAGCCGTGAAGATCTCGTTTAGGGTGGCACGTGAAAAAATATAAAAATATGTGTATTGTCTGTGTTTTAACATGGTCTCTTTTAGGGGTCAAAAAAAGTTTGGGCTACGCCCAGATCGGTCTCTTTTAGGGGTTTAATTCAAAATTTCCGACAAGCATCCCCACCCCTTTCATATGCAGAGTCCCGCCCCCGGGCTTCAGTGGTTATTTTCAGGTTGACGTCAATTATCTTAAGATGGTGCATTTCATTAGTGGAAAGAGCCACACTTCAAACATGTTTTACCCTCTGTTTTTATCTCTGTTCTGATCTACAACATAGTGGATCATTTTGTCAGCCAGACGTGCAGCTCGAGCAGACAATTCTTGATTGACATCATCGCAGTTTAAGCAGAGCATGTTTAGGGGAACAGTAATATGCAATGAAGCAATTTCCTTGGAGAGATTCTGGTATGAATCAATTTTCTGGAGGAGAGAAGGAAAATACATGATTAAGTTCTGACAGATATGGTGAGAGTTCAGTCACCAACAGCAATTGCTCAGGTGTAAGAATACTAGCATGTTGGGACTGTGATGTGAAGATGCATGTGAAGGTGCATACAAAACCTTGGGTGGGCCATGGCCCACCTATGGCCCACCCAATAGCCTACCCAGTGTGGCCCACCATAAATTTTGTAATTTTGCTAGAATAAAATGCAAAACGCGAAATCAATCTGAAAAGCCTGAGCAAGGCAAAAGAGAGAAGTAAAATGAAATTGACATATACAAAGTAGGCATACTACCAAAAGTAATTATTATCAGAAAGAAGCTAAACTTGTCAAAAATTTGCTTACGTGTACCCTACTACGACAGACATTGGCGTTATGCTAGATAAAAAGCTGACTGTACCTGACTGTACCTGAATAATGTCGACAGACATTGGCGTTATGCTAGATAAAAAGCTGACTGTACCTGAATAATAAACCATATCTTCACATTTTATAATATCAAAGCAACATTCAGGGTAAAAAAAAAATAGTACCTTGGACAAGGAAAGCAGTACAGGCTCATCTTGAATGAAAGCATTTATTTCTGTTTCTGCTTTGTTGTTAAGCAAATCTTGGTATTTCTTGTATGTATTCAAGTACCTATCAAATAAAAAGAATTGTTGCATATGTCCCCACCTAAACACTATGCAGTAGAAAAAAAATATGGCAATATCAGTAAGTAGTATTTATCCTTTCACTCTTGAAAGTAGGAAAAGTGAGACAGTTACTAAAAATGCAAATTTCTTTTTTTTGTAAAAAGCTTAAGAAATAGGTAGTACTATGCAAAGTTCTTCCAAAGAGGTTTCATTAAAATGGTAACATTATAGGAATTTGTCCACAGAATGAATAGTGAAACAGTGGATGCTCTAGACAACTTTGCGCTGGATGGTACAGGATGTAGAAAAAGCAGACTGCAGAGGCAGGATGGAGGTTGTGGGACCAAGTCAGAGCTTGTTTGAGGGATAGGGAAGGTTGGCGGAGAGGTGTGAAGGCCAAACGGCAACAGGATGCAAAGAGGCGAGGTAGGCAGGGAGGTGACAAATAATCTTGACATATCTGTGGTCTAAAAGTGAAAAAGTTAAATATAACAGCAAGTCCATGCTTGTTTGAGAAATAGGGAAGGTTGGCAGAGAGGCGAGAAGGCCTAACGGCAACAGGATACAAAGAGGCGAGGTAGGTAGGGAGGTGACAAATAACCTTGACATATATAATGTGGTCTAAGAGTGAAAAAGTTAAATATGACAACAAGTTGTGGGACCAAGTCCATGCTTGTTTGAAAAATAGGGAAGGTTGGCAGAGAGGTGAGAAGGCCTAACGGCAACACGACGCAAACAGGCAAGGTAGGTAGCGAGGTGACAAATCATCTCGACATGTATAATGTGATCTGGGAGTGAAAAAGTTTAATATAACAACAAGTTGTGGGACCAAGTCCATGCTTGTTTGACGAATAGGGAAGATTGGCGGAGAAGTGTTTAAGGCCTCACGGCAACAGAAGAAGAGGCGAAGTAGTTAAAGAAGCGGCAAATAATCTTGGCACAAATAATGTGGTCTAGGAGTGAAAAAGTTAAATATTACAACAACTACTTTTGTGGTCCCACTGTGTTGAGTTTGAACACATCCACTGCCTCATTCATGTGGTCTTGAACCAGCGCTTCTTCAACATGAACTGAACGAAGAAACAATTTCTTGTCTTTCATATCAGGAAACAGTTCAATTTCAACCTAAAGAAAAAGATAGAATATACAAAATTAATGATACCTCAGTCACAGTTGAAAAACCCATACTACATTGTAACTCTTTGATAAAGACAATAATAGACCTTTTTACCGATACGGCGGCCATATTGAATTAATTTGATTTAAGGAGTATTATAGGATGCCCAGGGAGCATGAGCCCATTTCGTTTGTATTTTCGAGCGCTTTTCGGGACATTTTTTCTTAAAGTTTTCTTAGAATAAGATTGTAATAGGAAAAAAGATCTTTGTGCCGTGTTTGGATGTAATAATGATAGCCTTTTCTCCGAGAAATATACAGTGAAAGACCATGTTTTTAATACTAGAAAAAGGCAATCATTATTACATCCAAACGCGGTACAAGGATCTTTTTTCCCATTACAATCTTATTGTAAGAAAACTTGAAGAAAAAATGTCCTGAAAAGCGCTCGAAAATACAAACGAAATGGGCTCATGCCCCCTGGGTATCCTATAATACTGCTTAAATTGAATTAATTCAATATGGCCGCCGTATCGGTAAAAAGGTCTATTGCATCTTTTTTTTTTTTACTTATTGTGCTATGGTTTTCACCACTAGTTAATCCTAAATTATAAGTTATTATGGACCAGGCCCCGCTTGTACAAATGTTGGATAGCGCTATCCAGCTGATAAGTATTAGGGAAACCAGTTGCGCTATCCACTGGATAGAGATTTATCCAGTGGATAGCGCTATCCACCTTTTGAACAACTGGGGCCAGGCAAACAGATTAATGTTTTACTTTGGAGTTTTACATATTCCAAAGTGTTGTAGCAGAACACATATTAACTTCATGCTGCTCAAGACGTTTGCTGATATTACAAAACAATCATTTTTAATCAGTTAAATATAGTTCCTTGAACAGCCCAAAAAAGGTTCTCTAGAAACTCTGTAAGTGAATTACCCTTGGTAGCTCTGCTGCATTTTGCACAATATCTGTCACGAGTCTGAGCAGGATATCACGCAGTTCTCTGAATGGAGGGTCAAAGGTCAACTTGCCACCATCAATCTTCAGCTGAACTGTCATGATCTGGCGAACAAAGGAAGTTCATAAATGAGTCAAAGTTCAAGAAACCTTGTTGAAGTCCAAAAACATTGTCACTGACTGGGGTAGGGCATTTTTATCATGCCATTAATTGTTGCAACATTTCACACTGATTCAGCATTAACCCCTAAAAAGAGAAATCTAATGCTGATAACCACTGCATGGAGCTTAAAACCTTCCATGATGGATTGGAACTTCACAACATGGCTCAGAAGTTTGTTTAACACTACTGGTTCCTGGCACTAAAGCATTATAATAACAATAATAATAATAATTATTATTATTAATATTATTTATAATTAAGAATATTGCCCACTACCATACTGTACCATGAACCCTGCTTTATTAATCACATACCTGAGTTTTGACATACTCCAAGTCAGAATAAGTTTCTCCAAAATCGTTCCCATTCTAGAGAAAACAATTATTCACAGTGTCATTATCAAGATAAATAACAAAAAACGTCTGTTACTAGGTACTAAATAAAAGAAGTAAGTCTCAAGGTTATAGTCAAGACAATAAGCTAGCAACTTTGCACCGTCTCGAGCTATAATTATGGACAAAAGCCTTGAAACAAATTTGCATTTGTGCAGCTTTTTTAAAACCACACATGCTCTTACCTTTCCCACACACCAAAAACAACATTGGAAGTGTGTATCCCAAACTTTTGCTGAGTTTCAGCATTGTATAGGGTGGGAAGAACTGCCAGATATTTTCAAAAAGGTTGCACCATTAATATTTATGAGGGCACTCAGAAATTACAGATAATAGTATCACAAATGCTGCATCACTGTCACAAGGACTTTTGTCCAGGATTGTAGGTTAAAAGTTAAGAAGTAGTTACCTTGTAGAAACTTAAAAAGCTGACAAAGTCTGCAAGGGAGTTGATAACAAGGCTGCGAAGCTGAGTGGACATGAGTGCTGCAAGACATGCAAAGAACTGCTGTACAAGGATGGTAGAATCACCCTCTGAGTTGGGAACCAAGTGCATCCATTCCTGGCGCTCATCAATAAGGATTTTTGCACATGCTGGAATCCATCTATAAATAATCAATCAGGTAAATAGTCCATCACAGTGACATCACAATCTGAGATAGCGAACCAATCGCATTGCTTGAAACACCAAGATTACTAAGTGTCACTAAATATCATTGTAAGAAATCTATATAAAGAGACAATTTCAGCAGTATAGGTTGGTGAAGGCAAACAATTAGACATGTTTAGAATTTTATTGTAGAAAACTTTCTTCTTTTAAACTTCAGATAAACTAATGCATTAATTTAACATGAAAAATCCAGTATGATCATAAAGGAAGATAAAACTCAAAAGTGTTGAGCCCTCCTTCATGTATACTTACGTTCTTTTAAGAAATTCTCTTGTTGTTGCACACTGCTGTTTGACAAGGGATTCAAACTCTGCAGGAGTAACAGGGAGGCCAGAGGCTAACAGCTTTTCACCATCAACAAACCTTACATCACAGAATCTTGAGAAACACAACAGAGAATTAATGATTAAAAATTATCATTTTGGTCTGAAAAGTAAACTAAAGGCACAAAACCTGCAGCGTGCAAAGAAAGTCATGTCCGATAGTGCAGGGGTAGTGGATTTTGCTTTCGGGCTAGTGAATACTGCTCTTAACTTGCCCAACGGGCAAGTGAATTTTTTTGGGAAATTCAAATTGCAGAAGGGTGGTAATCAATCCTGCTAATCAAAAAGGGTTTTGGAGCTAATTGAAATGACTTGTGGGCTAGTACATGCTAGCTACCGCTTGCCCAAATGGCAGGCTGTAAAACTGACTTTCTTTGCACCCTGACCTGCTACCTGAAATCCAAACCTTCTTTGGAGCTATCTTGTACAAGGAGAGGGGGGAAATTAATGTTAACATGCAAACAGAAACACCCTTCTTAAGTTTTAGCCATCACAAATAATCAATCCCCAATTAAATATTTAACAATTATTATTATTGGACCAGGTTGAGCAAAAGATCGTGATTTGTCAGTGGGAAGCAAAACAAATTGCCAACTTCACGAAAGAACGGTCGCAACAAGGAGAAAAGCGTGGTTTCATTTACACATGAGCAGAATATTATTTGCAGCCAAACACAGTTGGAAGACATTTCGCAAGAACAAACCATTGTTTGCAGGCAGTTAATTGCAGGTCACGTGGTGGGCTCTCAGCCAGTGAAAAGGAAGAAAAATTTGCATCCCATGGTAATATCATTTGATTAACTCTGGAAGCAATCATCATCTCACTTCGGCTGTCCATGAGACTGTTTGACATCACTCTGTTTCATGACTGAGTGACTTATACACAGTATGTCTGTAAGTCTGTCCACAACTTTTTCACATTAAAAATAAAACCACTTACCTGTCATACCAAAGGTTCTGAATTTTCATCATCACTGGATTTGTAATGAACAGATTCTTTGTGCAGGACTCTTTTGCTAAATAATATGTGTTTCGCCATGGAACAGGTGCTCTCACAGTCCTAAAGAAGAAACAAAACATCAACTTCCAGAAATCATCATCAACAACATCATCATTCAACATATGGAAATTTTATCGACACATGACATTACAGCTAGCTAGTCGAACTGCTGTCTGGTAACTTTGGCCAAAAATCTCCAAAATTATCAAAAATGTTGTTTACAAGGCCAGCACTATTTGAGCTTTTGTTCCTGATGCAAACTTACAGCCTTAAAAAATCAGGCATAGCAAGAACAAAAATTTCAAGACTGCTCCTATGGTTAAAAAGATCTTATCAGCCTGCACAAGTTGGGAATCAAAGTTCTACATGACTATAAAATTTATAGACATAATTAGTTTAATTTAATTTAATTATGTCACAAGTGGTATCGGGAAGGTCGTTCCACATGAGCGTTTGTGGAGTAGTTGAGGTGTTAATGTATTTAAAAAAATCCTAGTTTTATAGGTAAATGTATGCCTTCAAAAACTAAGGCCTCAACCCAGAACTTTGTTGAAGTTAAAAGACAGCCAATATAAAACGTCCTTCATACAAAGCATATTATGGTAAATATTTCACCTGAACACCACATCTATTTTATAGTGAAATTATAGGTTTTAGGGAAGATAGAAGAAAATAATAGAATAATAAGCGAATACCTCAGTGCAAAAGCTTTTGGTGTTTCTTTGATATGTAATCTTTGTCTTTCACATGGATCCATTAGTATGTAATCAACTGCAAAATTAGGGGAAACAATGGTCATTATCTGTTAAAACAAATAACGATTTTATTTGTTTCTGGGGGTAACACTATAGTTTTGTTGAGTACCTTGATTTGTAGCTAACAAATAAATTACAAAAAGTGGTAACTAGATTTGTGGCCAACAAATTACAAAAAGTGATGAATATTAACAACCAGTTAAATGTAACAAGTAAGGAATACATTGCCTGTGACGGGTGAAACTATTATTTTGCTGTTTATGAGAATGACCGCCGAGCCCTACTAAGATCTTCTAAATTTAAGCAAGCAGCTAGAGCCATGCATAATTGAACCTTTGAATCGGAAATAAGCTTTAAGATACATACTTACCCGCAGCCATAAAAATGCGCCTTTAATACAAAATTGGCCATAATCTACCATTGAATGTGAAATAATTATTATTCACTAATTGTTTCATTAAACATGCACAGCTTCTTGATGCTAGAGAAGTGTTCACAAAACACTGACTTATATTGAAAAAAAGTTGAGTTAATTTGCTACAAAGGAAAATTTTTAGTTTTCTTCCCAAATTTAGTCATAGGTTTACCAAGTACCTATGTTTATGCAACTCACCAATTGCTTTGCGGACACTGAAGTCATAGTCACTGACCACCTCCTGCTTGAGTTCAGTGACAAGAGGATCAAGTTCTGTATTTCGCCGCAGTTTCTCTGGGATTCTTTTCTGTAGTATTCTTTCCATTACTTCTGGATCTTGGGCTGCCAAAGAATGGTTTGGAACTCCACGAGAAATGTAGTATTCATAGCGCTGAACATAATAATTAATACACATAGACAAAAATCAATTCACACATCTATAATATATAACTCTCTCACTTAACTTCTGATGAATAATTAACAATTATTCAACAGAGTTGAGCAAAATATCACGATTTGTCAGTGGCGATCAATTATTGGCTGAAGCTGAAGGCTGGATCACCGAGTTTGTTTTTTTAATGAATATCTTCAGCAAGAGAAGTGCTCTGCCATTTTCACTCAAGAGCAATCGCAGGAAGGAGAAAAGCATGGTTTCATTTACGCATGAGCAGAATATTATCCGCAGCTAAACAAAGTTGGATGACATTGTGCATGAGCAGACCATTATTTGTAGGCAGTTATTTGCAGGTCATGTGGTGGGCTCTCAGCCAATGAAAAGGAAGAAAAATTTGCAGGGAATGATAATTTTAAGTATTTGATCAATATTTTTTCAAAGATATTAGTTTTCCTACCTCCCCGCTCCCACCCAAGAAGAAAATTAAAGATGCATTTTAGTTGGCCCATATGATTTTAGAGTATTAATGGGGCTTCATGTAATGACACACCCTGCCATCATCATCATCATCATCATCATCATCATCATCATATTTTGATAAAGGAGGTTATATACCAAATGGAAACTTGAAAGCTGATGAGGGTGCTTGTGATGTCATGGGGTTAGCTTCCACTGTGAACAGCCAGCCCCTCAACAATGAACAAACCCCCTAATTTAACCCAGCCATGAGTCCCCACACAAAGTCGTTCATGCACTCATCTCATTGTGTTAATGGTAGTAAAGAAAGTGGCTGGGTAGGAAGAAGCAGAACGAAAAGACGAACGGATGCACTCCACAAAGAAACACTACTACAAACTGAAATATGCTTCAAACACTTATCACATGGAGTGCTCAGAGCATGCACCACAGCAGCTGAGAAAAATGCATCCACCTGCTCTAAATCTTAACAGTTTTTTAAGAGACCCTGAACCTGCATTCCACAAACTTCAGCTGGGCATACTGTCGGTCATTCAACTCTTCTAACCAGGAGGTGAACTTAACCACCCATTAGTACAAGCACACTATTTCAGCACAGCCCAAATGTAACTCAGGCATTTTCTTAAGTAAAAGCCTGATTAATATGACCATCTTGACTTCTGAAGGCTCATTAGATGGTCACATTAACATGGTTTCATTGTGTAGCTGAACAAAAACTGTTTTGTCAAAAGTCAAAACATAACCATTCCAAATGGATAAACTTAAAGAAAACTGTTGATATCAATCAAATATTCCCACCTCAAGATCTCGTTTGGAGACTGCCTCATCATCCATGCTTTCCACCGCCTCAAAGGATCTTATGATATCTAACTGTTCTGCGGGTGTCATGGCTCGGCTGGGAGGTAGACTAAAGGCAACATAAAAAAGAAACAATCAGCATCCACTGCAAGTCCTACTGTATTACAGTGGAACATCCTTTATACAGACATCAAATGGCATGTACAAAACACAGGTCACATCAATAGAAAAGTGATCTGTACTAGTGACCTAAATAACTGAGATAAGCAGTTTTCCATTAAGCTCAAACACTTTTTTTGGATTTGTGATTAAGGGTAGGAGAGACTGTTAGAGTTGTATATATTTGACTGTAGCACAGTGACTTGTACATGTACTCTATTTTAAACCTGCGGTTGTGACCTGTGAACTGCATTTCGTACCTGCCAGACACCAAAGGGGTAAAACTCAAGTGTTTAAGTTGTGGTACAATATTATAATGATATTATTTTATCCTCGGTTCAAATTGTATTTTCCTCTGGAACTCATTACTATTCCATACCATATACTTGATACCATATACTTGAGGTGGACTGTGCACACCATGCGGAATAAATCAAGACTGGCGGATATTTTGTCCTCTCCTCTGTTAAACCAATTTACCTCATTTTCGTGCAAAATCTCTGATTACTTCTAGAGGGGATGTTCTAATGAAGGAGAGCTAGAAATATGTGTGGATTCTGATACCTTTAAAACTGGCTTAAAAATTACTATTGTCCACCGTAAAGGGGTGTCTATAAGAATTGTACAGTTCTATACTTCTGTTTTATGCTGATGTCAACTGGCTGCCTGGCTCTGTTAGCCCCTGCATTTATTCCAGGCAGCCAGGACTTTAGTTTCATTTTCAATATTTCCACTGTTGTAATAAAATTTCTGACAAGGTATGAGAGAGGACGAATGAAGATTTGTTGTTGTTAGGGCAGTCCATGACATCCTGAAATGTATGTTTAAAGACAAAAAACATACCTGGGTTTTTCCCCTTCAGATTTACTCCTAGCATGAGGTCCAGCAACTCTTTTCCTGGGCAAGGATGCATCTTTTGCTTGACCATGTCAAGGTCATCATTGGTTTTCAAGAGAAGTATAAACTATTACTATATTTTATTTAAATATTTTACAAAGCATTACAAACTCCACTCTTAAATGCCCACACCTTAAGGGATACTTGCTGTGTTACTCCAAAAAGTGGTGTTTTTTCGCTACTGGGTCTTGCAACAGCCATTTGCGAGAATGGCTGTTACAAAACTAAAAGATCTTGTGAGATTGGAGAGTGGGCAGCTATACATGGAAATCCATTCTTCCATGTCGAGTAAATAACTTCCCGCAAGTTGGGTTGTTAGTTCTGTTACAGCATGTTTGATTGTTTCATGAGGGGACAGGGGGTCCAAACCTCTTGTGTCCCATACCTGGCATTCCCAACTCCTGCACCTTTTAGTTGACTTCCTCCTTTTAGGCTTTTATGATTGTACCTGTATTGAGCATAGTGGCATAATCACCCTTTTTTCCCCACTTCCCACCCTAATAGAACTCCTGGCTATCTCCCATCCTTTCCTTTTCTGCCTCCCTTATCCCTGACAATGCCCTATTTTCCCAGGCTCCTATCCTCTCCGTCCTCCCCCACTTTCATTGTTCCCAAAGAGCCCTCACTGGGAAAGGTTGAATAACAATATTCTTACTACAAAATATTAACACAAATTTTATTACTGTAAATTATATTTTTGAGGATACAAGCTTGCTGAGCTGGAGCCCTTGTTGGTGGTCTGACGGGTGTTTGTATTTTTCCAAGATTTCTTATCTTTAATCCACTTGCAGTTGGGGTGAAGTTATTAGCAATGGATTCACTTGGTGTTCTGGCATAAGCTGTTTCTTTGAATGGTGCTGCTCTGGTCCATGATGGGTCCTTCATTATTGGTGGGTGTTCACTGTGACGTAGCACAATCTACAAAACATCATCCCTATATCATGAAGCACATTAACCTGTACAAAATTCTGGCACATCCATTTTTTTTTGTCTCAATCTATTTACTGTTTGTTGCTAGATATTTAAGCCACATGGTCTGTATCTTGCTTTAGATGACTTTAAAAGGGGAATGTACTAGGATCCTTTTTGGAAGCACATTGATCGAACTCTCTCTCAATGGACACCTCTATATATAAGACAGACAGTTCTGTAAAATGGACACCTAAAGTTGGTCCCTGCCTTTTTTTACTCCGTTTATTTATCTATACGATGGACACCATTGTTAGACTGACACTGCCTGTCCCAAAAGTGTCCGTCTCAGATCAGAGGGTTGACTGTACTTTGTATCTAAAAACAGAGCAAAAACCTTTCACCCATCTTCTCATTTGAAGAGTAATTTTTTCTCCAGCTACCAGCTGGGTGAAAGTTCCGATGTTCAATATTTTAATTTTGCAAAAAGTTAATGATCTGAAGGCACACATCCAGCCTGACCATACACATATACAGACCCATCTGGTTTGAGCTAGTGAGGAAAATTTTAACGACAAGCAAACTTCATGCTGTTTCATCTCGGTCGGGGGTGCAAACGATAAAATTAGAGACTCATCAACACACCATGATCATGGTTTACGCATTTGAGACCCTGCTGTAAAGTTCAATTCCGGCACAGAAAGAAAAGCACCTAACCAAATACTAAAACTTCAAGATTCTCAATACACTTTCAATGAATTGATTTTTAAGGTAACAAGTTGCATTGGGATTAATGCCAGCTCGATGTTAAGAAGAATACCGTTAAGAATCACTGACATATGAATCATTGAATAAAATAAAGGATATGTTATACATTCAAGTTTGTAAACAAAAAAAATATTTTTGTACAAGTTTATCTCAGATTAAAGTCAAGCTTGTTTTCCTTTTGTCACATGGTTGCATGGGCTAAAGAGAAATTCGGTTATAATAAACAATCCTAGGTATATACAAACAAGAATTGAACTGTGATATCGCTAAGCCAAATTCATGCCATGGGACAAAATCCATACCTGTTCTCGAATCCGTCTATTAATTTCAAGCAATTCCATCTGGACCTTTTCCGTTTCCTTATCTTTCAAATATTTTAGCGCTTGCATTGCAACTGTAATAAAGTCACTTCGACTTCCTGAGCTAAATCAATAATGAATGACTAGTGCTTAACTAAGTGGCTCGCCGTTTTACACTTCAAGTTGTGTTTTTAAAACCAGTGGGATGATCCAACGAGACAATGCTATTTCTCACATCGCGGCAGCTGGTTTTTCCCAGTTAATTAAACTGCAATTGTCGCATTAGACAAAACAAAGATTTGCGCATTGAGTTTTATCCCGCAGCTGCAAAAATAAAACGAACCTGGTATAATTCAGATGGTGTTTCGTGTGATGGCGGGAGAGGGGGCAATCCGGGAAGACCGCGGGTTTGCGAACAACTGAAAACTCCACTGTCGGCATACTGAAATTATAGCAACAAAAATGATAAGAAGCTGTTAGAAAATAACTCAAAGACACAACAGGTAAACAATGCGGAACAATCAGGTAGATCTCCTTACCTTTACTCGCTGCATTTTAAAGGCTGTTTACTTGCATAAAATCGAAGATCCAACTGCGCGGAGTCGACTTGTGGTAAATTTACCTATTTGTTTAACCGCAATTTTGGAAGCTGCGATAAGAACTCATTATGATCATGGGTTTTTAACGGTCATACATCTCGGATCAGAGCCAACCGCCACAATCGAAAGGGATCATCACTTGAAATTGAAGAAAATGCCGCAACTTTGCAGACTTCCCGACTTTTTGCTAACACACACTGACAACACTTTTGATAATGATGTTCATCCGGGACTCGTAGTTGCCATGTTTACCCATTGTCTTGTCACGTTGCTAAGTCCCGCGGGAGCGCGCGTAACTTAAAATTTCACAAAATGCATTGCGCAGCTGAATAACGCAAAGAAAATAATTTTTTTTTAAAAAATTATTAAAAAGAATAGAGAAAACTGGAGCAGGAATGGTTTTCTTTATCTTTCTTTCTTTCTTGTATTCGCTTCCTTTTTTGTACTCTTCACGCCACCCTGCATTTTAATAACAGTAAAAGCCAGAGTGGTAAAAGGGAACTTTTTGCAACTACCGACTTTATGGTGTATAGATCGTTTTCACTGTCACGCAACAAAAAATTAAATTGGAAACCGTCCAGTGGAAGAAGCCAAGAAAATGAAATGTCATAAAAGACTAATATATAAACAATTTTTCCAAGTCTCAGGTCTTTGGGGCCCACACCGTAAAATTCCGAAAATAAGCCCCGGGGCTTATATTTTTCAAAGGCCCTATTTGGGGGGCTTATTTTTGGAGGGGCTTATATTCGAAAAGGCTTATATATGGAGGGAAATTTTCTTTTCAAAATCGATTGGGCTAGCCTTATAGTTTGAAGGAAATTTACCGTTTTTGCTCTGTTTTACTTTGTGTTTGAGGGCAATTTCTAAGTACAAGCCCCCGGGGGCTTATATTTGGAGGGGCGATTTAACGGAGGGTTTTTTGCGTTACGAGTTTGGGGGTTTATATTTGGAGGGGCTTATACATGGAGGGGCTTATCATTAGGAATTTTACGGTATTTACGAAACGTTTCACGCACCTTTGTAGAGCTTTGTATGGAGACGCCATATTGGTGCACCGTTTTGGCGCACCAATATGGCTGCCGGAAATCAACAAAAACATCTGGAGTTCACTTTTTCTGTAAAAGTTATTTCTTTTCACTCGACAACTTGCATACGTAAGCATAAACATATCTTCTAATACTTGAAGTGATTATACTACTGAAAATCAAGAGGAGAGACTTTTTTACAACGAGCCAAGCATTCCTATTTAGGTGTCACGCACTGTGAATACTCGGAAGTTCAAATTGCTGTATTTTCGAAAAGAAACATACTACGGAAATGGAAACTTGTACAAAGATTTACTTTTCGTTTACCGGTATCTTCGACCTAGTGTAAATAAGAATTCGTAAAACCTCGATGTTTTGACTTTACATAAAGGGGTGTTCCATTCAAGGTCTCATCGGCCTGAGTGCTTCGCAGTGGGGGAAAGGTAAAAAACGGGGTGAAGCAGCAAAAAAATGGCGGGCGAAGCTAGTTACAAACGCCCTTGAAATTCTGCAACTTCAACACTGGAATAGAACCCCAAACCCACGTCGACCACCCAGGAGCCCGGTGGACCAGTGGAGATCACGTCTTCCAGTCAACAATTAAACTGTACTTGTATTTCAACTTGGAGCAGGAGCAGATTATCAGCTCCTGCTTGGAGTGGACACGCCGCTCATTTCTTCTGGTGGCTGTTTGAGCAAAATATATAAACAGTGTTCAGGATTCCTGTAGTGTTCCACTTTCAACGAAGAAAACGTCAAAAGATGAACAGTATTATTACTTATTTTTGTTTTCTCCTGTATCAACCTCTAATTATATACGCTAAAATGAAGATGATTTCAAATCTAAAAATGAGGATAAATCTTTTTTCCACGAGAGTAGGTCAAAATAGGGTCATGGTGTTCTTTTTTTCATTCCGCTTTCGGCTAGATACAACAGCTGTCAAGGAAGTAAAACGACTCAATAGTATGATCGATTAACGCTGCCAGAAATGATTTTTGTCTTTCCGAAAACTTTTAAGGCAATCCTATCCTACTGCTCGAAAAATCATCTTCTTAAAATGAATTCTCATTTACACTAGCAAGGTTTTCTTCTCTCTATGCATGTTTTCTTGATAATGTAAATCATCAAAATAGGGCATTTTTTCTTTGTCAAGGGAAAAAGGTTGATTAAATTTAATTTACCAAGGATATTACCGTAATGTCCTTGGTAGTGGCGCTGCCGGGATTTGTCAAGGAAACTGGCTTGTCAAAGAAAACTTGCTTAATTATAAGTCAAGGGATCATGAAGTGACCCATTGCTTTGCTGGAACACGTTCGTCGTGACCTGAAGCTTCTGACTCGGAGACAAGACTACAATGAGAATGACATCAAGAAGAGTTTCAAAGTGACAACAACTGATCCTCTTCTGTCATTTACAAAAAGAAATAACTACTGACTGGAAGCTAGGTCTCCAGTCATTAACCAGTTGAAAATCTTTTGTTTGAAAAGTACTTTACGAAAACAATAAAGTTCCACTTAAATATTTTATATCAAAATAAACAGTCCCACAGGACCAGAATAACGACACGGACGTCATAACAACTAGAATAAACAAAGCCACTTTTATGATAATCTATGAATCGTTGTAAAACTCGAACGGTAAACTTATAGTCGGCTGAAACAGGCTATAAAACTTTGCCCCGGGAAGCACAATGGGAACACTTGAAGTCATTCCTGAAGGTAAAGTTGCATGGTTCACTCTATAAAGCATGTTTCGTTTTTCACACCGCACTTAGTAATTAAATTTTAACGACAACGAACATACTTAGCAGCAAATAGGCTTTATATTAAATTCAGGCAATAAAGTTTCCGGCCTACACGATGAATCAAGAATAATAAGCAGAAAAATTTAAGACCGGCCATCTCTTTAACTAATCATCAATCAACGCAACGAGGGCGATTTCTAAAGGTTCGTGATGCATGATCAGTCAGATCAGCAAAAAGTTGATTGAGTGAAAAAACTGAGTAACGATAGAACAAGGGGTCTTTTTCCAAAAGCTTCAAAAAGCCTAAAACTTGTACACTTCAAGTCGGTGTATTACTGAGTATTAAATCTGATGATAGCTCTTGTCGTCAAAGTGACAGTTGTTAGGGACCAAATCGAGACCAAAAGTGCAGGCAACATTCAGCTAGAGTGCTATAAGAACCGTTACACTCCAAGCAAATGGGACAGCACTGATCGGTGTCCATATCATAGTGCTTGTCATGTTGTATTCTAGGGGGAGGGAAGCCGGTTTTTGCGACCAAGGACTAACCACAAGAGGGTAATGAACTGTCCGTTCTTGCCGTTCAAATTTTCAAAAGTTCTACAAAACTGACACATGTTTGAGACTTATTATTGGCAACACTCGGATGTAGCTCAAGCGTCTTGGTCCGGTCTTGATTCAGCGTATAGCCGACTCTTCTCCCGCTTCAACTGCTTGGAAAAATTTAGCATCATAAAGAAGAGAGCTTCATTTTTTCCCACTATAGACATGAACCATTATTGATTTTTTCTATTGATCGGCAAAAATTGTAAAACGAGTGAAACACTTTGTAAAGAAATTCAAGTGCAAAGAGTTCGTGACAGCGACTGACAAAGCTATAACATTAAAATCAAAATGAAAACCATGACTTAAATATACAAACATGTCTGATGGTGACTGATTTATCAGATTTATGAGCCAAAAATTCATAAAATGTCGCCGTTATTCAACAAGCAGTGACTTTGGCCAAAAAAAATGAAACTATTGATAATGGTGACTGGAAGCACGTTATATTTGCTTCAAAGAAAACTGATTTATAAATTCATTAAAACAACTTGTTTCTTTTTAATATTTTAAATGTTAGCCGGTTATGTTGGTTGCTAATCACGAATGTCAGTTTTGATGGAAACGAAGATGTCATGGGGCTACAAGAGGTTTTTACAGCTTTTGCATTTTTGAAACCAGAGAACCACTAGATATGACATTGCCCTGAAAAAGCGCGCAGTTTTATTTTTTAACATGCGAGTACATAGATCGGTATTTTCGTGAATCGCTATGGAGAGACAAACTGAAAGCGCCGATCATGACACGTCAGCTTAGAGGCTCACATAAATCGGCCTCTCTTTGAGGATTTATCAAGCTCGGGATTCGGGATTTGAAAGCAAAATCAGGGCGAGATTCGGGATTGAAAGTATGTGCTGGAGGCTGGATGCCAAAAATAACCCTCGGAATTACGGGATAGTACGAAATTTTGGGTCAGGATTACGGGAGTGAAGAATACTATTGGGGACCCTCGTCTTTGTTTCGGAGAACTAGAACTCACTTTTCTGTCGCAAAGGAGACTTGCCTCCCAAGCAAACGTTCTTTTGGCTCGTGCCCGTGTGACGATCCCATACTACGTCTGCGTAGGGAGGCTACAATGAGACGAAATCGAAACAGTCGTTATTTCGTATATCTGAAAACTTTAGGCACGGAAAAACTTGTATGGCTCCAGATTAAGACCCTCTACCTAGCGCTCGACACGTTATCTCGTTTCCTTTTGTGGATCTGCGATACATTTTCATTTTCTTTTTGAGATCAAGAGATCCAGTTACATGTAACTTTATACCCGGCCGGAGATGCCATATCATCAGCAAGCGTTGCTAGGTTACCAAGCAGATAACAGTTGCTCTTCGAACAAAAGAGCAGTTGATGAAAACTTTTCGTTGTATTGATCAATAATAGCTTAATCCAAAATAATGTGAGTTGATTACCACTTCTTGTTACTCTAGAGATCTTCTCAAAACCAAGAATGCGTCAGCCAGAACGAGGTTCCAGCCTTTACCAGCTGAGCATTAGCAGAGCCCCGAAACTTCGGTGCGTCAACAGTCCGGTAAAATCTTGTGGAATCTGCGAGGATTGTTGTCTAGGCGCGAAATTGAAGCATACAAAGGAATGGTTTTGCCGTTGCGGGGAACCAGTTAAGAGGAGATACATCCTTGGTCTTGTTGAACGATTTGATTCCATGGATCTGCTTGAATATGTGACTTCTTTGCTGCAATCTTTTCAATATAAAGACTTCACCTACATGCGATCACGGAGCAAGCCGAGTTTGATCATTGACACCTCGAGTCCACCAACCAACCACGCTTTAAATGAAAATGAATTATTGGAAACTATAGAGAGTTATTTAGAATGGTTTTCAGTCAGCACTTATTGGACGAAAGCGAATTATTTACTGGGCTTAATGCAGTTGTGTGATACACATATTCTACATATCATGGCGGTAAAGACAAGAGCCTTGTGTGAAAGAGAACATAGGAGACAAAGAGCTCTTGAAGATGGTTTAATAGACCGAGGTTTGTTCATTGTCCTTGTATATAAAACGAGCGGCTTCTCAGTGTAAAGTGCTGTATTATGTTATCGTTATTAAAATAATTTTTTATGGATATGAATTTTCAAACTTCACAAAATGAGAGCCCAAAAACAGATTTTTTTAATTTTAATTTGCTACTTGAAATCCATCTTGGAGAAGGATTTTTGGTAAGTCAATAGGTAGCTTAGCCTGTGCCACAGACAGAACTAAACTTCTGGTAAGTCCGTCTACAAAACAGTGCTGAAATCCCTGTTCAGGACTCCCAGCATTGTTAACCAGGATTTGAGTAGCACAATGATTGGCCTGTGAAAAATGCCATTGTTAATTTGCCAATCAGTTTGAAGGGACATTCGAAACGCATTTTCGGTAATTTGTTGAGTCCGCTGGGGCCCCAGAACAAGGCTATCTGGGCTGCTTTGCAGAGGTTACTAACTGGGGCTAGATTATTTCTGCGACGCAGTAGCCTGCAAAAACATCCGTTTCTCCTCGCTCTTCGCCGAAGGAACATCCGTGACTCAGCGACAGAAATTCCATATGGATGACGTAAAATATGTCCAGAATCCGGTCAGAAGCCCTGATTGGTCAATGGAGTAGTTACATTGTTTTAGCTATTGTTTACGAATGACAGACAAAAGACAGAAGGCCACAAAGGTCAAATGTAAACGCGACGAATCTCTAACAAAACAGTCAATATTTGTGGAATATAGTCTTCTCTAGAACAAGCATTTGAGTTTTGCTGGAGCTTGTTCACAGATGAACATAACACTTTACCAAAATCAATCAGGAGAAACCTAAAATGGAATAAATTTACATTTGGAACCCCATGACTACCAGATTTATTAAGTAAACATTGATTTGCGTCATCAGTATGGAATTTCTGTTGCTGAGTCACAGACGTTCCTCCGCACAAAATGTCCCCAGTGGCGAAGAGCGATGCAGGCTATGTAAACAATGTAGCTGGGCTTTTGGGTCAGGTGTAATTTAGGTCAGAGTGCAGTCCTGTAGTCTTCTGAAAATGAGGTTGTGCCAATCCTAAATTTTACTTAAATACATATGTATTTAAGACTCTTTTAAGCCTCAATACCAGCTGTCCTACAAAAATATACCGTCTCTAGTTTCTGACATAGTGCGCTATTATGAGGCCCTTTTAGTGGGGGGAGGGGGGGTATGTATATCAGTTGTCTGAATTTCAAATACCGCTGTTTCACAATTTGAGGAGTAGGCTATGGCCCTGTCAGTATTAATTAACCCATTTTTTTGTTGTTTCATCCCGTTTCGTCTAGTCTTATGTTGCTATTTGAAAGCCATATTGCTTAGTGGAATTTGACCTTAACAGGGCCCCTATTATTAAATTTAGCAGTTTGTACTAAAAATAGGTTTTGTCACATTTGACCCCTGAGGTGACTCAGACAAACTTTGCATTCTACTCAAAGGCTTTGTATGAGCAACATGCGTTTCCTAAAGGAAAAATTGTTCATGACATTCACAAAGAGCATTTTTGAAATGTTTTTTGAGCTCTATTCTAATATATAAAAGGCATTACTGTTATAGGGAGCAGAACCTGGTCCAAGTAATGGGAAAAAATGGTTAAAATTAGCGTTAAATTCTCTCGGATAGTGATTTACAGATACAAATTTTGAAGAATGGATTGCACCTTAAACTGAAGCTACATCAACTAGGAAGACCTGCATTGTGACTCAGTCAAAATTTCTGCTTTGTTCTCGACGCGAACTTCATCAGTTGCCGCGTTAGCTTTGCTCTAGGATGCTTTTACAAGAGCACTCTAGTTGTCTGTGCCGTGGCGAGAACGGTAAGCCGTTCTGTCTAGCTGATCTAGACTTGAATGCTTGTCACATTTTACCACTTCAAATCCAACTTTCTGGAGGTTTAGAGCTAAAACTTTAAATCTTCATTCACCCTCGCGGTCCTTCCTTTTAGACGGATTAAGAAGACAAATGTACAAAGCCTGCATTGATCGTTCGGATTCATTGAGATTTCACCATCAACGCCGTCCACGCGCTCCAAAATACAAAAAAAAAATTTATAATGATTTCACAAACGAGTCCTCTAAAGTTCATTTCCGCTTCACGGAAGGCCAGACATTTTATTGGTCAATTATGACAGTTGATGACAGCATCAAATGTCAGTTCGCGAACTCAGGCGTGACAGACCAAGTGGGTGGTTTTCAAAATCCCGGGGTTTGTCTGCAAGCGTTTCCTTCCTTTCTCCCCCCCTCACCGCTCTTTTACTTGAGCCACTTTTCTCGCGGTCTTTGACTCTCGTTCCTCGTTCTTTTCTCCTAAACCGCACAGAAACGCTTGCTACTCAGGCTAGGTTAAAATCAGAAAATAAAGCTGCCAGGTCAAAGAAGGCTACTAAAAATTTAAGCAGATCGATCCATAGCTCTGTCTCTTTTGTCTCTGTCAGATGGTACTGAAACATGACATAACATTTCTGACTGTGTGAGACTCCCAAAGCGAAATTGCTAAAGCGAAAATCAGTTTTGTATGTGCTTCTTGCAAGCGCGTGGTAGAATTTCTATGCTAAAGAGCACACCAACATTAGCACAAACCCGGAAGAAAAAAAATCGTTCATCCTTTGCGTCTACTGATTTAACCAAATGCAGCTTTTGATGAACAGCTTTGATGCCCGGCTTTCCATACATTTCTCAGTAAAATGCTTTAACATATAATATTTTACCCACCCCATTAGGAATGAAATCACTCATCTGTATAGTTTTTTTCATGTTTAACATTACCTTGGCACACATCAATTATTTTCAGGATACATGTTATTGAAACCAAGCTGGATTTTGTTTCGTTTGATGATAAAAATCTTCAAAGATGACGTGAATTTGCAGGTGAACATGACTTTCCCATAAAAACTCATACGGATCAGGTTTATTGTCTGATTCATAGCAGGGACCAGAAATTTGTGACTTTATTAGCGCAAAGTGCTATTGGCCAGTAGTGCATTTTATTGGGTAGCCTCCCATGCAGACCTTTTAAGGCGTTCCTCATGTATCCCTCCCTAGCTTGAAGGGTTCTAGAATTGTAAAACTGTGTGTCTTTTTCTTTTCTGCAGATGATGACGAGTACATGTCTCTATATAGTCATGTATCTGGAAGTACAACTCAGTCAGCTGTAGAGGCAACTTCCAAGTCGCTACCAAGCCATTCTGGGACTTCAGGCATTCATGAAACTGACACACCTGATATTCATTCAATATTCAGTGATGACCTTGAACTAAGTCAGTGTAAATCTCCAGCAGTATCAAGCGCTAAAACTCGGTCTCACAAGGGAACACTTTCTGCAGATGTACAATCTGATGTAAGATCTCAAGCTTCAGCAGGTTTTTTTGGCAGTCCTTTATCTCGTTGTCAGTCAAGGTCCATCCCACCTTCCAGACAGTCACTGAGAAAGAACCCGGATAAGATGACTGATTTTGAAAGGGAATTCTTTAGCGAAGACTACATGTCTGGTGACGAGGGAGATGAAGAGAATGTCATGAATAATTCTTTGACTCCATCAGGACCAGAAAATGAGCCAGAATGTAGCTTTGGTTCAGAAAAGTACAAAGACTTTTTAAGATGTCTGCCTGTTCATCTGTCCAAGAGAATTTTAGGGATGTTAGACAAGAATAGTTTAACAAACTGTTTATGCCTGAGTAAACACTGGAGAGTTCTTGCCGAAGAAGTTAAACAGGACTATATGGTTCACCAAATTATGACTGAAGAAATCATGCTCATGCAGGTTAGTTGTCGCATTAAAGGAATGTGTTTCTCTATAAAATGTACTCCTATTTATATGGACAGTTTACAGGGTGCAAAGGAAATCATTTTTACAGCTTGCTATTCGGGCAAGCTGAAGCTAGCATTTACTAGCCCAGACGTCATTTCAACTAGCCTCAAAAGCTTTTTGTCAAGCAGAATTGATTTCACACTTCTTCTGTTATTCGAATTCCTCAAAGAGCATCACTTGCCCATCGGGCAAGTTAAAAACAGATTTCACTAGCCCGATAGCAAAATCCACTAGTCCCGGGCTATCGGACACTTTTTTCTTTGCACGCTGGTTTATTGGTTTGAACTCCCATCCCCCACCCCTCTTTCAGTTTTGTTATATTCATACTTTTGAGGATTTTGGTCTTTTAAACCTCACTCTCTCACCTGTAGAATCTCTCATGACTCCATAGAGTGGGTGGGTATGGATATTTTCTGGGGTCACAATAGAATTACACAAAATTTTCTTTGTCTTTGTTGTTGGTCAAAATTAATTTTAAACCCAGGTTGATACTCAATTTTTCTTTGTCTCCTAGCCCTAATTCATGAATACTATTAGGGTTAGGAGACATAGGAAATTTTAACCTGAATTTAATTTTGACCTGTAGTTTCACCTGTAGTTTCAATAGCCCTTACAGATATCCTCTTGTCCTTTGCAGCCAAAACTAAGCTAAGATAAGAGTATTAATTCCACATCAAACATATCTTGAATCAGAATGAGTGTTTTTACTAGTATATTTGTTTGTTTTCCTTCTAGAAGAAGAACTCTGGGAGTGATTTTATCAGTGAACATAAATTGAAATGAAAGTTACGTTGAGGAAAAGCAATGAATGTACCTCAATCTTTTTTAATATAAATGCAAGGCAGTTGCATATTGGCTTGAGCTACCAAATTTGATTCTGTCCATGTAGTGTCAATGATTTTTGCTTTGTCAGAGACATCCTTTTCTGTTTGTGTCCCAGTAAAATAATGCTGGTGATTGCTGTGAGGAACTTACACATCTCAATATGTAACCTGTACGCTAGTGACCACACCTTGTTTAGATAATATAAAACAGTATTTTTTTAAAATTTATTATTGTTTATTAATAAGGGAGCATCTGCCAAAGGTATGAATCCAAGATATGCTAAATTTGTGCCTGTTCATATACCACTGGATCATGATGAGGATACAAAAGAACATTTGAACCTTGGAGGTAAACATCATAAAGAGCCAAGCAATAACCTTAAAGAATGCTATGAAGGAATTGCCACTAAAATAGTTCAACTGGAGGAAAGGAACATTTACTGTGGGGCTTACAATGTATTGGTTCTTCAAGACATGTGAGTATAGACTGAGATGTCACATAAGATTAAAACTAATAATATTATGGTATAAAATAGTAAAACTGTGAAAGGTTTTAACACAAGAGTCAGTTCATAAGTAGGTTGAGTATGATCGCTCTGGTGAACGTAGTCCTTAATAGGACTGTTGTTGACTTGAGTCATTGTCAACAACAACAGTCCTATTCAGGACTCATTCACCCGGATGATCATACTCAACCTTCGTGTAAAGTAGTGTAGTGTCAACTGACTGCTTCACCTAAAATCTCTTAAATGTTGCCGCATGAAACCACACTGTGTGGAATCAGTTGCATTGAAAAAACCCTTGGCCAGGGTGCAAAGAAAGTCAGTGTTACAGCCTGCCATTTGGGCAAGCTGTAGCTAGTATGTACTAGCCCACAAGTCATTTCAACTAGCCCCAAAACCCTTTTTGATTAGCAGGATTGATTACAATCCTTCTGTAATTTGAATTTCCCTGGAAAACAGCACTTGCCCGTTGGGCAAGTTAAGAACAAAAATTGCTAGCCTGATAGCAAAATCCACTAGTTCCGGGCTATCGGACACGACTTTCTTTGCACACTGCCTTGGGTTATTGCACACCGTAACTGAAGTAAAGTATCATGACACCATGTTGAGAATGTGACAGCTGTTTGTTTTAATTTGTTAATCACAGTGTTTCTCTATGCAGTAGCCTCAATTTTGTCTACCCTCTGAAGATGGGATGAATAAGAATAGGCAAATATTCCAAAAAGATGCTGTTAAGACAGAATGTCTGCAACCACATGATTGTTTCAGATGGTATTAATAAAATTACCTATCAGGTTTACCTGCTCAGCTGTGTGTGAAGCCTTAGTTTATGTATTGCAACTATGATTGCAGGGAGGACCCAAACCGATGTACAAACTTTAATGGAGGAAGACTGGTTGTGTCTGGATCATATGACAGGCGAGTACGATTAATAGATGCTTCGACTGGCAAGTGCGAGAGGACCATTCAAGGCCATGCAGGATCTATCCGCTGTGTTTATGTCTCAGAAGAAAGGGGCATTGTACTCAGTGGGGGATATGACACTTCAATAAGGTGATAATTAAGTTCGATTATGTGAAAACAATAGAGAGCTTTAGATTCTGAGATGAGGACAACTACGAGTACGAGATTTTCTCAATACTAAGTAGAGCACGTGTGCAAACCAATGTCAGTTTGGCAGGAAAACGCGATAGCCATTGTCAAATGTAAGAAGTGCTATCATTTTGCTATTGGGAGAGGGCTCAACTAGTCTGCTTGTGTAGCTGTTTTTAGTGTTGTCACACAACGCTACTCCCCACTTACACAACACTAAAACGGCTGTGTAGCAGACTAGGGCTCAACCTCCTTCAGTATAAATAACTGCACTAACTTTTTTGGTGAAAAAAATAAATTGAAGCTTTCTGGGGTGTCTTTTTTTTTGAGAATGTGTGCAAAAACTTTAAGTTAAATCTTGTACTCGCACTCATTCTCGTCCTCCAATCTAAAGCTCTTTAATATCACAATTCAACTCAGTGATGGTAAAGAAAATGGTGAATGCTTTGTTTATAGTGGAAGTGTTTTTAGCTCTTCTAGCTGCTGCCACTATGTAAGCTCAGATAATTTGAAACAAGTAATGTACGAAGAAAATAATTACGAGGATTAAGAACCCCAACTGGCAGGGGCTCACTGTGATGTTGGAATAATCACACGGAGTGTTTAATTTTCTTTTCCATCATTCCCCCTTTGCCTTCATACTTAAGCAAATTCAAGTGTCTTTGAGCAACTTATTCATGAAAAAATTGTTTCAGACATCTCACTCAAAGCAATGTTAGCTTAGCAGAGGGGTCAGTGGGCAGTTTCCCAGAACCCTAAATTGATCCAATGTTTCTAGCTATCTTTACTGAGGACATTCTGCTTTTTCACTAGGTGCTGGGATATAGGAAGAGGCAATTGTAAATGCATATTTAGAGGGTATGTCAGATTTCACCTGTTTATAAGTTGTTTTTCAGTTTGTAGTTTACTGTTCATGTCATCTTGATGATATTGGCCTAAATTGTTAATAATAATTAACTGTTAATAATAATTATTATTTTAATATGTCACTAATTATTAGTGACATATTAAAAATTGCACCAATTTGACCATTAAATCTCTATTGAATTTTTTATATATTTTTCCCAAGATGAACGGGCCAAATTTTGGAGAGTCAGTGCGATAAATATCGTGGGTGGAAGTCTTGAGTTTCACTAATATCTCAAGTTTTAAAAGTTTCTGTTTCGTATTTTTAGACACCGAGCCACAGTGCTTTGCATTGCATTGCATGGAAACCACTTAGCATCTGGAGCTAGGGACAAGAGTGTTAAAGGTAAGATTCGAATTTAGTTGTTTTTCAGTAAGAAAATAGAAGATAACCAGACTGTAAATCTTTGTTATTCAACTCCCTGGTTGTTCTTCTTAACTAGTATTTCTTTAAGCCGGTAGTGGAGCTTTAAGTTAAGAACGATAAGATGGCGACTCTTCGTTGTCGGCTACCAGTTGTTTGCAGTTGTATCCAACCTTTTATCTTGTCTCTTTTCTCGCTCCATTTCTTATCAGAATTTATCTTTCTAGGGACCCATATTAAATAGGGAAAAGGACTTTACCGAAAGTCTATATCATCCAATGAAGATATTTATAAATCTGTAAATTGTAACGTGTAGAGCTGCACATTTTTTTCCTGTTTTGCTAGGTGTTTTGTCAACCACACCCAACTCATGAGTCACAACTCTGAGGGTGTTTTGACATCAACGCAATTTATTTATTTATTTTTTTGGGAGGACTTTGTCGTCCCCTTCACTTAGACTTTCGAAAATGTCTTTTTTCAGTGTGGAACTTTGCTACTGGCAAGTGCAGGCGGACGTTTCGTCATCGACACGTGGTACAAACAGTTGATGTAAGCTATTGAACTATAATTTTTTCAGTTTAAAAGGATACTTTTTGTTTTAACTACAATCACAGTGGATTTTTTTTATATTTACTTTCGTCCATAAAATAACATTCGGGGAAACACCTCCAACACACTGGTTCAAGTACTTTTCTTTGCTTTTTCAGGTCTCTGATACGCTTGTTGTCAGTGGATGTGAAGGTGGAAAAGTGAAAGTTTGGGATATCGAACGGGCATGTCTGCTCAAAGTACGGACTTTTTTAAAAAAACATTCTCCGGTTCCTCGTCCTTCATTCATCTGGGGCTTCATGCGAGTAGATCCCCTTCTCTTTCTCCTTTTAAGCGCCTGTCACGCAGGCACCCAGGTTAACGGAACACGCAGCCACGCAGGGTAACGGATGCCCACAGTTGGTCCGAGGGACTATCTTTAGGTAGCCTGCGCGCGAGGACGCTGAGCCCGTGCGCGTCCTCCCTCGCGCATCCTTTCCCTTTCCTTTTTCGCATTGCAGACTGAGCACCGAACATGTGAATAAACTGGGAAACAGTGTTGCGGACGTAAACTTTGCGACGTGGAAGAAAAAATGTTTTGCCCTGATTCAAAATAGTTTTTGAACGTCCGGGGTGAAAAGTTGCCTTTTTTCCCTGTCTTTCTTTGCTAAACTGCAATGTTTCCCTTGTGCATTCAGCTTTGAAAGAGTTCTTTTAGTCTAGATGCCCGTCAGTGTCTTGCTCATCACATCAGTATTGTACTTGCTGTCATTGGCGAGATGTATTAGTTTCCTCTTGATTTTGTTTTATTATCACACTCTCGTACCCAAATCTCTTGTTAACGAAACCGAGAGATCTGGGAACGAGATTATTACTATCAAAACCACTGAACGTGCTGTTCACTACTATGCAATTGTCTGTTGTTTTCAGTCCCTTGACGGTCATCATGGTGCAATCACGTGTGTGAAGTTTGACGACTATCACATCATAACTGGCAGTCTAGACTGTTACGCTATGGCGTGGAGTTCCATTGGAAATCACAAGAAATGCCTACAGGCATTTAGACACCCTAAGTATGTCATACGGACGTTTTCTGTTCTTACAAGCATACTATGATGAGACCCAAATGTAAAAATACGAAACATCCCTTTTAATACTTTGCGATCTAACTTGGATAAAAACGCGCTTAACTATATTAGAGGGAGGTAGAGAACGTTTTATGTGAGTCCTGCCTATTATGCGATTTAGGCAAATTCAGCCATGCGGAACTAGCCTCTAAAAAATGGTCAGTTGAAAGAATAATCCACTCTGACTGTAAAGCTACTGTAAGGTGGGTGTGGACGATTTGAAGAAGACCGGAAAGCGGGATGCAGTTGGTGTTTTTGAACACAGCTAACTCTTTCTGTTTCTAAAGTTTAACACCGAACTTGGTTGTTTTCTACCTTGAATTTAGCAGTAATTTCTCTGCTCGTGTTAAAGTTCATGGCTAATAACCGGGCCCAACGAGACAAACTCACACTCCCTCCATGGATCCATTTACAAAGCAAGCCGCAAGTTGCCTCTTTGCCCTTTTTGAAACTAGTCTCATTATTGAACTTTTGGAGCAGACTCACACCGTCTTAATCTTTTTCTATCACACTGACTACTTCACATTCCCCGTGAATAGCAATGAATCGCACCTGTAGTGACCTTAAGTACATCCTTTTTATAAGTGAAGGCTTCGACCGCATGTTTTCCTCGCTTTGGTCTGACGTTGTCATACTGTGTTTTCTGTCGAAAACAAGTACACCCTTGCCTTCGAGCAAACTATCTGGGAGGGGGGGAAGGGAGAGACGGGGGAGGTTTTCTTCTCCTCTTTCCCCGCTCTGCTCCAGAGAACTTGCGTGCAGGCTACTTACTCGTTTGCTCTGTTTACCATTTCAGGGAAGTTCTCTGTGTGGAGTTTCTTTATTGTCGAATAGTCACAGGCTCTGCAGACGGAAAGGTTGGAATTTTATCAATGGTTTTTCACTGTTTGTTTGTTTTCACCGTGCACAGAGGCGGTTCAAACTTCCTCGTTAGAAAACAGGAAGCATCAAAGCGCCTCCTTCCGCAGAATAGATTGTTTTCTGTAACCGTAATTTCAAGGGTTCACTTATGCATTGTGAGATTTTTTTGTGATTTTCTTCCTCCGCCGTTTTCAGCTGCGTATCTGGAACCTCTTGAATGGAGACTGTCTTCGGATTATCCGTGGAAACAGCAAAAATGATGCCATCACCACAACCAGAGCGTCTGGTGACAGGTGAGTTAACAAATGATCAACTGCCTATTTCCTAGTCGGTAAGGAATAAATTAAACGGCCGTATCTGAGAGTCTAAGTCTTCGTTCACGCCACCGAACGAATTTTCGACCTGTTGAAAAATTGTCCGTTTTGGTGTTTCGTTCACACGGAACCACCTTAGCCGCACGAAAATTTCAGTAGACGCGTAAACAAAGCGAAAATAGTGAACAGTGAACGGTCTGATGTGAACGACTTCCTCTCAAATTTTTCATCCAGTCAAATATTCGTCCGGTGCCGTGTAAACGTAGCCTATAACGTCACCAAAGCAAAGGTTATTAATCTGACCAGTCACATCTGAAGCACGAAATAATGTGAACCAATCAGAAGCAATAATACGTAGCCTGCGCACCGAACGGGCGGGAAAAGCGTGCGAGGAAGCTACATTTGGTTTTGCTTTTGTTTGTGATTGGCACGAGATTTTCAAAATATCACTCGTGACACGCCGTTGAAAATTTCTTCATAGAGTCATTATTAATATACCGGTTTACCACCAAAAGGGGAATGTTGCCCAATGCAAAAAAACTGTCGAGGTTTTTCAGTTCCTTCTATTTGTTTCTTTAAGGATTTCCGAGTAGTATTTGTTGTTACTTCCATAAACGAGAAAACGGCCACACCGCTGATTAAATATTGCACGTTTCACAGAAGATGAAATGAGAACAAAAACGTGATTCACTATAAATCACTTTTTACGAAAAAACGTTTAAAAAAAACAAAATCATGTCATAGACACTTCCTATTTCACTTCACATTCAAAATCAATTCAATTTACAGTTATGTTATAATCGATCTCGTTAATTTGGTTTTGCTGGTATTTTTTCCAGGATGATTGTCAACACACTGAGCAACCTTTTAATTTTCAACTTCGAGGCTGTGGAGTGGGATTTTGATTTAGATCCTGAACGGCCGGAAGGACTTGGAAATCTCAATATCTATGCAAAGACCCCTCCTCGAAGACTAGCACGTTCTTATGTACGAGCGCATAAGCTCATGCGCGCTGACACTAAAGACAGTTTACCTTCCAGACCTCCGTCACAGATGAAAACGCCAACATTTGACCTCAACGTTAATTTACCGCAAAGGATTTCAAGCGCACCTCCACGAATAAAGCACCACGAAAGCACGTTAAACAGTATGAATGCACACGTACGTAGACTTTTAAGCGCACACAAGGAGAAAGAACAAAAACCACGTCCCCATTCCTCGCCGATCGCTACTTCTCGTCACTCTCGTGGGCTTACCGAGTATGACGTCACACCATCGGAGGTTGGTGACGATCTCACAGCGAGCATGATAATTACAAAAGTTGCGCGTTCGCATCTTAAGCCTCCATCCATCCCGGATAATAGGCGCTCTCGGGTTATAACGCGAAGCCGCTCAGCTCCAGCGTATCGCACGCAGGTCCTGCCCCCGGGCAAGCGTGGTTGGACAACGTCTGTGGCAGAGCCGCTAAAGTCACCGGAAAACAAGATCATGGTCTCTGCTGAGCAAGCGCGGGAAAAAATAGCCAAAATGCGACCGCAAAGTGCGCAAGTACATTCGAGGAAAGAATCTATTTCGATTAATCCAGTTAAGAGCCTCGGTTGCTTGCATTTAAGGACCTACACGAGTCAACTGCAGATTGAACAGAGACTTACGCAGGAAAATTTACGTGACAGAGAAGCTCGTGTGACAAAGGCCAGTACTCACCGTCCAAAATCGTGCATTCCATGTGTACGGTAGTGAAGTGTCACTCATTCGTTGACCATGTCAATCCTATGTCCAGTAGTGGAAGGCCTGTTAATCTGGGTCAGTAGACCATTTCAGAGTTCCAAAAACTCTCACTTTCAAAACGAGGCTAAGTGCAAAACCTATCTTGTGCAAATGAGTTTTGTTTGTATGAAAATATACAATCACTTTCATATCAATGGCTTAGCACTTAGCCTCGCTTTGAAACAGAGGCTTGGGACAACTCGGAAATGGTTTCTTGCCATCACCATCAAAAATGATGTATAATTGCAACTGGTAGTAAAAGTTGACCTTGCAGTTGTCACCACCATCTGCCTTGCCATGACCATGGGTATGGCAAGACCTGCTCAAGAGACATTGACCCTGTTCTTTAGACATTTAAACACCGTCCTTGTAGTATTTCTAACGGGCCACCGAGGCCATATAGTCTAGCAAACACGAGCTCTACTTAGCTCCCCGCTACAGTACGAAACACACTGGCTCTTGTCAAGTCACTTGAGCCCAGACGTCCCCCGCGAGGGAAGTCCTGGATGTAGACTACTGTTCTCTTGTCGAATGCCAAGTATTTGAACACATAACAGGGGCGGATCAGGGGGAGTTTGATTGGGTGGCTAGTCCCCCCTTTTTAAGCCAACTAAGATCTTTTTTTATAGAATTTAATTTGTACTTTACTTCCACAGGACAAACAGTTATTACATTTAACGCTCTGTTTTGCGGCCGATTAGTATCAGCCACCCCCTCTTACAAAAGCCTGGATTCCCCCCCCCCCCCCGTTCAAAGGACTATTCTTCAATACCACTTTCGTAGACCTTTAAGTCAGAAATATTTGAAATACTGAAAATTCTAAACTGAAAGCGTTTAGAATTTTTAAAAGCGCCGCGCGTTATTAACAAAACCTATCCAAAGATGTCTGCATGAATGTTTTTGACAATCGTCCATGAAATACAAAACAAGAAAATATTACACTGTTGCATATGCGAATATCAAGACTATGAAATGTTTTGTAGGTCACTGTAGTTGCCTTCTCTAAAGAACTATTGTTCTTTCGTATTGAGCCTGGCCCCGCGCGTATCCACCTTGCCCTCGCTCCAACTTTCGCGCAATAATTCGATTGGAAACGCTTGCTACACGCCGGGTAGTAAGACCAATTCTTTGTAAACAAATGCAAACCACTTGAAATTGTAGTGTTTAGTTCGGCAATTTTAAAAAAGACAGTAAAACGGTAATAGTCAAAACTTTCAGGTTGAGCCCTCCGCAATGTGTGACCCCCTGAGGGACACTCCTGAGAAAATAAAAACATGAAAAAATGGGAAAACGAGAAGGGCACGCATCACGTGGTTCGAGGCATTTCCGGTTTTCTGAGAAAAGTTGGTCGCGAGGTTCCGCTCTTTCTCGAAAACATGAACACAGGGAAACACAAAGACATTGCTCAACATCGCTTTCTACAGCTCCTTTAAGTTAGAGTATGCTTTATACTGTTCCTTGCGGTCGGAATAAGTCTCTACTTGCTGTTTGGTCTTTTCTCTGCTGGAAATGATTTTCGTCTGTGGTGTAGTTTTGAGGAAAGTATGTGTAAGGACAAGACAAAAGGATTTAATTTGCTTTTCTTGGTTCCTCGCATCAGACGCTTTACTTTAGCGTACCTGGAGAGCCTGTTTACAGACTTGTACATGTACAGACCAATCGTTCGCTCGTGTCTTGGATGGGAGAGGGAAAGCGTGCATTCAAGGCTGGTTTTTGCAGGCGACGAAACTTGGAGTCATCAGAGCGCTTATGAAAAAATCGGTGGCGTATTAAAAAATCAGAATTCCATCTTGGGCTTATGAATCTATCGATTACGATCTAGAGAATTAAAGTCGGGAGCAGAAGCGGAAGGATAAACTTTTCACAGCGCTCGCTCCCGCCCTTTGAGATTGGTTTGTTACTTCCGCTTTTGCTTCCGACTCTAGACACCTAAACCCCATTTACACGCGTTCAAAAATCGGCACGGCACCTCAAATTTTGGCACCGTGCTGACGATTTTAAGGCACGGCACTCCCAATTTTCGACGTGTAAACGTATCGGTCCTACGTGTAATGTGGCACCAGTGCTCAAAATTTTACCTCCCGAAGGTAGTCTCGGCACGGCTAAACGACGCACGGTGCCAAAAATTTGGCGTGCCGAGCCGATTTTTTTAGCGCGTGTAAATGGGGTTCTAGTTTTTACGAGATCGTCAGTAAGGAGTCATAAGCGGAATCGGAAAGTTGTTTTAGGTGATAACGGTTTACACATCTTATTCAGTCCAACGCCAGTGAACTTAAAACCAGCCTTGTTGAGCAATGCGATTAACGCAAACCACCAAACACACTGACATTTTTTTCCTGGTAGAATCACTCTGCGTTACCTTATTCCCATGCCTATCCAAGATAGTTTTTAAATTCGTTTCGTAGAAGGCAGAAAAGGTCCGCCAAGAGTCTTCTACTCTGCTTTTGTAATTAATTTTATTTGAAGAAAGCTATCAAGTGTGGCCGTTGTCTCGTAACACTGCACGCTCCTCAACACTTTGCAATTATCAAGAAATAATTTTTCTAGTCCCGGCGTGTAATGAATCTTTGTTCTGGGCCCAGCTTTACGTGGAGGTAGGTAGGTAGGAAGATCCTAGTACTAGGGACAAGCAAGATGAAAATGGCGGCGGGTTGTTCAGTGGCTAATCTCGGCAATAAAGGCCGGCCATTTCGTTTGGCGTTACCACGAGCTAATTATTGTGATAATTTTGCTGAAAGGTAGTTATTGACGCCAGTAAAGAGGGCAGAAGGTTCCAAATTGAATTTTTGTTTTTGTCGCCCGCCATTTTTAATTCCTTCTCGAACCTTCTCTACTTGGGCAACACACGGACTAAAGGCGGACCGAAATTTCTCAATGTAAACGAAACGTAAAGTTGTTCCGCCTTCTAAGACCTTCCTGGTGCTAGGATCTTCGAATTCCTACCTCCATGTAAACAGCCCAACTTGGTGGCGCTAGAATTTTCATTGCTCTCTCTTCGTTTCGCCTTCGTTCCCGCCAAAATTTACCTACCGAAACAAAAACAGAGCCTCAGGTTATGTTTTGACACATTCAAATAGCTTGTATTGCGGTCGGCAGTATATTCTACCCACCAAAACCACATCGATCGTGAGGGACTGAGATTGAATTTTGAATGCCTTAAAAGTCGTAACCGAAGATTCTCGGAAAAAGTACGGATGATATGCACGAACAACCGAACATCCGAATACTGGATCGGACGTTCTCACCACTGAACCACCAGGGCTTTAGCGTTGGTGGAGTCGGAATTCTACTATACCAGCAGAGTGTACTACACTTCTGTACTGGGAGCTGAAAGGCTGCGTCCATTTCACAGTTGTGGGGGTGCAGAATATATATCAGGGGGGTACAGTTTCATGCATAATGACTGAGATGTTAGTAAGATGTTGGAAACGAGCAAAGCGGCGAGAACGAATCGCGAAGCTCGCTGGTATATAAGTGCTCGTTCTTTCTCACGCGGAGAAAAATCAAGAACAACCTCTGGAACCAGGGTAGCTAGGTGTAAATTACAGCAAACTTTATATTCCCACCCCACTGCAAGAAGAGGATTCTTTCCGGCATGGATTTTATCGACTATATATTGACTTCCAAAATTCTGAATTTGTAAGACTTCTGAAGGTACATTCACAATTGCGTTTTTCGCTGCCGTCAATCATAATTACGATCACAAGCAACGAACCTTGAAACACAGAGGGCGCTTTCCATTTAGTCAAAATTTCCGGAATTTCCGGTTCGGCGGTAAATGGAACACGTTTCGTCGGTTCGTCCCACTGGAAAATTCCCAGAAAAAGTGGAAAATCTAAAAAGGTGGTCCCGTTTTCCCGGTTGGAATTTCCGAACGGAATGTCGTGTTCCATTGACGTTTCATGTAGTTTGTACCAGTTCCAGGTCCACGGTCGAGCACCCGGCCACGTACCGGGGTTTACGACCAAATGGAACAACTTTTTACCGATCGGAAATTCCACTTTTGCTAGCACCGAAATTTCCGGGTTTTTTTCGTGAATGGAAAGCGCCTAGAAACTCACAAAACGTCTAGAAATCCACCAATCACAAATCACAAACCTTGACCTTTTGAACCCGATGAAGTAAAGTTTTGTTTCCTAAGAGGTCCGTTAAGATGATTGACGGCAGCGAAAAACGCAATCGTCAGTTGGCTTTTGAACTTCAGAATTCGCATGTTTGTGAAAACGCAATAATAGATGAACCTTATGCACCTATCAATGTTAAGCCGCAGGGGGGGGAGGCCGGGTGTAGGCCGGGGATTTGACGTAACAAGTCTGCCCGTGGCAGGGACTTTTGATCATTCGTCGAGTCCCGGGGGTCGGGACTTTTGACTTTAACCGTTAGTGGCCTGAGCTCCACCGACGCCATCTTGGATTTTCGGCGCACTGAGACCTGGTAACCAGCAGACATCAAAATGGAGGCTGCTTCGGTTTCCGTGAAGAAGGTAAGAAATCTGTGAAATTTTGTCGCTTAAAGAGCCCATCGGGCCGTTTTTTGCGTTTTGTTATGTCATCAGTGCCATGATTGATTATATTGCGATATTCTTTTTGTTTTTTAATATAATTGTTTAATACATATTTATGAGATGTTAATTCATGCGTGGTTGATCACATGGAACTACTTTTTCAGGTCCTTCTTCAGTTTGGCGATAGCCGAAAGGTGTTTGATATCAAAGAACCTGATGATATGAATGAAGTGATTTCAAAAATAAAAAGTATGTTTGCCATAAATGCTAGCAGCGATTTGTTCCTTCAAGAGTATGAAGAAGAGTGGAATGATTGGGTCGATGTCGAGGACGTGGATCACATTAAAGACAGAGCAAAATTACGAGTACATGTTCGTGTTGACCAGGCTGCAGTCAAGGAAAAGCATGCTGTAAGCTTTATCTATTTCAAATCAGAGGTTATAAATATTTCATTTCCATCGTTCCTGTTTACAATTAAAGTAATTAAATGTAAAAGCCAGTATAGATAATTACATCACCCAGTCAAAATGTCACATCTTGGTTTGTTTACAAAGTATGCAGTTCCATTTTTTAGTTACTTTAGGACATAGGTCTGTTGGTACTATTAAAAATCAGAAAAGTGTTACGGACTGAAGTTGAAATAAACTAGTCTTACTTGGTGATGTAAATATGAATAATGGCCATGAGTTATAAACGGATGTCAATTCAAATAAAAGTTATCTGTAGCATAACAATTGATGATAAGATACCAGAATTTCCTTGTTTTGCTGTATTGTTCAATAGTATCAGTTGAGACAGTCTTCAAATTTTTATATACTTTCCAGATAAATTACATGACATTTTTCTATTAAACGGACGTTACATTTTGAAGTTGTTGCTTCTTGCTTTTTACAACTTTATAATTCCTGTATATCCCTATTTTAATTCTTGTTTGACCAATGCCTTGACCTTTTTCTGGAAGGGGAGGGGGATGGGGAATTTGCACTCTTTTGACCAGCAATAACGTCCCTGGGGTCGGGCATTTGAACAGAAAAAATGATCTGAGTTCAAATCCCCCGCCTATGCCCGGCCTCCCCCCCCTGCAGCTTAACATTGATAGGTGCATTAGATACACACCAATGTTCCCAAATCTTTATCCACTTTGAAGTAGGAGAACTTGGTCGTCGATCTCGTTTCAAACTCTGCGATGAGTTTATAAGCCTCTTGGACGGAAGAAACATATCCAAAATTCTCAGCAATTTTCCTATCGAACGCGGGTTCGTAACTTAAAATTCCCGCCATGATCTTCTTGTTTGTTTCCCTGGAATGATGGGATTTGGAAGGTCGCGAGTTCGATTCTCGGCCGGGGCACGAAAATTTTCGTTGCCCCGTGCGAGCATGGTTTCTTCCTTAGTTCTTCCAAGTGAAAAT